TTTTCTTTAAAAGTTTATAGATATAAAACTTGCTGTGTGGAACCTTTTGACAGTGATATTAGATTTAGTTCAAGAAAACTTTGCTGCTGGTGGACGCATACTAGGCCCAAAATCCCAGACCATGTCGATCTTTACATTTTAAATAAACTAATGAGTGGATCATTTGCCAGGCCTTGTGTTTCTTTGCAGAGCATGTTTTATCATCAATTGCCAGGCCTTGCGTTTTTTTTGCAGAGCCTGTTTTATCATCCTTTGTTTGGTAATGGTATGACACAATACTAAATCATAATTTCATTTACATTTATGTGAGCTTTTGATTTGAATAACAATTTCATTCTGTACATAAGAAAACGTGGCGTCTGCTAAATGTAGAACAAGTTTCAGTGCTATATATAGTTCAATCTGCAGCTGGAAAAATGATATTGCTGATAATTTAGATTGATGTTTGTGTACATTCGTTGTTAGATCATTTCTGCTAGTCATGGGAATTTTTAATACGCATATATAACTCTTTTTGCTTGCGCTGTCGGCAGCATTTAGAAGAAAAGTATATTTCAGCGTTCTTTAATACATTATTTTAGATATTTACATGTAGTTAAATATTCTTATATAATTTGTTATTTATTCATTAAATAATTATTTTTAAGGTTGTGTTTTAGGGGCTTATATAGGGCATTATGTTTGTAATCATTCCTCTACATTGTTTACCTACATTCAACTCCAAATATTAGTATTTCATTGGTAATATATTTAAGCATATTCGAAAATATAATCCAATAAGTAATTCATTTTGTTGTTTAATAAACATACATTATGCAAAAAGCTAAATCTGCCTATTGCAGGTCTATCTTTAGGCCTTAAATGTTATATAAACTATTAATTAGACATTTATTAACAAAATGAGATCATAATCAACTCGTAATGGCATCGGATACTCGAGACTTTAACTAGATTATAACGGTTCACCATTAAAAAAATTTAATTTAAAAATGGGAAAGTCTCGAATATACCAGTGCTCTGGTTACCACAATGAAACAGTGATAATTTGACTCAGAATGAAGTAATTTGAATGAAATTTTCAATATTTTCATTTTACATTATCTATTTTTGAGCTATTATAGCAAGAATGGTCAGCTCTTTAACTAATCTTATATAAAAGTTAAAATTCTATTTTGAAATTGTTGTTTTTAGTTCTTGTCAATGGTAATACCTATCTAGTAAATTAAAATTTTATCATAATGTAAAAATGAAATTATACTCTTCAGTATAAGTTTATATTTGCTTCTATGTTATCTTGTAGAATATAGTCTTGTGCAATATCATATATTTCATCATTATCTATAAATACATCGTTCATCCATAGTTAAATATATTCATTGATAGGTACTAGGATAAATGTGGAAGACAAGCTGTCTCTTCATATTGTGACAGATTGGGATCAAGTGGCCCCTCTTGTCTTCATGAAGTATTGAAGTAATAGTTAATCATATGATATTATATGACTATGAAATCCTAGATTTGATGTAATTTACGACAATATCTCTTTATTGATAAATATATAGATAAGTAATATGTAGTCTACACGTTTAATCATCTTAAATGTTATATCTGTGCCAGTATACATTATCAACATTTGTAACATGGATGGGAAATCTTCCTTTGTTCTTTTCGTTGAATAAGCAGATTGTTTTCCGTCTAGTAGATTGGGTGGAGCTTAACCGTGCAATAACTAGACATGTTCAATGTTATTGCACACTTTTGCTGGTTTACACTAGTTTTAGTAGAAATCATATCGAGAAGTGGGGTGGGTTTTCTGTGCAATAACAATAAGCATGTTGAGCAGTTGTCTATGTTACAAGTCATTTATAGCGTGCTATAAATATAACTTAAAATACATCCTTTGATGTTGGTGTACCATTATTTCAAATAATGGTACGCGCAATGTGCCAAGTGTACATTATTTATACTAGTTGCAATTTTGGACCTGTGTGACGTATTTCATTGCAAAGCATGTACAAGTGTCTGTATTTTAAGTTGTTTAATGATCTCGAGCTTAAGACATTACTTAATACAGTGATTCTCAACCACTGTGCCGCAAGATCTTCCTAAGTGTGCCGCGAAATTTTGAACGGCACACTAAGAAATGTGAAAAAGACACATCCCAATTGAGTAGTCACTGGTATTCATAGCTGTGTTTTTCTTTATTTAGTTTGAGTCATCCTATGTGTCTATGACTAGTTTCTGTCTATGGTTGAATTCTGTCTGACTTACCATGTTTTTATTTGGCAAAATTCAAATATTTTTCATATATATTTATCCAGGTGTGCTGCTATTTTTTCATGTTTTCCAAGGTGGGCTGTGGGCAATATAGGTTGAGAACCACGCACTGGCCTAATATATTGAAGCAACACCCAGGGACTGACATCCCTCACTTTGTTTCAATATATTACTAAATGCCTTGCTCTCGACTATTTAACCACACAGATATTACTATAGTAGTAGTTGAGTGCTGTACTTTATTTTTTATTAGATGCATTCAGTAATAGAACAATGTATTGTATATTTGAAAGAGAAATGCTATCAGGTTGTTTTTAAAGAGAATTGATACTTCATTCAACTAAAAATCTTTACTACTAGTCATGATTATTGTGCAATATATTAAAAATAGAAAGATGAAACTGAATGGTGATAATATAATCAATTTTAAATCTTATAATATAATGTGAGTTTTCAGTTTCCTAACACTTCTTAAAGGGTTAGTAACTTATGCTGTCAGACATGATTTTAGCTGTTGGGAAAATTAAAGCTAAAAAAAAAATTTTTGGAGGGGGGGGGACATTTTTTTGTGGGGCAATGCCAGTGTCTTATGGGAGCCAAAGGCGATTTTAAAGTAATAGGGGTGAGCTTTAGTTGTGTTCTAGGCATTTTACTGTTCATTATGAAGAAAAGTCACCAATTTCTGATGTGATTTTAGGGCATGCATTCATATTCAAGGCTTTCCATGTTAGTATTTGTCAAATTGGAGTTTAGGATTATTCATATGGTTCATCAATGGGATACAGATTTGTTTCTTTCGAACACGTACTAACACAGTAGTAGTACCTTCATGCTTTAACTCTTTAGGATTATTCATATGGTTAAGCATATTTGTTTCTTTCGAACACATTCTAACACAGTAATAGAACCTTCGTGCTTTAACATTTGCTTCAACAAAAGTGATATCGCAGACAAACACTCTAACACAAAATTGTAAACTGTTTTATACACGTGCATAATTTTTATAACAACAAACATTGATCAATCATTAGGAGTCTCCATTAGTTAATTGAATGTTTATTATGTTGAAGTAATTGTCATTAAAATCTCTTTTGAACCAGTACATTGTCTTGTTACCGTTCATTAAAGAACAAGCAATATTTAAATCAAAATATTCTGTAAGCTTTATATTTTTGTGAAATATTGTTTGTAAAGCAACAAATAGAAATTTTTCTTAACTTCAAGTTGAAAATCTCTGCTTCAGAAAATGCTCCTCACATTGTGTAGAAGACATTCGTATAATGTGGGTTGGTACACCATGAAAAGTACACATATTCATTTTCTGACTGTTTCCTTTAATATTTTTAAATAGGTCACTGCTGTAATTATTGTAAAATTTGTATAATACTTCTATTAAGTGCTAACTTCTTTTAATAATTTTTTCAAGTATTACTACATGTAAATGTTGTGCCTCAATTTTTAGGATATTTGAGGTGATTATTTTAACCACATTATTATAATTTAGATGTTTTAATGTAGAGAAATGTAGAAGCCTGGTGATATTTTACTGTAGAATATTATTTCTATATCATTTAAATATTTCTATTTAAAACATTCCATTCATTGAATATTACTTCTAAAATAAAAATATTCAGACAAAATTTCTTCTTATTGTTATTTTAGTCTGGGTGGTGGGGTGGCCAAATGGTTTAGAGGAGCTAAATCGCTAATATTTGGGACCTAGAAATTGACATAAATGGGTCGCAACTCCCAACGCATATAATAATGTAATATGAATGTGTATAAACTAATTTACATTCAATCGTTTCAGTTTTTACTCTAATTTCTAACCAGTTATGTTCGGCAAAATACACCAGAAGTCTAAATTGGATGGCATTCTCTAGCCCTTAGTTGGGAAAGCGAGGGGGGGGGGGGTGTTTGGATGGGCAAGTGGTTAGCACATGTGTGTTGTATCATAAGGTCTGTCATGGAGTCAACTGGCATGGTTTCAATTCCCTGATTGTGTATGTGAAGTAGGGTCCCTACGCGCAAGCGAATTATTGAAATAAAATTGAACCATGTGTTAATCCCAAAATGACCTGTTTTGTGTCGAGTGGACGTTAAGCCTCATTTCTCTCTCTGGGCAAGTGAATTATTGAAAGATAATTGTGCCATATGTTAGTCCCAATATGACCTAGTTTGTGTCGAGTGGATGAAAAGGCAGGACACTACCTAAGAATTTTACATTGGTAACAGAAACTTGCCATTTAGTGTAATATTAGTATATGATGTCCCAAATCAGATTTGATAATTTGAGTGCAAAATGTTTATTTGTTGTCATGGAAATGGTGGCCATATTGGATTTTTTTATATATTCACGGTGGCTATGTTAGGAAATCAAAATCTTTCAACAATTTTATTGAAGCAAACTATTTGTGATTTGGAATAACATATATAGGCATTAAAGAGAGCAATAAGGCATAAATTTTACTATTTGAGTGTTAATAAAGAACATTATGCATCCCACATAAAACAAGTGGGTGTGGCCGAACACACCACTTAAAGGATTTTGTACAATAAAATGTCCAAATGTATAACAAACACTTTGAAAATCACCTTATTGCAAACAGTGGCTATAGCACTAATCGTATTCCAAAGATGAGACCATTATCTCTCATAGATTTTGAGAATTTGATTTTCTAAGACCTGATATGGGTGAAAAATTGAGTACGGAAAAAAGCAAGTTAAAAGTTAAAAATTTGATTTACCTATACAAATGACTAAATATTTAACACTATATAATATAAAGGCTGGACACGACTTGAAAAATCAACAAATTTTAACTATTTTGGGCAATTTTAGCTGATATCAAAATTTGACAGATCAATCTATACAGAGTGTTTTATAAGGTAGTGTACTCCATTTCTCTTTTTTTTTCAATCCACAAGTATTTATACACCCACCAAACTGAAACGAAATGGGGTTTAAAGTCCTACCGTTCTGCTCCGACTGGGATAACAAAGAGGGGCTTATGCCATACAGTGTGCGATAAGGGAAATTTTGCCTGGACAGCGGCACTAAGGCGGATCTTTTACCTACATGCCAATGTGTACAGGGGACCTCGGGGTTTCTCGTAAATCCGAACGACTCCACAGCTGTCCTTGTCAGACCATCCCATCCTGCACCACTGACAAGGGGAAACCATCCTATCCACTTAGCCACTGTGGCTCCCCAGTGAGTAAGGTGTTTGCTCACTAACCTGGAGGTTCCACAGTGACAGTGACAGAAGGCCCAACAAGGCACAGTGTCTGTCCTTCGGATGGGATGATAAACCAAGGTTCAATGTACAGTTGGAATTGATATAAGAGAAGGCTGTAGCGCCACTCTCAGGGCAAAATTTCCCCCATAGCACACACTGAATGGTGTATTCCCTTCTTCATTAGCCCAGGTAGTGCAGAACAATAGGACGATAAACCTATTTCATTTCATTTCTAGAGCGAGAACAAGTGCAATGTGGTTGGACATAATAACAAGATATGATCAAATTTCAGTACAGATATATAAAACAATCTAAATTAAAACAATTTAATCATAATTGAGCTTTTCGTAGCTTTTCATATATAATGTACATTTCCTTGATATTTTCTTCTTTTGAATTTTCGTTTAGTTTTAACTGTAGTTCTTCTATATTCATCTTCACCTCCTGAAAAGCAAAATATAATTAGAGCTTAGACCAGATTTCTCTTTAAAGGAGCTAAATCGCTAATAATTGAAGCCTAGAAATTGACAAAAAAGGGTCGCAAGCATATAAAAATGTAATATGAATGTATATAAACTGATTTACATTCAATCGTTTCTGTTTTTTCTGTAATTTCTAATCAGTTATGTTCGGTGAAATGCGCCAAAGTCTCAATTAAATGACAATCTTTAGCATCTGGTTATTCCAGTCTACACCGATGGTATTTATTGCGCATGCTCTCCAGATAAGAATATAGCGTCACCATTTGACATGACTTGTGGAATATGTCTAGCCTCTTTCTTTGAGGCCCTTGTTCCAAATGGCGCTGAAACGCATTAAGGTACACGATTCGTGTACCAATGGTAAAATGTTTATTTTGTCTTGAATATTGGATATCAGAAGCCCATCTTTTCCCTGTAAGATCACAAGACCAATGTTGATTTGAATTGACTAATAATTCGTGTTTTCAATGCCGAAGATTTTTGATGATATTGAGTTAGAGACTTAGCTACTTTAAACAGAGCTTAAAGGGTGTATAGCTCTATTTTTTGAAATCATAAATGGATCTAAAAGCTCATATTATTGTAATATGAATGTATATAAAGTGATTTATATTTAATTTAAAAAAAAAAAAAAGTAATTTCTAATCAATTATATTTGGTGAAATACGTGTGCCCGAAACGATATGGTACACGATTTGTGTATCATATTTTAAAACGTTCATTGCGTCTTAAATATTGATTGAAATGGACCAATATTGAATTCTAATTTGTATTTTTAATTTCAAATATCATGGAGAATATTGGGAATGAGACTTAGCTCCTTTAAAAAAGAACTAAGTAACCAATAAATTCTTCTTCTTCTATTAGTGCTTCACTCCTGCTTTCACCCAGGGTGATATCGTCGACAAAAACAAGAAATTTATACCAGGTCAAATTATTTTAATAACACATTGTTCTCATCAAGTTTTCTTTGACTTGGTTTTACCTTATTTGTATTAGTGATAAATCCATTAATATTTAAAACTTACCTCCAATTGTTTAATATAGTGATGACGATCCGATGGTCTTGTCAGAGATAAATTTCTTGCAGAACAAATCTGAAGATAAAATAATACAGGTATTGATATTACTTCAAATATCAATACATAACATTGTGTCTGTTTTTCTTTCAGGGGGTTAGGCCCAGTACTGGTTAGCGCGTGTTTGTTGCATCATAAGGTCTGTCACTGAGTCAACTGGCGTTGTTTCGATTCACCGGTTGTAGGTGACAAGGAGTAGGGTCACCTACCCAACCTCGTGGGTTTTCTCTGGGTCCTCTGGTTTCCTCACACTGCTAAAGACCCCTACGCGCAATCAAATTATTCAAATAAAATTGAACCATATGTTAGTCCCGAAATGATCTAGTTTTTGTCGAGTGGACGTTAAACCCCATCTCTCTCTATTTTGTTATCATCTGCGTTGATATTTATTTGTCAAGCACACATTTTGACTTTAAATTCCGTCCTGATAATCATTTGTGAAGCATACAACTTTATAGTATTAATGTTGACAAAATTGAAAGCTCATCATAAAGGAGTTTTAGGTTTTATTTCTGTCAGCACCCATGCAGTATCTTTTCTCCAACATTATCCATGTGATAATTGTCACGTTTACACCTCTCGTAATTTCACTCGTCTCGCGAGATTTCTACTTTAGTTTTCGGTTATTGTATTATAACCACGTGTGTGGGTGTGTGTGTGTGTGTGTATGTGTGTGTGGGTGTGTGATTGTGTGTGTGGGTGTGTGTGTGTGTGTGTGTCAAATTGATTTGGTGTTATATACTATTTGGATATGTGAATATATGACTAGTTTCTACATATTGTCAAACAATGGAGAAACAACAAGTTAATCATGTAGATTAAGTTTATAATCACTCTTATTAGATGGATACATAGTTCGACAAAGGAGAAGCAATGACTTCTGTTCAGGATTGAATTGATGAATTGTTCGACAAAGGATTAAGTCGGTCAATCATGGCAGATTAAGTAGTTAATCAAGGTAGGTGAAAAGACCGTATAACACAATAACTATGCTGATGACTTAATTACCTAATCAGTCCATCAGTACACTATATTAATTTTGGAATTTTGAATATTAATATTAAGATTATTCACCATGTCTTGATGTTCGATTGAGCATATTCCTTTGGAAAATAGCGTCGGACATGACCGGAATATATGGGCAAAATCCCCTCACTAGTATGCACATACCTCTAAATTTTGTAGAACTGCTGCTCTGACACCAGCTAATAATGAACAGTTATCTGAATGTAGATTAACTATATAATCCGTGTCTATAGTAGTGTCTGGTTGTTGTTTAGGATTTACAGATAATGATATCATATGTCCATTGTCATCTCTTAATTTACATGAACCATCTTTTATATCCCAAACCACATGTTGATTAGTATTCAATATAAATCTTAAAATGATGTCAGGATCAATTTCATCTGAAAAATGACATTTTTATTTTATAATATCATGCTGATCTGTCAAATATTATGAGCAATGTTTAAGAGAGAGAGAAATGGGGTTTAACATCCACTCGACACAAACTAGGTTATTTCGGGACTAACATATGGTTCAATTTTATTTCAATAATTCGCTTGTGCGTAGGGATCTTTAGCAGTGGAGGAAACCGGAGGATTCAGAGAAAACCTACAAGGTTGGGCAGGCAACCCTACTCCATGTCACGTACAACCAGGGAATTGAAACCCCGCCAGTTGACTCAATGACACCCCTTATGATGCAACGCGCATGCGCTAACCATTCGGCCATCCAACTCCCCGAGCAATGTTTAAAGGAGGATCAATGAAATATTGAGAAGTGAGCCAGTACCAATACAAATAGGTCTCATTTTCTTATGTCGAATTCAACTGTCCTTCTAACTGACAGATATTTGACTACATTTCAGTGTGTGCGTATTATGTTGTCACCCTGTTCGTCGCTTGGTTGGTCCGTCAACAATTGGATTGTGAACATGATAGAGACCTAAGGCTTACTCTATCCCTATCCTACAATCTTGTCCACAATACCTTATTTACATCTCAGTGACCTTGACAATATCTTGAGTTTGCCTTAAGAAATAGATCTAGTCCTTACAAATGATATCTGATGTTATAAAGAATGGCACATGGAACCAAATTACAAGTCTTGAACTCAACATAAACAATGATAAACTTACGGTTAGTTCTGTTAAAGAAATTAACAGATTTCAATTGACTTCTTGACACCAGTAAATGTGATGTATAGATTTTAGATTCAGGAACTCTGGTTTCATCAGTCTCACAAAAAATTCCATAATAATCTGTAGACGTACCTCCATTATAGTGTTCGTCACTCAATAAAAAGTCCAAAATATTCAATTCCCGCTGATATAATGGAATACACAACTCAGTTGGATTCAATAACTGTGAATCACATTTCAACGTGGGCTTTAGAACCATCAGTAATTGGACATCTTTTATCTGCGAAGTCACTGGAACATTAACCTGAATACTTTTGTTTGTTTCCAAACCATGTATCAAATTAACTGAATGTGATTCTACTTTCAATTTATTAGAGAATGACAAATTAATTAAAAGGGACCAGTCTGATGAGAATTTTATTTTACTTTGATTTGTAATAGTCACATTTAGAGTATATCTCTGGGATATTCCTTTCAATATGGGTTGTATTTTAATTTCACATGATAAAATTGTCGAATGTCTACTGTCCGATTGCAGGAGTTTACAAGATGTGTTGTAAACAATGTTAGCAGCCAAATTAATTTGCTGAATGGTGTTATTTAGATGTTTTTGATGAAGAGATATGTCTGTTAGTTTCTGGTGATTTTCTTCAATTCCAAGCAGTATATCTTTTAAATTAGAAGAAACTTTTGGTAAAGTAGAATTCACTACAGGCAGGGATATTACAGAGTTTTTCATAGTTTGACACTGAAGGAAGGTCTCCTCATCTGCAAACAAAAATATATTAAAAAAATCATCAATATATCACAGAGAGAGAGAGAGAGAGAGAGAGAGAGAGAAGGGAGAAATGGGGTTTAATGTCCACTCGACACAAACTAGGTCATTTCGAGACTAACATATGGTTCAATTTTATTTCAATAATTCGCTTGCGCGTAGGGGTCTTTAGCAGTGGGAGGAAATCAGAGGACCCGAAGAAAACCCACGAGGTTAGACAGGTGACCCTACTCCCTTGTCACATACAACCGGGTAATCAAAATCACGCCAGTTGACTCAATGACAGGCCTTATGATATAGTGCGCACGTGCTAACCATTCGGCCATCCAACCTTAGTATGAAAAGATTAGAACTTTCCTTACTTACCTTGTAGAGTATTTAATTTAGTTATATACATCTCTTTAACTCTTACATCATGAAGTAGTGTGCTTTCATTCTCAATCCTGTTATCACTTTCAATAAAATAAAATTTTGTATTGTAAATAAATTGTCCATTACTGTGATAGAGATGTGTATGATCACAAACACAAGCAGATATAACATGGCCAGAAATATGAGAAGAATACCAGCATTTCTTGGATTTAATAACCATAAATATCAAAACTTTCCCACTCGATGACAACAGAACAAGGGCAGGTAACTCTTTGTCTGAATCTGCATTGTATAGTAAATCTGTTTTGCTCTCAACGGTATTGTTTTCACAGTAAGTGACATTCATGTAATTGATGGCAATAATACTGGAATCAATTTCACAAAATAAATTAGTAGCTGTGTTTTTCAAGGCATCTGTTTTTAAGATGGAAAAATATATACAGCCATCATCTCTGCAGAAAATCATTACAGGTGATGTTAATGGTTCACACTGTTTACTGAACAAAACAATAAACAATTCATGAGGTAGACTAATGGCGGATTCACATGACCTATCATCAAAACTTTGTGAAGTTATAATAAACACAGATGTCCTATTTCTTATTTTTACCAAATCCACCAAACAATCAGCTTGTTGTGCTGATAACGAAACTGTGTGAGTTCTAACAGGATATACAAATTGTAATTCAGGTGATCTGTTTCTCCATTTTTCTTCTGGTTTCAAATTTTCAATTTTATAAAAGTTGATGTAGAAACTATTTATATTCTTTGTTATGATGATCACAAAGTCAAGATAGGTTTTAATAAATGTTATACAGCTCATTTCATCTTGCCATACTTTATCTTTCTCAGTTAACTTGTAGACATTACGAGGTAGCGTTGTAAGTTGTATTAATTCTGTTGGACTGTCTTGTAGAAGTTGATTAAATACGTCATCTTTATTTGAAACTTCACTATAAAACAAAATGGATGACACACTGATTAAACAAGAGGTATTCGTTTTGGAGGTTTACAAAGAAATTCAAAGTTGTGACAGTGATGTCAAGCCTTATAACTTTAATGTTCAACTGTTCTGCTCCGACTGGGCTAATGAAGACGGGTATACACCATACAGTGTGCTGTGAGGGATTTAGCCCGGACAGCGGCATTACAAGCTACTGTTATATCGAATTCCAACTGTCAAGGGATCTCTTACGTGCATGCCAATGTGTACACGGGGCCACAGTTTTTTGTACCATCTGAACGACAAGACAGCTATGCTTGTCAGGCCCGGAAGTTCCCAGGTTTGCTCCTGATGTTGGCTGAGAAAGTTCCTCAGGATTTTCCGGCTTGGTTTCCCCTTATCAGAAGAGCAGGACGGAGGGTTGGCAAGGAACAGTGTCTAGATAAACTTAGTAATATGATCTACCTTGAATTTGTTGAGTTATCTAAGAGAAGACGTTTAATAGTGATATCATCCACTCTGTAAACAACATTTTGACAACAACATAACAGAAACCAATTTAAGCCTGCAGAGCCAGTACACCAATGTTTTATTTCTTCGGACGAAGATATTACATACTGCAATATAAAAACAAACCGTCCTATCACATTAAACCTACCAGGTATTACAAAATAAATAGAAGCCGTGGTGGCTTAGTGAGTAAGTTTGATCCTGCTGTTGGTCAAAAAAGTTCAGCAGGATTTTCGGGTGTGGTTCCCCCTTGTCATTGGTGCAGGACAGAGGGCCTGGCAAGGGACAATGTATAGTCATTCAGATTGGACGAAAAACAGAGGTCCTGTGTACACATTGGACAAAGGGAAACCACACTGGAAAATCCTGATATACTTTCTCAGCCAATGCAGTGATTGAACATGCAACCTCTAGGCTGTTATTCAAAGGAAGGAGGTGAGTAATTAATCAAATGATTGGTCAATCCCAAATAAAGTACTTCACACTCTTCTGATAGCTATTAAATTTTGTGGCATCATTTTCATCTTGACTGGACTTCAACAACTTTAAAAGTACCATCAATAAATTAATAAACCATTGTTTAAAAATGAAATGGGGTTTAACATCCTAGTACGGTACTGATCATTGTTGGGACTAATGAAGATAACTGGCTGTGGCTAGTAGTTAAGCAGATGTCTCTCGCTATGACTTTGATAACAGCACCTAAGAAATCTTGTTAAGAAATTACATACATCGTAGCACTCCAAAACCGATTTTAAAATGTTCATTGAACTACGGTAATGTAGGCCTAGACAGTCCAGTACATGTATATACATACATCAGGAGGGGAGCCTATATTTTCACAGTAAAATAACAGCATCAATATTTATTTAAATGGATAAAATATTGGATTATAATTTGTGTGTGTCGGACATTGGGGATAATATTGATTGAGTTTATTTTAATGGCTCTATCTAGGTTAATATAAGGACAAGTTATGAAGCCTTGTATAAACCTTTGGAATATCTGTTTGTCCATATATATGAATAAATCGTGCTCCATACTGAAAAACACGCTCGTTCATAGTTCTTTGATGTATATATACTGTAATTTAATTTAATATGAACACAGCTAAAAATGAGCATGTGAAGACATTTTCACAGTTTTCAAAAGTCCCCCACTTTATTTAATAAAGCGCAACAAAGTTTGGTGAATATTAGTATTTATCAAAGAAAACGAAATAGTAATTTTATTCACAAGACAACCTCTAAAGGCCAAATACAAAAACACAGAATAACCAAACAAATTTTGATAAACGTTTCACCTTTTAAGTCCGCAATTTCGAAAAAATATATAAATGGAAACTAAATTAAATCGTATTTCGTCTTATTTTTTTAAATTTGTATCTTGCCTGATAAAGGGTAAATAGAACCGGCAATTTCATTGGTTTATTGACAATATAACGACGAATGAAACACCTTCTACTAAAACATTTATCGGAAGATATTATTATTATGGGATGGAAATATGCGGCCATTTTCGTACCACGCTAAGATGAAATATCGAAAATGAAATAGATTTCTATTCTTTATTAACTTTATTAGTATATCATATCCTATTCTTTAAGTATGGAGGCTGTGCGCGCGTTTAACAATGAGGTATACATTAAATCCCGAATATCTGCTTATAAATTTAGGAAATGACCCTAACATGAAATGTGGCGGATAGAATAGCTAGCCTAGTTTTTAGGCTACTCGGAATTTCCATTTGCCATCCCAACAGGCATCATTCATTATTGTCGGAGAGGGCGTCGTTTTAATCGGAATTAAGATAGTGCTTTACCTTGCAGATCAATTCCATACTGATCACAAGCGAAGCTAAATTGGCATTGGTCAATGTAAATGTCAACATTGTCATTGCAATCAAACAATTTTACAAAAGTTAACAAAGCTAATTTAGTCTGTAATAGTAATATAGAATAACAAATTCCATACTACTTTGAAGTTTTAGCATTGTTGTCATTAAATGTCACTTTTGCCAACCTTCATGGCAAATGAAAGGCTACAATAGGCAGTGTCCACACACAACTTTGTGGGATAGTGCTTGTTGTATTCCATTCCAACCTCATTGAGATACAAGATTTTGGAAAAAGCAAAAAATTTTAATGTTCCAAATCTGCTTTGGTTTCCTTGATGTTTGCATCATGAACTATGTCGCCTTATAATATTAGAACTTGTGTTTGCATTATGGTCAACGCTTCCAGCCATAATATGATGAGAAATTCTTGTCAGCTTTAATCTTATTTGGTCTCTGATCATCATATGAGGGATATATAATCCCTGGTACAGTAACCACATTGGCTTGTTAACCTGGAGTTCCTGGGTATTGGATTATCCAATGTGGTTCCCCCTGGTCGGATGGAGGGCCTGACAGGGGACAGAGTATAGTTGGAAAACCAAGATCCTGTGACAATTGGAGGCAAAATGTCCCTCAGCACACTGCATAGGGTATGCTCATTGTCATTAGCCCAGTCAGAGCAGAACAGTAGGATGTTAAACCCCATTTCATTTCATTTATATAATCCCTAGCAAATTGCAATATTGTTGGATCCCTAAAAATAATTTGAGTCCAAAAATAGTTCACTTCAATTCAGTAATTACGATAAAACATTTATGATGAATTTGTCAACCTTAATGTGAGGAATTTGTCACAACAGTTGAAAGTTTGATTACTCAGCTTTTGAGAAGTCACCTTTCCTGTGTATTTGAATCTTAGCAATCTGTAGATGGTGGGGTTGGATGGCCGAATGGTTAGCACGTGTGCACTGTATCATATGGTCTGTCATTGAGTCAGCTGAACCGTGTGTTAGTCCCGAAATGACCTAGTTTGTGTTGAGTGGATGTTAAACCCCTCTCTCTCCCTCTCCTATCTGTAGATGATTTGTGGAAAGATTGTTATTACCCAAATACATAGACTTAACCTGGATCCTGGATCCCCCTGTAATAGATGTTGGAAGAGAATGGTTAATCATGGAAAGATTGAGAAGCTTATAACTAATTTTTATTTTGTCATTTCAGTTATCCTCTCTCTATGAGGTCCGACCACCAGTGTCGCGTGCCAAAATGGCCCATATCACCAAGACAGCCATCAAAGCTATTAAATTTTATAAACATGTGGTGCAGAGTATCGAAAAGTTCATCCAAAAGGTAGCCTTAGTTAAAATACAATTTGTAGGCTAATTTGAGATCTGGGGCCTGTTTCACCAAATTTTAACTAAGATAAAATCCAAATTTTAGTAATTTGATTGGATAATATTAGATTGATTTTAGTGCTTAGCCAATCAAAATTGAAGTATCTACTAAAATTTGGATTTTATCTTTAGTTAAAATTTCGTGAAACAGGACCCTGGAATTTAATCATTTTGATTCTTAACATGTTCTTAATATCTTTTACTTGCATTAGCTATAATAATAATATGTACATTTATATAGTGCTAGTACTCCATGCAAAGAGGCATGCTCACAGAGCATACAGTTTGATTAATTTGATTAATCATTATAAAATTATAATTATAAAATCTTTATTGCTACCCAACAAACGTTTTAACCGCCATAACTTATTTTGTTTTCAGTGTAAACCAGAATATAAAGTACCAGGATTATATGTTATTGATTCAGTTGTTCGACAATCAAGACATCAATTTGGTTCTGATAAAGATGTATTTGCTCCAAGATTTACTAAGAATATTGTATCAACTTTCCAAAATCTCTTTAAATGTCCTGTTGAAGAAAGGGTAGGTTTATCAGGTTTTGTTCTACCAGCAATGTCATCCTAAATTTGGGGTTTGTCATTGAGTCAGCTGGTGTGGTTTCGATTCCAGAGTTGTATGTGACAAGGAGTAGGGTCGTCTGTCCAACCTCGTGGGTTTTCTCCGGGTCCTCCGGTTTCCTCCCACTGCTAAAGACACCTACGTGCAAGAGAATTATAAAATTGAACCATCTTAGTCCAGAAATGACCTAGTTTGTGTTGAGTGGATGTTAAACCTCATTTCTCTCTCTCTCCCTTCTAAATTTTAGTTGATATAAAAACTTACCTTATACAATATTTAATGGAATTGTATATGGTGTAATTTAAATATCAGGATATTACCTTGTGTGAATGTGCCTAGATACAACATTATCAATTTTAGAAATAAACTAGTTTTTTTTGCATTTGTGTTTTCAGAGTAGGGTAGTTCGAGTCTTAAATTTGTGGCAGAAAAATGGTGTTTTCAGAGTAGAAATCATTCAACCATTGTTGGATCTGGCAGCAGATCCAAATAATGTCCAGTTAGTTCTTGCAGGTATAATATTTGATCAGACATTTTTTATTTATTTGGGGGGTGGGGGTTGGATGACCGAATGGATAGCGCTCGCGCGCTGTATCATACGGTCTGTCATTGAGTCAACTGGCGAGGTTTCGATTCCCCGGTTGTACGTGACAAGGAGTAGGATTGCCTGTCCAACCTCATGGGTTTTCTCTGGGTCCTCCGGTTTCCTCCCACTGTTAAAGACCCCTACGCGCAAGCGAATTATTGAAATAATAAAATTAAACCATATGTTAGTCCCGAAATGACCTAGTTTGTGTCGAGTGGACGTTAAACCCCATTTCTCTCTCTCTCTCTTGTTTATTTTATTACAATGTTAGGTTTAATCCATTTTGATTAGGTATCAGGCAGTGCAGCACAAACAACACAGACACTCTTAAATGTCAAAGTTCACGACAAATCCTGACAAAATAAAATTATAATGCATCAAGTGCCAAAATTAACCAGAATGTCATGATGAAAACAAAACGGCTGCGATATTTTAATAAATTAATCCAATTTATTTCAGCCCAAAGAGCTGTTGAAAGTGTTTGCAACATGAAGCACCCACCTGTTCCAACCCAGCCACGAACATCAGCAACACCAGAAAAAAGTGCCAGTGCAGCTAAAAAGCAAGCCCCCGAAAAAGGAAAGGCAACTCAAAATGATATGTTAAACACAGTTACCATGTTATTAAACCAGTCTCAGGAGGTAATTTCATTTGTTTTCATAGTTACAGAGCTATAAAGGGAAAGGCATATCTTTTTCTTTGCCAGTTTGTTTTAGTTGTCCCCCACTATTAAGATAGGTTTGCCCGTCACAGTTTTTGGGACACAATAACTCTGCTTCTAATTGAGTAGAGGGACATCAACCTCACTGTTGACCTTTTTTGCTTGAATACTTGACCTTTGGATTACTATTTTCAAGTTCCATGTTGTTCTTTATCCAGGCAGGTCTTGTGTACTCTTTAGATAAGTCTGTTAAGCAAGACTGGAAATAAGGCACCTATCACAGACAATGTCAGACACAGATTCAGGCTTTGTCAGGCACTAATCCTGTGGTGCCTGTCATTTTGTACGGCACTGATTTGTCTTTTTTATTGATAATATTAATACATGTCTAGCACTAAGTTGAAAATGTCAGGTACTATTTAATTTCCAGGCCTGCTGTCAAATGTTGTGATTTTGATCCCAAACTTTTACCAGGAGTATGTTTGCTTTTGTGTTTTCCACAAGTTCTTCCCACTGATAACCCCTTGGGCACAACAGAATTAATGAAAGAAATGTATGCTGATCACAAAAATGACATTGTATATTTTAAGTGAATAGTAAACAATCTCTCTTCCCATCAGTTATGGACGAGAGCCTGACTTTGGCATGCACGTAAAAGATTCCTTGACACTGTATGGCGTATGCCCGTCTTCATTAGCCCAGTTCGGAGCAGAACAGTAGGACGTTAAACCCCATTTCATTTCTCATCAGTTATACCTAAATCATCAATATTGTTATGAAAATATACTTTGTCATTCAATTCAGGGTCAGTCAAGTTTAAGTGCTCAACAACAAAAGTTGCATCAGCTACAGCTATTGCAGAAACAATTGATGCAGCAAACCGAAATGATGCAAAAACCACAACAGAAACAAGCACCTGTTATTGATGCTAATCTTCTCGCCCAGATTCAAACTTTAACAAATCAGTTATTAAGTAAAACATCTGCTGATGGAAAAGGTGGTCCACCAGAACCAGGTTTCAATAAAGTAAGTAACTATCTGAATTACCCCGTACTTACCAGTACAGGACATGGTATTTATTTAAGATTTTATACTAATCCCATCAGCTTTCCACTTTTAGGGGGGTTGGATGGCCGAATGGTTAGTGTGTGTGCACTTTATCATTAGGTTTGTCTTTGGGTCAACTGCCGTGATTTCAATTCCCAACCTGTCCAACCTTGTGGGTTTTCTCTGGGTTCCCCTGTTTCCTTCCACTGCTAAAGACCCCTACACGCAAGTGAATTATCGAAATAAAATTGAACCATATGTTAGTCCCAAAATGACCTAGTTTGTGTCAAGTGGACGTTGACCCCCATTTTTTTTTCTCTCTCTCTCCCTATACTATTAAACAAAATTACTGCGATTGGTCTTAACATTCATATAAATAAGCTTAAAGCTACGAAAATAGGGGAACTTGCTGTCAGACAATCATTACATATGGTAGATGCCAGTGTTAACAATTTTATTTAAATATTTCAGAAACTTCTTGATTTTGACTACGGTGAAAGTGACGATGATGATGAGGGTAGGAAAGATGACACTCATGCGCTTCAAGGGTAGGTTAATGTGTTAAAAATTATATATAAGTACCTTTGATTTATTGTATGTCAGTTGCATTTATTTTATGTCATTGTTTTATGAAGTGAAATTTGAGAGAAAGTCTGAAGCAGATTGACAAAGAGTCATAGACAACCAACTCATAATTCTTGAAGATTCAATTTTTAGACAAATATAAAGTTAGGTTATTTTTCGCTATAATGTTAAATCTAAACAGTAAAATCGTGCAATAATATTCCAATTCTTAGGCTTAGAATTATTTGTTTTATTAAGAACGCATTGTTTCAAATATTAGCAAACTGTTTTATTTCAATGGCTCTTATTAATTATAAGCAAACTGTTTTATTATTTCATGTTTTTGTTTACCATTTTATTCCACAGAACTGTGCAAAATATCTTAAATGATCCTAACATCATGCAGAGAATACACCAGATGTCTCAGTCTTTACAAAATCCTGATATAAGTGTACAAGAACAACTTCATCAACAACTCCTTCAACAACAAGAACAGTTTGATAAGGAGATTGGACAGGTAAAATTCTGTTAAATATCTCCGTCTATTTTCAGTGACATATCTACTTGACATAATTATTAATCCATATGAGCATTATGGAAGATTAGATAAAGAGCTCTAGATAATTGAAAGGGAATATGCTGAAAATTTCAATAAAATTTCTCCATTCTGAACTGAGATATTAGCGTTTGAATTTTAGGCCTAGCCTCGATCATCATAGGAAAAATATGGTCTTGATTATCCATTTTTGAATTAAATCATCAATGGGCGTTGAGCAGCAAATCGGATTCAAATCCAGTGAAAATCTGACACATAAGATGGTATCGAGAGTTGATTATGGTCTGGATAACTTAATTAATAATTTAGATAACATTTAAGGCCTAAAGAAAGACCTGCAATAGGCAGATTTAGCTCTTGCATAATGTATGTTTAATCGATATTGATAACCCTTTTCCAATACACCAATCACCCTGGAACGACAACATGATTATAATATAACTACTTGACTGACAAATATATCAAATAACGGTACACAATCCAGTAAATGTTTTTCATAAGTCAGACAGACTTAAAAAGTGAATTTATTTTTATAGGGTTCTGCTATGATGATGCAAGGAATGATGGAGGATCCTCGAGGTATGGGACATCCTAACTCCAATGAAGCAATGGAATTGGATCCTAGTATTGAAATAATCGAAATTCCTCCACCACGAGAAGACAGATCAGATAGAAGACATCGGGATCGTTCAAGGTATAGATGTTTAATACTACAGGATTTCTTGACATTGCAGCGGGAAGTTTCATTCCCCGGTTGTACGTAACAAGGGGTAGTGGCGTCTGCCCAACCTCTTGGGTTTTCTTCGGGTTCTCCCCGTTTCCTCCCACAGCTACTAAAGACCCCTACGCACTAGCGAATTGTTGAAATAAAATTGAACCATAAATTAGTCCTGAAATGACCTAGTTTGTGTCCAGTGGAGTTAAACTCCCTCTCTCTCTCTCTCCCTCCGTCTCTCTGGACATTGCTGAAATTCAAATATTTTAGGGTGTAAAAATCTCAAGACAGGAAGTAAGAACAAAAATATAAATTTATGTAATTATTTGTTCAAATGAGTTTTAATGAAGAGAAAAACTAGCAAATTAATGTAAAATAGGATAAAAGCCTACTCTCTCGACTTTAAAACATACTGATAAGTAAGCTGCCATGTTGAGTACCCACACTCCAGAGTTTATTCATCATTTAACCTTTACTTTCCTGGGTTAAATTCTCACTAAGGTATGACTGTTAAGGATTATAGCTGACTTCGAAATCAACAAGTAATAATTAACTCTTTGTAATTGAGCTGAAAGTAGATTGATCTACGATACTGTGGTGACCAAGTTATTTTTTTTTAAATATTAAAGTCTACTCAGCCTGTTCAATCTGATTAAAATACAGATCTATATTTCTTATCGTTTTTTTTTTTAATACTTTCGATGGCCTACACTACATGAAGATCTGACCGGTTGTATTAGAAGGTCACGTCAGGGGGTGTACGAGCGGCTTTTTACCCTATGAGCTCTGATATTCACCGTTCCATTGGCTAATTCCTCACATCATCAAGAACGCGGGTTATATAACAACTCTTCCAGGTCCTAGTATAGTAAAGAAAAGTAAAACAAAATTTTGAACTATAAAGAATGAAATGAAATAGGATCAAATTGCAGCCTCTTAAGATTCCTATCAAAAATATCTTGCAATCTTTAAGGGCTTAAATTGTTAGATTTTCTGAGCTGATACATGTTGATTCGATATGGTTTAATTACAAGTTAAATCAGCTTAATTATATGATTTTTTTTTTATCAAGGTCACCGAAAAGACGAAGAAGATCTAGGTCAAGGTCAAGAGATAGGAAACGTAGGTCACGGTCAAGAGACAGAGATCGACATCGTAGATCACGGTAAGTTTAAACAATCATATATTTAGAAGTAAAAGAAATACGGAATATTCAATGTGGAATACTTTCACTCGCGACCATATAAAATAATTGTTGGAATTTATTGGAGAATGCTATATAATTCATACATCTATATTTTTCAGTTCTCGAGATAGGGAAAGGGAAAGAGAAAGGGATAGACAGAAGGAAAAAGATCGTGAAAGGAGAAGAAAAGGTTTACCTCCAATGAAAGAAGAACACCTTAGTGGTAAATTTTATCTAGCTTTTGTCAACATATTCAGATTTTGTTTTTGGACCAAGAACAGGTCGCTAACTGGTTACTAATCTTGTTCTTCTTCTTGGGGTGAAGTCCAAGAGGTTTATTAATAATCAGACGTTTCGAACTCCTTATGTCTGACATATACTGGTTACCGGAGTTCTGTCTCATCTCACATTTATTTGAATTGTTAATGAATTTTAAAAACGACTGTCTCTATTTTACATTTAGTATAATTTGAACACCTCCTTTTGTAACTGTTTATCAAATATAAAAACCTTTTACTAGTGATAATGGCTCTATAAATTGAACTTTATTATTGCAGTTTGTAGCAAAACCTTGTGGCTTGGACACGTTGCCAGATCAACCACAGAAGATGAGTTAAAGTTTGAAATAGAGAAATATGGTACAATAGAGAGTATAAATGTAAGTCTGAAAGTATTATGTTCTGTTTTTAGCCTTGGTTCCCCCTTGTTAGGAGTGCCTGGCAAAGGACAAGGTATAATAAATAGGTTCATGTTGGCATGCACTTGGCAAAAATTATTTTGATTTTTCAATGCTTGCAATGGCGTGATTTGTTGGCAAGCATTTTACAACTATCACACATGCTTTTGTTGCTGACTAGCTCCAGTCTGTGTTTCACTATTTTAATCATTGATATACTATATTCACTAAAAGTTCATCAGGATTTTCGAACATGGTCTCCCTTGTCAGTGGTGCAGAATGTAGGGCCTGACAAGGACAGCTGTCGAGTCGTTCGGATAAGATAAAAAAAATACGAGGTCTTGTGTATACATTGACGTGCACATAAAAGATCCTTTGGCAGTTGGAATTGGATATGAATAGACCATAGTGCCGCTGCCCAGGCAAAATTCGCTCATAGCACACTGTATGGCGTATGCCCGTCTTCATTAGCCCAGTCGGAGCAGAACAGTAGGACGTAAAACCCCATTTCAATTCATTTGTATTCACTAAATATATTGATATACTGATCTAATACACACTATACTGGTCTAATACACTCTATATTCAATATAAAAACATTGATATACTGGGCTAATACACTCTGTATTCAATACACACTGTGTTCTATAAAAGCATTGATATACTCATGATGTACACACTATATTCACCATAAAGATTGTGACTTATCTTGTTTTATAGATGATTCCTCCAAGGGGTTGTGCGTTTGTTTGTATGACGAAAAGAAAAGATGCTTATAAAGCAGTGGATAGATTACAGGGGTTAAAATTAAATGGAAGTTTATTGAAGGTGAGTTAAAATCCAGTTTCAGTTATTAAACATGAAAATGTTTGTGTGTGTCTACACTAATATCCTTCTCTAGAATATCTTATTCCACTTCTTGATTTTCTGGACATTGCGCTTGACTAACCATCTTTAATTTGCTTTTTTATACGCCCACATTTTCATCTGGACGTATTATGCCGTCGCCCCTGTCTGTCCACAATTGTTTGTGGACTCTCTACAGGTCACAATTCTTATCCGATTTTGATGAAACTTGAAATATAGGTTTATCCCCAAAAAATCTCGGCTGCTTTCGATATTGGCATGTATCGGATCGAAACTTCATGGATTATGGCCCCTGATTATACGAAAAATCACGTTTTTAGCTTGTGGACCCTATAGAGGTCACAATTTTTATCCGATTTTTTTGAAACTTGAAATGTAAGTTTATAACCCAAAGATCTCGGTTCATTTCGATCTTCGCACATATCGGACCTTAGCTTCCTGAATTATGGCCCCTGATTGTACGAAAAATCGCGTTTTTAGCTTGTGGACCCTATAGAGGTCATAATTTAAAAAACCGTATTATTATATCACTGTTACACCCTAAGGAAGGTTGAGTTCGAATTTCATGAAAATCAGCCCAAAATTGACAGACAAAATGGCCGCCGTTCGTTCTCAAATAGCGTAAAAATATGGTATATCGAGGTTGTGGACCCTATAGAGGTCACAATTTTTATCCGATTTCTTTAAAACTTGAAATGTAAGTTTATAACCCAAAGATCTCGGTTCCTTTCGATCTTCGCGCATATCGGACCGTAACTTTCTGAATTAAGCCCCCTGATTGTATGAAAAAAATCGCGTTTTTAGCTTGTGGACCCTATAGAGGTCATAATTTTTATCCGATTTAAAAAAACGTATTATTATATCACCGTTACACCCTAAGGAAGGTTGTGTTCGAATTTCGTGAAAATCGGCCCAAAATTGACAGACAAAATGGCCGCCGTTCGTTCTCAAATAGCGTAAAAATATGGTATATCAAGGTTGTGGACCCTATAGAGGTCACAATTTTTATCCGATTTTGTTGAAACTTGAAATGTAAGTTTATAACACAAAGTTCTCAGTTCCTTTCTATATTCGCGCATATTGAATTGTAATTTCCTGAATTATGGCCCTTGATAGTAGGAAAAATCACTTTCTTGATAGCTTGTTCTCTATCCATCTCTCGAAAATGTGGGCATATCCTGCCTGGCAGCCGCTGGTTTGTAAATATTCATGTTGTAATTTCATACTACAGATTACATACTTGATAATTCTGGCAGAAAAAAAATGACAAATTAGGTTGTTGATAATGAAGACTTGCATTAACATCCTTCAAAACATGTGATTCTTTTTTTTTTTTGAGGTATTGGCGGGAGGTTGGATTGCCGAATGGTTAGCATGTGCGAGCTGTATCATAAAGTCTGCCATTGAGTCAACTGGCGTGGTTTCGATTCCCCGTTGTAGGTGACAAGGAGTAGGGTCGGCTGTCCTCACACTGCTAAAGACCCCCACTCGCAAGCTAATTAATGAAATAAAATTGAACCATGTGTTAATCCCGAAATGACCTAGTCTGTGTCGAGTGGAGGTTAAACCCCATCTCTCTCTCTCTCTCTCTCTTTTTTTGAGGTGCTGGTCAGCACTAACTCTTGTCTAACAATCTTTAAATATGCTTTTGTTTGTAATGTTATCCATTACATATTTGAAGAAAAAATGACAATAAATTAGGTTAGTGATAATAAACTGTATTTCTAGGTGGCATGGGCTCCTGGTTTTGGTGTGAAAGGTCCACAGTATAAACAAATGTGGGACGTAGATCTCGGAGTGACATATATACCATGGGATAAACTACCCCAGGATGTACCACAGCTTGTAGAAGGTGGTGATATAGATACAGAAACATTACCGGAACATTTAAAGGGTAAGTCGAAACGTAGCATGTTAATAAATTCAGAAGTAGTATATCCATATAAATGTTTTTAATTTTTTAAATAAGAGTTGATATATGATGAAATTTGTGGGAAAATGTTGCAAGGACTTACCCACAGATAAATATATTTGTATTGTCTAGAGAACTTAGGTTTTGATTTAATGTATTTTAAGGGTTGAAATTTGGGCCGTCTGAGGAGGAGGAACAACAAATGCAAGAAAATTTGAATAACATGCCTAAGATGTTACCACCACCTGATATGACTAATCCACCGCCTTTTCCACCGGGACCAGGTGGTCCAGGGGGACCTCATGGACCTGGTGGGCCGAATGGACCTCATGGACCTGGTGGGCCAAATGGACCGCATGGGCCTGGTGGGCCGAATGGACCTCATGGACCTGGTGGGCCAAATGGTCCTCATGGACCCGGTGGGCCTGGTGGGCCGAATGGTCCTCATGGACCCGGTGGACCTAGTGGCCCTGGTGGAGGAGGTCCCAATCAAGTACCTGCAGGTAAGTAATTTCTTATTCTGAAAAAAAAAAGAAGAAAAATGAAGTGATTTAAATAGTACAAGTAACCCTATTTTGTGTGCACATTTCCATGACATAGTTGCCTTCATCCATCCATATATGGTAAATTTCTCAACATATGTATCTTGATTACCTCATTAGCTGGTGGTGGGGGGGTGGAGTGTGAATGGCTGAATTGTTAGCACGTGCGCGTTGTATCACAAGGTCTGTCATTGAGTCAACTGGCGTGGTTTTGATTCCCAGATTGTACGTGACAAGGAGTAGGGCTTTTCTCAGGGTCCTCCGGTTTCCTCCCACTGTTAAAGACCCCCCACGCGCAAGCGAATTATTAAAATAAAATTGAACCCTGTGTTAGTCCCAAAATGACCTAGTTTGTGTCGAGTGTACGTTAAACCCCGTTTCTCTTCCTCTTTCTCATTAGCAGGTGCTTGATGCCACATTACATACGTCATAGAATTTGCTTTTGTTAGTGAATAAGAAATATTTTCATCAGAACTGAAAATAATGTGCGAACAAATTTATATCTTTAATTCCTTTTTTGGGAATTTCTTATATGTTGACAATGGTAAATTTCTCAACATATGTATCTTGATTACCTCATTAGCTGGTGGTGGGGGGGTGGAGTGTGAATGGCTGAATTGTTAGCACGTGCGCGTTGTATCACAAGGTCTGTCATTGAGTCAACTGGCGTGGTTTTGATTCCCAGATTGTACGTGACAAGGAGTAGGGCTTTTCTCAGGGTCCTCCGGTTTCCTCCCACTGTTAAAGACCCCCCACGCGCAAGCGAATTATTAAAATAAAATTGAACCCTGTGTTAGTCCCAAAATGACCTAGTTTGTGTCGAGTGTACGTTAAACCCCGTTTCTCTTCCTCTTTCTCATTAGCAGGTGCTTGATGCCACATTACATACGTCATAGAATTTGCTTTTGTTAGTGAATAAGAAATATTTTCATCAGAACTGAAAATAATGTGCGAACAAATTTATATCTTTAATTCCTTTTTTGGGAATTTCTTATATGTTGACAATTTATTTTAAATACCAAATGTATATTTTAGGCATGCCACCTCATATACCAGGAATGATGCCACCTATGATGATATCAATGACAGGACAGATGCCTGGTCCAATGCCCCCAGGAATGCCACCAAGAGGTTTACAATTACCACCTGGTGCTCATCCTGGTATGCAGTTAACACCTGGACAAATGCAAAGGATGCCACCCCCTGGTGGTATGTTGCCAGTTAGGAGTCTGGCAAGTGGAGGAATTCAGGTAGTTACAAAAGCTATTTACTTTGTTTCATGTAAGAAACAAAGAATTGAATTAATTAAAACCGCATTATGGAAGATTAAAGATCTGACAGTTCTTGCTATAATAGTTGAAAGATAATGTAAAAGGGAAATGCTGAAAATTTCAGTCAAATTACTTCACTCTAAGCCAAGAAATCATCATTTTAATAACACTGTAGCCTCGGTTGTCAATGTTACAGTTATTACGATAATTAACAAAGTCTTGATTATCCATTTTTATGGTATTCTTCAACAACTGTTGGACTGTAGATCAGATTCAAATGGCATCAAGAGTTGATTATGTTCAGGATAAATTAATTAATGTCTAATAAATAGTTTATATAACATTTCAGGCCTAAAGAAAGACATGAAATAGGCAGATTTAGCTCTTACATTAATACTTGTTTAAAAGGGTAGAAAAGTATATTCTAACAGATATAAATGTTCAATATTTATCTCTCAATTGACATGTTAAAATTTAGCTCATCCTATGTTATATTTCACGATTTTTTAATCGCCTTATTTACTTGCATATTAAAATTTAGTCCAAAAATGGTTCAAATCCATTCAGTATTTGCGTGCTAGAAATAAAGCATTGCATCCATTGACAAGATAGAAAATAATTTCTAGCAGCTATAATGTTCTATGTTTAAAATCGAAGAATTCAATTAGTTTGGCCTACCTTACCTTATCTTTCTTTATGCTATATATTGAATTATTCTCTGTATTTTAATGATTTTCAGAAATCAGTCAAGGTCTCTAGAAATCACTTGCAGAATCAGTTCCATTCAGTATTTACAAAGAAATATAGAATTGAAATTTCCGTGATCTATGCTGCTCGCTATTTAATGAGCCGTCCGCAAAATATTTTTGATAGACCTATTTCATATCCGATTGAATTCAAGCCAGGACATTATTGAGCATTGGTTCAATTCCCCGGTTGAACATGATAAGGAGTAGGGTCGCCTGTCCAACTTCATGGGTTTTCTCTGGGTCCTCCGGTTTCCTCCCACTGCTAAAGACCCCTATGCTCAAGTGAATTATTGAAATAAAATTGAACAATGTGTTAGTCCCGAAATGACCTTGTTTGTGTCGAGTGGACGTTAAACCCCATTTCTCTATCTAGTGTTGGTATTTTAATTAGTGTTTTCTTTTACAATAATTCTTTACTGAATAACATTTTCAAATTTTCTTTTTAGATGCCACCTGTGTCTATTGCCAGTTTACAGGCAGGATTATCTGGTCAAGCTGTAAGTCGTGGTCAGGTTATGTTGAGCACCAGTCCAATGCCAGCAGGAATGACAGTTCGTCCACCCCTCCAGAATATCTTAACATCGGCAGCCAACAATTTGCAAGCTATGCAAAATGTTCCCGGCGTTGGTCGTCCTAGTTTCAATCCTCAAACTGGGGGTATGGAGATACCAACACATTTACCACCACCTAGGTTCCGTATGATGATGCCTGGAAACCCAATGCTAAGACCTCCCTTCAACAACCTTATGAGTAAGCCAGATGATGAAGAGGAAAATGAGTGGGAAGATGAAGAGGCGGAGGATGTTGATGATCGTATTCTGCCACCTGGCAATCCTAATTTTAGTATGCCACCAAATTTCACTCTTCGTCCTGGTATGATGCCTTTGCTTCAGAGAGGAATGCCACCAAGAATGTTAATACCATCTCTTTTGCCAGGCTCCCCTGCCCGCCCAGGAGCACCCAATTCAATACCCCTTCTAGGTGCCAGCCCACGACCCCCGCTAATGAGGATGCCTGATCAGAGACCTGGTACACCTAGAATGTTGCGACCTAATGTACCTGTGACAGAAGTACCAACTAGTTCTCCTGGTCCTGGTACTGTTATGAGACCAGTATTGGGTGTTCATCCCCCTGGTGCAAGTCCCAGGATGTTGGGTAATCCCAGACCAGGACTACTGGGCTTTAGACCTCCAGGATTTCCAAGATTTATGAATCCAAATTTCCGTGGAACTCCAGATGGTCCTAGTGCTGATGGACCTAATTTTAACGACAGAGATCGATTTGGTGGACCAAAACCTCTAATGGAAGTCGATTTCCGAGGAATGCCAAGAATGCTTATTGAAAATGATAACAATGAAGATGAAGAATTTGAAGAAAATGAAAACGACTTTGTTAGGGAACCCTTCCGACGTGATAGTAATGACCGGGATGACAGAAAGGATCGAGAACAAGATCATTTTGAGAAAGATCATGGTTTTAGAAATCATCACGAGAAGCGACCCCGTAATAGAGATCGTTCTAATCGTCAAAGTAGGTGGAGTGATGCCACTCCAGATGAAATGAATGTAGACATTCCTGTTAATGATAGTTTACCAGGTGCTACAGAAACCAATCTAAACATGGAGACTAAAACAGACAGTAATATAAAGATATCTAACACTGAACCACTATTGCCAATACTACCTAATGGTCCGGATACTAATCAGTTAAATTTAAATAAAAATGACAGCACGAATATCGAAGTAAAACCCACTGAGAATATAAGTGATATTTTCAAAAACACAAAAAACAATGGTGAAAGTAAAACTGTGGAAGCAGTGAAAGATGTCAGTGTTGAAAGCATTAAGACTATTGAACCCTTTGTTATTCCACCACCCGTCATGGCTCCTCCTCCTGCTATACCTCCTGTCATAGCAACAACTCCTGTTAACACACCTTCTGTAGTAACAACCCCTGTCATTAAACCTGCAGTCGTGGCTAACCCTGTTGCTCCTATTCAACCAGTTATTGCTAATGTGCCACCAGTCAGCCCTGTGGTTATGACAGAAACAAAAGCTGTTGAACCTGCACCGGTTGCCGTGGAAACTAAAAGTGTAGAAAACCCACCAGCGCTTGTTGAAACCAAATCTGTGGAACCTCCGAAAGACATAAATGAAAGTAAAAGCGCAGAAAAACCATCCGAATTATCAAATGCTATAAGTGACCCTACTGATAGTTAATAGTGGTTATTCTTAAAGTAAACAAATTAATCTGTCATATCTTTTCTACAAAACATTAATTATGACAATGTGACAAGGAATTGTTATTACTTTTTTTTTATTATTATTTTTGTTTTAAAATCAAGAGTGTGATGGAATTTGAACATACTTATTCGTAACCAGGATAACTAATTATGAACCAGTGCAACATCTGTCGTGTGTTCTATTAAAAAAAAAAATTTGTAACAAGCAATATTTGTTTGCACAGATTTTAGTTAAAAATCATTTCGCTTCTTTAAAAAATGGCACTTTATTTTAAAAAATGAAAAATAGGTGCACAAATTTAAAAGAGATCATTAAATGAAGATTTTAGGTGCACCAAGAGATCACAAAATGAAGATTTTAGACGATGAAGTTCGGTCTTAAAAAGACAATTAACGATTTCTATACATTGATATGTATATTATTTTGACTTTAAAATTGTGTATAGGGACATTGTGAGTGGATTTCTGTGATCCCAATATGATGTGTATACATTGTTGAGTTTTTTTGTATGTACATGTATTATATTACAAGACTTTGTTTTTAACTGATTGAATGTACATGTGTGTGTATGTCAAGTGGAGATTTTATTTTTCATGAGAGCAATATTTTGAATGTGAATAGTTCTGTTTATTTATATTATAAAGGTGCAAACAAAGGCTGTTGAATCAGCACATTTTTAAAAAAAATGAAATATAAAATATCGAAAATAATTTCTGGGCTTTTTTGTTAGTCTTGTTCTTCGTTTGATGTCTGCTTCACTACTTTATTTAGCTATTCAAATGATGTTTTCCAGCTTAGATTATCATGAATTAGGTACTTTTCTTGCGTTGCTCATAATTGATATCTATTAACTGAAGAATCACCCTTTAAGACATTCTTGAAGTGATATGAAAATGGTTGAGGTTGAAAAGATGGAAATATACACATATGACATTCGGGAACTTCAAAAATATTTTTTGAAGGAAAACTAATAAAAATGTTTTCTAGATGTATTTTAGGCTAGAAAATATGATAAATGTTTTAGAAATAAGAAATAGTATTATCTAGTTGTAAGTAATATGATCTACTGTAAATTATTTTCATGTTAAAGGGATTCTTCCTTTAATATTTTGCCATGGATCAGTTCTTTTGCAAGGTGACAAGGTGAGTTCATTTTTTTAAAATGAAATCGTAAATAAATCAAAAAAAATGAATTATAATTTTCAAAATAAGAAAATGGGATAGTAGTAATAATAATAGCCTACTACAAACATTTCCAGTAGATAAATGGATCAGCAAAGGGGGTGGAGATCTTTGCTGAAATCTAATTCTCCAAATTAATAGGGAGAAAAATAAGCTTCAAAATAAATGACCTCAATGCACCGAGTGGGTGTTAATGACAAATTGATTGTTGTAATAGCCGTTTATTAAGCATCTCGTTTATTAAGCATCTCGTTTATTAAGCATCTCGTTGGCAATTGATTTAAAATCGTTTTGAGAATAAGTTTTTATTGGAGCTATTATAGAAAATTAGGTTTGTTTCCTTACTCTTAATTTTCTAATGGGAGATAATAATATGGCTGCCTGGAAATAAAGCCAAGCCCGTAATAGGGCTTTTTGTATGTTATTGTTTAAAGGCAAATTGAGTAGGATTAAATTTGAAGGATTAAGAAGCATACGTTATTTTTACGGATTGATCAATCACAATTTATTTCAACATTATGCCGAAGGCTGTAATTTTTGTACAAAATATTTTGCTTTAGAGACGGGACTATATATTCGGCGGCAATTGACAGGTGATTTGTCCCTTTAAAATATTAAAGAAATATCAAATGCTAGTAATCGGAGGGAAGTAAATATGAAATGTGTTGGATTTACTTTCATATTTCAAAGATGGGCGATTATGTCGAGCGGAAAATAAACGTAAGTATGAAAGCTAAATCTTCAAACTACAGTTTGGATGGCGAATATGCGAAATGCACGCCTTTTTTCTCTTTGAACTCCGGAGAGATCAATGGGTTTGACCACACGCAAAGTAATGATAACCCTGAATTAAAATTAGCAGGCCAACTGAATATTTTTGAAAAATATTAAATTTCGGGATATGGTTTTGGTTATAAACGAAAGCTGAATATGGTCATTAAATTTAACATAAAGATAAAATCGCGTTTCTTTCATTATTAAACAGATGTCAACCAGTTTGGCACACTATGAGTTAACTTACTCATATTCATAAATTGGGACTAGACACACGCGTGATTAGGTTTTCGTCGTGTTAAGAAGTAGATACCAGTATGCTAAATGATCAAAGTCTGTTTATTGGGCTTTCGTATTGTTGTTAGATTCATTTGTACCTTATTGAGATGCCCCCGGTGTCGTCATTTATTAAAAGGAACAATTAAATATCGGTGTCTATAATTGACATTTTATGTTCAATGGGAAATTTTGTATTGTTATTCGCCTATATGATGAGTTACCCTATATTTGTATATACATGTAGTTTAATGATAAATTGGATTAATTACTGTACAATAGGAGTGACTACTCTCTTCATAAAAAATATACATGTACATAAAATAAAATAGTTTGTTGTATTTATTTCTCAAATGTTCAGGGCCCGTGAGAAGGGGGCGGTGAGCAGCAGGGAAACATGTCCAGGGGCGCCCGGAGCATTATGTTTACATCAGTAAAACTAATATGTAGTACATGTATTTGGTAGTCATCATAATATGCTGTGTTAAATCTCAGTTCCTGCGTTTTGGCAAACTGGGCCCTGTTTCTCGAAATCTTAACCAAAGATAAAATCCAAATTTTAGTAGATCCTTCAATATTGATTGGCTAAGCACTAAAATCAACCTAATATTATCCAACACAAATTACTAAAATTTAGATTTTATCTTGGTTAAAATTTCGTGAAACAGGCCCCAGATCTCCAGATATACGTCTAAAATGACGCTATAGAGACAATGTATCCTTCAAAAATGCCCCCACCCCAGTCACCGATCGAGTTTCTTGCCCAAGGGCCCGGAGTGCCCTGTCGCGAGCCCTGCAAAGGTTATAATTTGCATTGAAATAAGACTACACATTGTTCATGTGAATAAGCCAGTTTAAGCTTCGGTTTCAATCTAAATATAGGCAATTGCCATTACAATACAGTAAACACAGGAATCCCGTTGGCTCTGGTACATTAAACAGGACGCCCCGGTCTTGGCCGAGATTTACTCGTGATTTTCACGCCTGGTCTCCCCTTGTCAATAATGCCTGAACAGAAGAACCGGATAAGGGGAAAGTGTCTAGTCGTTCGGACAGTACGAAAAAACAATGCCCCTCGAATACCAGCATAGATGGAAATAACGTCGAGGGAACAAACCTTTAAATGCAGGCTACTTTTGAGTTCTTGTCCGTTCTATTTCTGATGAAAGCTCAGATGCACGGGGTTCTCGTAGTTTCAGCAAGAGCGGGTAACTCCAGAACGGAATTCGCAGAACGCTGATAGTCAGATCTAAATATTAAGGCCACCTACAGATTCCGTCATGGTCACGAGATGTAAACTGGGTTGTCGTGGGTTAGGGTTAGCGCTAGCCTTGTTTACATCTCGTGACTGGCGAAATCTGCAGGTAGCCTTAATATTTATATCTAACCGAATGTCGATAGCGTTCGTCCTCTCATGGCCGTGATGCTTAAAGTAGCTATATAAGTCTCTTAACTCAAAACCATCGAAAGTCTTCGACATTGAAAACACGAATTATTTGTCCAATTCAGATCAACATTGATGTTGTGATCTTACGGGAAAAGATGGGCTTCTAATATCCAATATTTAAGACAAATTAAACATTTTACCCTTGGTACATGAATCGTGTACCATAATGCGTTTCAGCGTCATTTGTAACAAGGGACTCGAAGAACGAGGGTAGACATATTCCACAAGTCATGTCAAACGGCGACGCCATGTTCTTATCTGGACAGCACAGACGCCATGTTCTTATCTGGACAGCATGCGCAATAAATAATATCAGTGTAGACTGGGATAACCAGACGCCAGAGATTGCCATTTGATTGAGACTTCTGGCGTATTTCACTGATCATAACTGATTATAAGTTAAGGTAAAAACAGAAACAATTGAATGTAAATCAGTTTATGTGCATTCATATTACATTATTATATATGCGTTGCGATCCATCAGTGTCAATTTCTAGCTCCCAAATATTAGAGATTTAGCTCCTTTAACGCTAAATTTTAACCAAATTCGTTAAAAACTTAAGCCTCCTGTATCATGTTAAAGGACAATATTGGTGTCAGTCATAATAAAATATATGATAGAGCTCGTTAAATACATCCCAAATATAATTTTAACACAGAGATCATTGCTACGGGAGTTGTGTAACAAGCACGTGAAGAAACGGGAAGTGACGTCAAACATGACAAACATGAGTTGTCCTTCTATATAACTGACTGAAGTAACGAGCGGTAACAGACAAACGATCGAATTTCATTTCACTAATAATTCCGTTGTAGATGAAAAGTTGTTATATGAGACGATAACAGGATATCTGACAATTTAAAAAAAGAATTGGCTGTCAGTAGATAAAAGATAACGAACAAATTAGAAAAAGTCCGTGCATTACCATGTTTTTATTAAGAACAGAATGAATAAAAACGGGGGAATGCACGGGATTTTTCTACCTTTTCTCGTGTCCCTTATCTAGTGACAGCCAATTCTATTTTAATACGCCCACATTTTCATGTGGACGTATTATGCCGTCGCCCCTGTCCGTCCGGACGTCCGTCCGTCCACAATTGTTTGTGGACTCTCTACAGGTCACAATTCTTATCCGATTTTGACGAAACTTTAAAAATATAGGTTTATCCCCAAAAGATCTCGGCTGCTTTCGATATTGGCATGTATCGGATCGAAACTTCATGGATTATGGCCCCTGATTGTACGAAAAATCACATTTTTAGATTGTGGACCCTATAGAGGTCACAATTTTTATCCGATTTTTTTGAAACTTGAAATGTAAGTTTATAACCCAAAGATCTCGGTTCCTTTCGATATTCGCGCATATCGGACCGTAACTTCCTGAATTATGGCCCCTGATTGTACGAAAAATTGCGTTTTTAGCTTGTGGACCCTATAGAGGTCATAATTTTTATCCGATTTAACAAAAAACGTATTATTATATCACCGTTACACCCTAAGGAAGGTTGAGTTCGAATTTCGTGAAAATCGGCCCAAAATTGATATTCGCGCATATCGGACAGTAACTTCCTGAATTATGGCCCCTGATTGTACGAAAAAGGAAGGTTGAGTTCGAATTTCGTGAAAATCGGCCCAAAATTGACAGACAAAATGGCCGCCGTTCGTTCTCAAAAAGCGTAAAAATATGGTATATCAATTTTGTGGACACTATAGAGGTCACAATTTTTATCCGATGTTTTTGAAACTTGACATATAAGTTTATAATCCAAAGATCTCGGTTCCTTACGATATTCGCGCATATCGGACCATAACTTCCTGAATTATGGCCCCTGATTGTACGAAAAAATCGCGTTTTTAGCTTGTGGACCCTATAGAGGTCATTATTTTTATCCGATTTAAAAAACCGTATTATTATATCACCGTTACACCCTAAGGAAGGTTGAGTTCGAATTTCGTGAAAATCGGCCCAAAATTGACAGACAAAATGGCCGCCGTTCGTTCTCAAATAGCGTAAAAATATGGTATATCAAGGTTGTGGACCCTATAGAGGTCACAATTATTATCCGATTTTGTTGAAACTTGAAATGTAAGTTTATAACACAAAGATCTCAGTTCCTTTCGATATTCGCGCATATTGAATTGTAATTTCCTGAATTATGGCCCTTGATAGTAGGAAAAATCACTATCTTGTTAGCTTGTTCTCTATCCATCTCTCGAAAATGTGGGCGTATCCTGCCTGGCAGCCGCTGGTTGAATTGTGAGATACCCTCTCACCGTCCCATATAATAACTTTTCAACTTCAACGGAATTATCAGTGAAATGAAATTCGACCGTTTGTCTCTTACCGCTCGTTACTTCAGTCTGTTATATAGAAGGACAACTCGTGTTTGTCATGTTTGGCCTCACTTCCCGTTTCTTCACGTACTTGTTACACTTCTCCCGTAGCAATGATCTCTGTGTTAAAATCATATTTGGAATGTATTTAACCAGTCCTATCACATATGTAATAATGACTGACACCAATATTGTCCTTTAACATGGTGTTCGGCAAATTGGCTGTGACTCCAGAACATGGAAAGGGTTCGTCCTCTCATCACCCCAACTGGAGTTGCGCACCAAATTTAAAAATTAATCTGTTAAAAACTGTAGTCAATAACGTTCATGTTTTAGGCAAAGGTAGGGTCTCCGAACGGAAGGTCGTGGAACGCCGTGTAGGGTTCGTCCTCCCAATACCTCAATGCTTCACACCAAATCAGAAAGGAATCTGTTAAAAACTAAAGTTTTCGGAAAAGGGGGCATAACTTTGAACGGTATGTTGGGGTTAACGCCCGAACGGAAGGTCACAGAATGCTGAATGTCGATAGTGTTGTCCTTTCACGGCAACAAATTTGAACAGTCCGGTAAAACTCTAGCATCTATCGCGATCACTGGGGTTCGGCAACGAGGGGGTGTCCCCGGAACATCAAGTTAAATAAAATCTTGTTAAAAACTATAGATTCTATTACGTTCACAAAGTATTCGGAAAAGGGGGTATAACTCAGAAACAGAATGTCCAGGAACGCTTGATATTAGCCTACTAATGTTGCATATCCCAATGTAGAAATATAGCTCTCAAAGATTGGTCTATAAACTATAAACATACTTATGGAAAACAGCTACTGATTTATTTAGGCGACGTTTCGAAGAGTATTCTCTCAACGTTTTCAAACTAATACAATATAACCACGTGGTTTTGGAAAAGGGGGCATAACTCGGGAATTTGAGGTCAGATGCGCACTTAAAATCATACTCATCCGAGATATTTTGATCCGTAACATAATTATATAATATAAATCGGATAACCCAAGAAGTTACGGTCCGGATGCGCACCTAAATTGAACTTATCCAATGATCTTTTAATCCTTAACAACAAATAGGCCTATTTTAGGTTTCATTTGGAGGGTCAACAACCTGGGTATATGTATTAATGGAACTATTTGCAAAATTCAAATGAATGGGGTTTAAGTACGCTCTAGTAGCCGTTGGCTTATGAAGATACAGACGCCATACGTAGAAATGGTTCCACTACATAACTGATGTCTTCCGCCTTACTCCAGCGTAGTGGCTCGTCCTACGGAGTTCCTTTGCGCTAGTTTTTTTAGTCAAATGACTACAAAAAGGTTACTGGCCTATAGCTCCCCTAATTTACATGTAAACTGTCCCAAAACTGTACTGCACATAGCTTAACATATAATAAACCAATTCCTATTGAAATAAAGGTGAAGCCTTTCCGCATAATTATATGATATGAAACCCAACTGCTACGCGAAATTTCTCGACTACTGAACTTATTTCAACTGGCCGGTGTCATGGCAGCTTTCACATTATAAGAAACGTCGCTTTGAAAATGTAGAACGCATTCGCATTACCACAAAGAAAAACTGTTCGGTAACTATCTTCACTATTTGTGATAGAATTACTTATTTCAATACAAACTGTAATAAGGTGTGTTGACAATTGTGCGTTTGAACCTATTTAAACTTGCGTAAGGAGTCTTAGACTGTATCAATTGTATCGTTAAACACAGTTTAACGATACGTCATATTGTAGCTAACGCCATACGGTGTGCTTTGAGAGAAAGTTTGCCCGAACAGCGGCACTAGGCCTACCTAACGCTTATTTCGCATTCCCACTATCAAGGGTTCTTTTACGTGCACGCTAATACGGGATCTCGGTTTTTGTCCCATCCGAATGACTACGCGCTGTCCCTGCCGCAGACTCTCTGTACACCTAATCGGACCTAAATGAAAACGTTGTTTGCTACATATCAATTATTAAACTGATCAGATCAATACGGCGATATTTATTTTATAATAGGCCTACTACAAATTTCTTCGGGACCACCGGTCTTCGAATGCAGTGCACACTGAGTAAAAATACTCTGTGGCAGTGCATAAAGAGCGCCTTGGAAATGCATTTCGATGTGGACTGGGTGATCGGGGCTAATCCCGCTCTTGCTGAGTCGACCAATCAAACAGTTGTATATTTGCACATGGCAATATGGCTGATGATATGTCAATAATAGTCTTACATATTTTGTTAAGTTTTTTTTAACGTTTAATATAAATTGTGAAAAATAGCATTATGCAGAAGTGTCCATCTTGTCCGAAGTGCAATGGTTTCTTTACTGTCACACATCGAGGTATGTTAGCTTGTACTGACATACCTTGGGAAATGAAGAATATAATGATAATGATAATGTCGAAATGAAAGTCAGAATACTCAGAAATTTATATTTTGGTCCGTAGACACTTTTGCTTATGGCTTTCAGTTCCACCTGCCATTAGTCAAAATTTGTTTTTCCTCAGAAATGGAAGTGTCAGTCAAGAACTAAGTAGAACAATTGTCATTGATGTGTCGTCAGGGGCGGATCCAGGAATTTTTGCATGAGGGGGTTAATTTGCCAGGTTCCTGAGACAATTTCCCCCCCCCCCCCCGCATGGTCTCTATCGTCATTTTGGCGTATATACATACACATTGAGCTTTTTAACAGAGAAATTCAACACCTCGTTTGACGTCAATTTTTATTATGAATTAATACAATGACATTGTGATTCAATTTTATGGATGCAAAGTATACAAAATTAATTAATTGTGATATCACATAATGTCTATATCATTATCTTGTCCTTTGAGTGCCCATGCTGTCCCACATCTGACGATAAAGGATAAAGCACACGGCCAAGAAACTTTTCTCATAAAAAGTGTTGATTTACAAAAAAATTTATGTAGCTGAGCAGGATCCGCCCCTGGTCGTTGATATTTAATGGATGGAATTAATTCAACCAATTGGGTTTTCAAATCATTCTCTACCCACACATGTACCAGGGTCATTTTGAATCAGACATGTAAATTTTTTCAATGTGGTTACGTATACAATGCAAAGTGGGAAGATATTGGCTGGACAGCTTCGATTCCACTTACCCTTCTTGAATTTCCAACTATTCCAAGGGTTCTTTAACGTGCACATACACCATTGCTTACATCTGAACCCGATCTTTGCATTCCATCCACACAACTAGGTACATAGTTCCTGCTTGTCCAGGAGGCAGTGCGCCTTTTGGTTGAAGTAGGGATAGAAAAATCTCCCAAGGTTCTTATTTGCCTCAAATAAATAGATTATATGCTGTCTATAAATATATATATTAGCTTTGTGGCATTTTATCCTGCCAAATTACTCTTTTGATGTCATGGACCATCATTGAAAAAGTTCCCAATTCGTGTAGGAACGAAATGAAACTTGACATGAATGTTGCTTGGACTAATAGGCATGGACTGATTTCTGATATGATATTAACTATTCCATGATGACGTCAAAAATCAGAATATGCCTAGTAAGACTGTCATTTCAATTCTGATCTTAATGATACTTTGCAAGATTGTTCCTAGTACAAATGTACATAAAATAATGTACCGTACATAGATTTTCGATCTGACATCACTTTTCTAAAAGCATCAATGGAAAGTCAAAAGCTCCTTCAATACAAGCTAAATCAACACCAAAGTTTACAGAATTGTTCTTTGGTCTAATGGTAGACACGGTGGCTAAGTGGGTAAGACGCTGGCTTGCTAGCTTGGAGGTCATTGTTTGATCCCTGCATTGGCTGAGAAAGTTCATTGGGATTTTCCGACATGGTTTCCCCTTGTCATTGGTGGGATGCAAAATCAAGGTCCCATGTATATATTGATGTGCACATAAAAGATCCCTTGGCCGTTGGAATTCAATATAAGAGTAGGCCATAGTGCCCTCATAGCACACTGTATTGTATGGCATATGCCCATCTTCATTAGCCCAGTCTTTGAACTTCTATGCATCGTGGTCACAATTACAAGATGGCGATGAGGATGTCATATTAATCAGAAAAAGCCTGAAGATCCATTGGTATATCAGATCAATTATTATATATCAATGTTAATACTTTATTCTTGCAGATAATCCTCGAAAACCTAGTAAACAGCCTTTGCTGCTTAACTGTGGACACACATTTTGTGAAAGCTGTGTGTTAAGATTTTCTCGTGAAGATAAGAATGTTATTACCTGTCCACAATGCAAGTTAAGTATTTGAGGAATGACCAGTTGAATTTAAATCTTTTTATAATTTTTAGAGGCATGCCTATCACCATGCCAATGTCGGTTATTAAATACCTGCTATTAAAGGTTCAATGTTCCTTGTACTTGTATAAAGATCATGAAAGAGTATGTATGTGTTCATATTTTAACATATGTCAATTTCTTCTCTGTTTTATATATGTTAATTTGGAAAAATATTGAATTCAGTCATTCGTTTGTTTTTTCATGTTTTAAACTTCAGATCAACATTGTCTTTAATAATTACTTTTCAATTATTTTTCACATTAATCTATGGTTAATATAATATATTAATTCTGTACATGAATTTTTCAGGCAGGTACAAATATTCCAGAAGATGTGCCAGTTTTAAAGTCCTTAACACCAAATTATTATATGATTGGAATGTTATTATGTAACCAGAGAAATTTAGTGGATCAGTAAGTATAGAATTTAACTTATGATAATTCAAACAAAATACACTACATGTAATAGTAACAAATCATTTAGGAGCAAATTGGAATAACATGTGGTTGTATAAAGAGTTACGGGATATATTCTTAACTGGATGCTTTTCCTAGTCAAAACCCGACAGTTAAGGGGTTAAATCCCATTCCATTCATTCATGCTAAGAAGACTTTATTTTCAGCGATTTCAAATTATTACGATCAGAGTTATGGCCCTTGTTCAATTTGAAATATCTTGTGGCTGCTCACCCGATTGATTTGAAATTTAGAACTAGATAGGAACCAATCAAATTGTAATTATTTTTGATTATTATTTGATTGTATAAAGTATATATCTCTTTTTATTTTTCTCCTACAGAGAATTAAGTCGATTAATACCAGCTGGTGCCTCAACCACACTCAGAAGAAGTGTAGACAGAAAATGTAAGTTGTCTAAACATGTAGTTCTAAAACCTGGGAGCTATGGTTGGAACTAGATCAAATTTCACATTTTCTGGACCCTGTTTCTCGAAATTAATAGATACTTCAATTTTGATTGGCTAAGCACTAAAATCAATCTAATATTATCCAATCAAATTACTGACATTTTTCTTTTGATGCTTAGTACAAAGTTCTTAATAGATTTGTAAAATCTTGATATATGGAGGGGCTTGGGTGGCAGAATGGTTAGCGTGTGCGTGAAACATTATAATGTCTGTCATTGAGTCAACTGGCGTGGGTTTGATTCCCCGGTTGTACATGACATGGGTTTTCTACGGGCCCTCCGGTTTCCTCCCGCTGCTAAAGACCCCTACGCGCAAGTGAATTATCAAAATAAAATTAAACCTTATATTAGTCTCGAAATGACCTGGAGGTTAAACCCCATTTCTCTCTCTCTCTCTCTCTCTCTCTCGATATGTGGAATTTGCTAACAGTAATTGTGTATCCATCAAATTGTTCCTGGTGTTAATGAATGTTTGTTCTTGTTTAGGCTACACAAAATAAATGTCTTGTTTCTCGGGCAACTGACAGCTGAAACTGTAGGGGGGGAGGGCGGTTTATTTTTTTTTTTACCTCATTTCTGGCTAGAGGATGGTGCAAAATAAAATTTGGCTATTGTTGAAAATTGTTGGGGCGGGAGGGCGGCATGGTATTTTTTATTTTTTTTTAATGAGAAAGTCATTACTTGCATACGGTTTTGCTTTCAGTTATATATTATACATACTTAGAACATAAACCCAAAAATCAAGTCTACTCAAACACTGAACACTGACTGAAAGGAAAATAATGAAGCTGGCAATAATGAGCCGATTAAGATCGAATGATTGAAATACATTGCATTGTTGTCAATGACTTTCGGTGTTGAACACGAATCAAATTGTAGTTCACAAGGGGAGGTAATTAAAATCACGTGATACAAAAATGGAGGTTCTTTCGATATCAATAAAAAAGACCCGTAAATGAGTGTTTACATCTGAATCAGTTTAATACATTTGAATGGATATTCACGTATGGGGCATGTAGATACATGCGGCATATTCTTTTTATGACTTGCTTATCGATGTTCGGGCGGGCGTTACATATTTTTTATTTTTCATCAAGACTAATAAATAGGCCGCATGCGCAACCAATTTTGCGTGCGGGCGGTGCCCGAGAAAACAACTTATTTTATTTGTGTTGCCTTATTAATTCCATCTTTATTAGCCCGGTTGGTGCAGGAAAGTAGGATGTTAATCCCCATTTTATTTTAATTCTTTTATAGATAGTGATAAACTATTTTGTCAAGAATGTAATATGAATAAAGCAACATGTCGTTGTGTTAAATGTGATTGTTTTATGTGTGGACTATGTTTTACTAAGGTAAGTTATCTTTGATTCTTTGGCAGTGTTATTCTAAATTGAATGGTGGTTGTAGTATGTAAATGAATTTTGTAGATACTGTATAACATTTACTGTGACTTCTGATATTTTATTGTTAGTTACTAATAACATGTAGGTCGTCTATCTATCTGTACCTTCAAAAACATTTCCAGTGACGTGTGATGTTGATGACTGTGTTGTCTTGTTTATTTTCAAGAAAAGGTCGTTGGAACTCCATGAATTTTTTTTTATTGTTTGTATGACTCAAAAAAAAGAATTTGAATGTCTGTATCTCAGAAATAGATTGACTCCAATTTTATATAGAATCTAAGTATTGTAAGTTTTAAAATAATATTTTTGAAAACTGATTCAAGATGGCCAAAGAGCTAGTTCATCGAGAGTTCAATAATTAATGATATTTTTAAAAACTGATCCAAGATTGCTAAAGAGCTACTTCAATGAGAGTTCAATGATTAATATGTTTTGTCCACTTTAGGTACATTCAAAATATAATGCTTTACGTCAACATCAAGCATTAGAACTAGGAGACGGTGGTGATTCGTAAGTATAGACTTACTTGTTCAAATCCGTTTAAATCTTGGCCATCCAATGGTCTAGAGAGTTGATTATAGGCTGGTCTTGTGAATAAATGTCTAAATAATAATTTATTTAAACAGGCATTATGTAAGAGCTAAGTCTGTTGCAGGTCTTTCTTTAGGCCTTAAATGTTATATCAACTATTAATTAGACATTTATTAACATGATAAGACCATAATCAAATCTCGGTGCCATTGGATAAGTCCAATTTTAAACAGTTTAGAATGGTTCAGCCATTTATTGATTTAATCGAAAAATGGTGAAGCAGGCTTAAGCTTCAAACAACCAGTATGGTGGTTACAATCAGTGCACATGTTTTGTCAAACCTTCAAAGGCTAATATCTTTGCTCAGAATAAAGTAAATTGAATGAAATTTTCAATATATTCATTTTGCATTATCTAATTTTGAACAATTATAGTCAAAACGGCCAGTTCTTTATCTAAATCTTACATAATGCATCTTTAAGATTTGAAGCCAGAAAAAAGACCTGCAATAAGCAGATTTAGCTCTTACATAATGCATCTTTAAGGTTGATGCATACTGTAATGGATATTATTAAGTATCAAGAAACCTGTCCAGAACAGACAGTTTATAAGTACATATATATGAATCAATATCAAAATAAATATAATACAATACACAAAAACACATACTTATGGAAAAACAGGTACTTAATTTATTAGGGCGACGTTTCGAAGAGTATTCTCTCAATGTTATCAAGCTAACGTCATCCAAATAAATTGAGTAGCTGTTTTTCCATAAGTTTTTTTTTTTTGTGTATTGCTCTATCCAGTTGCTAAATGCCTCTGAAAGAATATAATACAATTGAAGGGAAACTAGACTTTTACAGGCAAAGTATTTATTATTTTTATAATTCATAAATCAGTGTTGTTATAAATGTATATATTATTGTTTTTTGTTTCATAAATTAGCGTTATTATAAAAGAAGAAACGGCCAATGTATGTAAAGAACATGACAGTCGACCTATAGAATATTTTTGTGAAGATGATTTAACACCAATCTGTTCTCGTTGTGTTATTATTGGTGAACATAAAGGTCATTCCATAACCTCAATGGAGGATAAGGTAGGCTATGTTCATTAGAGTATTGCATAAGAGTATGGTTTTAATATATTTCTGTTTGATCTTTTTGAATGTATATTTAGTTAATCATAGTATATACGCCTTATTTTTTTCTCAAACTGGTTTCAATAATGGTATAATGTGTATGTTTTCAATATATCTCTGTAATCCTCTGTTTGATCTTTTAATTTTATAATTAGCTAAACCTAGTATTATGTACCTTTGTTTCATCAATAGCATGTGATATAGCTACTCATGTTCACCTTCTTTACATACCATTGGATAGTTCGCACTGATGTTTGTATATATATTCATATTTTTCTCATTTTATTTATCTATTTGTGTATATGCTTGATAACGACTTGTGAAATCTTGTTGAAACATCGCAGTGAAATAAACCATAGTAATTGTTATCCATAAATAGTGTGTTATTTGATTATGTTCCAATTACTAAATGCCCATTCAAAGAATATAATTTTGAATTGATTACAATAAAGGGCAGACAATTTTGAACTTGGAGACTCTTCCAGTGATTGATTTATTTTATAATTTGATGTACTATTGACATAACATGATGTTTTTCATATCCAAGTTGTTATCCTGGTTATAAAATTTTTGGATTTGAAAAAAAATATTGCTGTCTTTTGTCTTCTTGAGAATTGTTTTTATTTTTGTTTTAAAGAATAAATTAGTATTAGCAGATATGGAACCAGCTCTACAGATAGCTAATCATGTGATTAAAAAACTACGAACAACAGAACAGGTATTATTTTCATGTTACATGTCATAATTTACAACCTTGTAGACAAATCTAATAGAGAGAGAAATGGGGTTTAACGTCACAAACTAGGTCAATTCAAGACTAACATATGGTTCAATTTTATTTCTATTATTCGCTTGCGCATAGGGGTCTTTAGTAGTGGGAGAAAACTGGAGGCCTCAGTTTGTGTTGAGTGGATGTTAAACCCCCTCTCTCTCTCTTTCTCTGGACAAATGTAAGACGTCTTCCTCTTCACTTTGGATTTACCGAACATGTAAAATCTATGAACATTAGACTTGCTCTTCCTTCACTTTTATAGAGAATATATCACATTGGATACGATATATCATATGTTAACTGACCGGCTGCCATTCACTTGAGAAATGATACCTGATGGCAGTGATTGGTTCAACATACAGGTTATTTTTTTTTTTATTTTTTTTATATTTGTAAAAAATCTGTAAATAGGCGAACAGCCTTCCCAGATTTCTCTCAGCTACTAGTTTCGTTCTTATTCGAAGTCTTCAGGCTTAAATGAGGATGTGCGGTGGCCCTCTATATATAGTGTCGGTGGGCACCGGAGCACATGTGATTTCACAGATGCACCGGATTCGTTCTTTGGCACCGGAGTCGATTATTCCAAAAAGTGTGCAAAGATATTCGGCTAAGAATTTGCCGTCATGATTATGCTTATTTGCATTGACTCAAGGCTCCTAACCCCTTTGATCTCTTAAGTTTAAAATTTCCTAAACTAACGAGGGCTTAAAAATAACTCTATTAGGTTATGGGCGTGTATGCACTAATTTTTTATTTGCTTTCGCCGTAGGGGTACCACGGCTAAATTAATTGGGAACTCATCCTTGTTTTTCATATTCGGCCTTGAGTTAGGCTAAGAATTATGCTACTATAAAGTGGGGGACCTTTACTCTTTTTACTCACTAACCCCTTTGCACTACGTTCTTAAAATTCCGTTAGCTATTTCTCTCGTGTGCATCCCCATTTTTGGAACTCGTATCATTGACTCCGCTCAAGATACCTGGCATATTGCCATTAATTAGCCATAGAGGTATCCCGTGACGTCACAATAGGGACGTTCACTAATATTCCTACCTGCGAAAATGAAGCACATCTGTGGAAATTTGCGGACAATGTCTCCGAAACAACGGAGGTAAAATATGGCAGATCGCCTTGTCCTGTATCTTTCCAACCATGAGTAACTGGGAGGCTTTTTGTGAAGGAGTTGATCTTTGTCTCGAACTAGAGGCCTGGCCAGTTTCTCGCGCATCGAATCGCGATGTTTTGGCAGAATCAAACATCAGTAAAGAAGACTGGGTATTTTTACAACGTTTCAATTGAGAAACGCAAAGACAACCTCGTGAGCTCCTTGTTGAATTCAAGAAATCTTTTCCTGGAGCCACTTTTCAAAGTATGCGAAATAGTAGCATAATTCTTAGCTTATCTCAAGGCCGAATATGAAAAACAAGAACGAGTTCCCAATTAATTTAGCCGTGGTACCCCTATACACGCCCATAACCTAATAGAGTTATTTTTAAGCCCTCGTTAGTTTAGGAAATTTTAAACTTAAGAGATCAAAGGGGTTAGGAGCCTTGAGTCAATGCAAATAAGCATAATCATGACGGCAAATTCTTAGCCGAATATCTTTGCACACTTTTTGAAATAATCGACTCCGGTGCCAAAGATCGACACCGGTCCATCTGTGACATCACATGTGCTCCGGTGCCCACCGACACTATATATAGAGGGCCACCGCACATCCTCATTTAAGCCTGAAGACTTCGAATAAGAACAAAACTAGTAGCTGAGAGAAATCTGGGAAGGCTGTTCTCCTATTTACAGATTTTTTACTTCAACCCAACTGCGGAGCAACCTATTCCAAGCTATGAATTTTTTAAAATCAATGATTTCAAATGAGATCCTGGATTTTGAGTCTAATATCACAATAGGGGAAGTTCACCCCGTACCAAAAAGACTCAGGGTAGACTTCAGCTCCGAAAATCAAACCGGAGCAAAGTCCGCCAATCAGAAAGCGCTTGTTCTGCCCTTAGCAGTTATACCGGAGCGCAAAACACTCCGAAACTTGAGCAGCAAAATTAGCCACCTGGGTATGCAAATAGACTACCACCAGGCGTGCCTAAATAAACAAATGATACCGAGACAGTTTAGGCTGAGAATTAACTCCAACTTTACTACATACAACAGTGTGTTGCTTAGAAATAGACTATGAAAGCCATAGCCAAAATCTTCTCAATTTTTATCATTAAAGAGGCTACCCACACAAAGTAGTGTCGGAAAATAAGAACAGGGCAAATTCTCTAGCCAGAAAAGACCTGTTAAGCCCGACTACGGCTACCATTTTGAAAAAACGAAAGTTGCTCGTTTCTATCACGGATTATAATCCAACTGCTGTTCAAGTTAGCATGCTCGTAAAAGAGAAATGGCATCTATTAACCGGATCAGACATGTGCCGTTCCATCTCAAAGATAAAACCAATCACGGCATTTAGGAGGAATCCTAATTTGAAGGATACGCTGATGAAAGCAAGATTCATCTATCCACCACGGTTCCCGCAAACCAGCGGAGTCACGGTTCAAAATCTATTCGAAAAATGTATCAAGAAGGACTGTGATATCTGCTACAAATTAGACCAAAATAACTACTTTATTAGTGGTAAAACTGGCAAGAAATATTCCTGCCGCACGGGCTATAATTGTTTAAGTAGAAATATAGTCTACCTATTAACATGCTCCTCCAAAAAACAATACATAGCCTATGTAGGAGAAAGCAAACATGTCTTTTCAAAACGAATAAAGGAACACTATGTAGATATTAGACACAACAGACCAAAGCCGGTCGCACTACCCTTCAACTTAGATAGACATATGAGTAGAAATGTTATGATTAAAATTATGGAGCTTTTTAAGACTGACCCAGATAACGGCAAAAATGATGCCGTGGCAAAAACGATGCCGTAAGGAAAGCCAATGAATTCAAATGGATTCACACTTTAAGAACATTCGCACTGGATGGCATTAACGATAACATGTAGTCCCGAGGGGTCCCCCACTTTATTGTTTACTATATTATATTTGATTTTCAGTCTTTCAATGATTTACTACCAAATGCTAAAACAGAAACCTGTACTGTTATAGATGATATTCGTTCACATTTCCAGTCATTACACGGTATATTACAATCTAGGTAGGTTATTCTTTACAGATCTTTAAAAACTATAATTATAGTTATGAGGAGTCCATATTCCCGAAAATTCATGAAAACTTATAAAAATAATTTTGTGGTATAACCTCAGACCGACGCACAGATTTGATCATGTCATCAGATTAGGATTTCTGGAAATCCATGCAGTTTGTATACATTATAGCTCTCAGAATATAAATGCTGTATTGGTAAATGTTATTCGGAGAAAAAGCTTGGTAGGCTTTGTGGTATAACCTCCGACCGACGCACAAATTTGATCATGTCATCAGATTAGGATTTCTGGAAATCCATGCAGCCTGTATACATTATAGCTCTCAGAATATAAATGCTATATTGGTAAATGTTACTCAGAGGAAAAGCTTGGTAGGCTTTGTGATCCCAATACTTAATGGATTGTAACATTCAATATTAACTTGGCAACTGTCTGAATCACAGCCATTGTCCGGGATTCCATGTGCCTGTTGATTATGTACATGGTTCCCACCTAGTTCTCCAACCTCATGGGTTTTCTCTGGGTCCTCCGGTTTCCTCCAACTGCTAAAGACCCCTACGCGCAAGTAAATTATTGAAATAAAATTAAACCACATGTTAGTCCTGAAATGACCTAGTTTGTGTCGAATGGACGTTAAACCCCATTTCTCTCTCTTTCTCCCACCTAGTTCTATGTTCGCATCCTTTGCTTCATGAAGCCTACCAAGTTTTTCTCAAGTAACAAATTGACGCCTCCCCCCGCACCTGTGTTTGGCTCATAATACAAGACAATGGAAAAAAATGAATAATCAACATACTCAAACCTAGTGTTGTTTATATTTCAGAGAACAGTCATTGATAAAACAGGTTCATGATAAATTTAATAATTGTTTACTACCTTTACTATACAAGGTAAGATACTATACACATATACTGTCTTTTTTTCGGGGTGTTTGATAGACGAATGGTTAGCACGTGCCCGATGTAACATACGGTCTGTCATTGGTTCAACTGGCGGGGTTCCGATTCCCCGGTTGTATGTGACAAGCAAATTGTTGAAATTAAATTGAACCATCCATATGTTAGTCTAGAAATTACCTAGTTTGTGTCAACTGGATGTTAAACCCTCTCTCTCTGTGTCTCTCTGTCTCTCTCACCTTTACTATTACTATACAAGGTAAGATACTATAAAAAAAATACACTTTGTTCTTTTTTTGCGCCCCGAATCTCTTCTTTTTTTCTTAACCCACATGACCAAGTTGATAAACACAAATCAAATCAAATGTTGATTGTGCTTTGATCACAGTGTTTTTACATTAAAGGCATTTTATTCTGTTATCTTTGACAGATTGAATACAGTTTCATTTTAATATGTTTTCCTTTCTTTATTGAATTTTAGAAAGCAGATTTAATTGAAGAAAAAAGACGTCTGGAATCTGCTGTGAAAGGTTTGTTAAAGATACATTATGGGAGATTAAAGAGCTGGCAGTTCTCACTATAATAGTTAAAAACTAGATAATGTAAATGGAATATGCTGAAAATTTCGGTCAAATTGCTCCATCCTGAACCGAGAATTTAGTGATTGAATTTTCGGCCTAGCCTCAGTCATCATTACTGAAGTCGGTATGATAAAAGACCTAATCTCCTAATCCAGTAAATATCGCAGGGTAGCGATGACATCGAGAGTTGAATATGGTCTGAACAAGATAATTAATGTTTACTTAATAATTTAGATAACATTTCAGGACTAAAGAAAGACCTGCAATAGGCAGATTTAGCTCTTGCTTAATGTATGTTTAAATGAATCAATAAAAAGTTTTTCTTTCTTATAATTGATAAAATAAACCAATGAAGTGAAATAGATGAGATAAATAATTTGACAATTCTTCTTTATTAATGTTCTAATGAATACATATATCATTATTTCTTTTGTTTTTAGCTGCACAAAGGATATTAAATAACAATAATGAAAATGTTCTGAATGCTCAAGAAATATTAGATCATTTAACCAAAGCTAAAGATATACCATGTATAGCTGTTAAACAAACACCTGAATCAACAGATAGTATCAGGTAATACTCTTTTAAACATTTGAAGTTACATAGAGATAGACAATATTTCGATAATAACATTAACCTGGAATGAAAATAATTGGTTTTTCACAATTCATACAAGTATTTGGACTGAAAAACATTAAGATATATTCTTAGAAAGTGTCAAACTGTGATTTTAAAATTCCTTGAAAATACCTAATTGAGTTCCTTAAAAATCCTGATTTTAGATCTTCGGGAACCTGCGGGAACCCTGTGCTCAATTCCACTCCACTCCACTCATCTCTATCCTGTTTGGATGGGACGAAAAACAGAGGTCTGGTGTACACATGTAAAAGATCCCTTGACAGTTGGGATTCAATACAGACCTGTCAACTCTACCGCATCACGCGGTAAAGTGCCGCGAAAAAGGCCTCATGTACCGCTCTACTGCGCGGTAATAGATTTCTACCACATTTTCAAACAAAGAGTTTTTTAATTTCCTCGCCAAAACTATGGAACTAAGGGAAGCAACTCTTTGCATGTAAACAATAAAGATCGCGCCTTTCGGTTATCAACATCGATTTGGGATATTGTAAGGTGTAATTTAGCTAAGAGATTTGTTCTCAAATTCTTTTCAATCTATTTTAGAGTAAATAAAGTGGATATAATTATTGGCACGTGTTCCAAAATACTCTTAAAATGCGTAGCGATAAACTAAACAAATAGCGACCAATTTACGGCAGCAATGGCTGACATTTTCATTGCGGGCGTACGTACAGCATCTAATACAATACTACGAATGCAACACAACCTGGATATTTAATTTCAAGATGGGAATACGCCTCGCCGATTCTGACTTACATGGAACACTCTCTCGAATAAATGTAAAAGCAGATTTACGCAATCACGGGAGAAAGAAATCCCGTACATTGAGAGGATAATCGCCATCCATGGGGGGCATGAAAATATGATTAAATCGATACCAATATTTAGTCGTTACCGGTACGTTCTGCAAAATTAATTTTTTACGCCCCCCTCCCCTCTATTCCTAATGTAGAAATACTATAGAATCTAAGAAGCACACCAATTATCTTACATGAAACACAATAATGTTAAAAACTCTGGAATGAGGAACATGTCACAAAGATATTTTTTAAAATCATGCTAAGTTAAAACAAAAGCAAAGTGTTACTGCCAGTACTACTGGACTGGTAATTTTAATTTTTTTTTTACGTTACTAATTATTTCTTTCTGTACGACTGTAGGCTACATATTCAATTTTGATTTAATTACATAAATAATTTTAGATATGGTACCATTGCTTGTGTATATTTTATCTATTACCCATTTAATGCAATTTTTGTATTGTTGGGCCTGCAGTTCAGTGTATCATTTCTAAATTAATTACCCTTGGAAGTTCGAATTTACGCGTTTCTACTGCATTTTTTACACTACCCTACTGCATTTCAGCTCTGAAGGGTTGACGTGTCTGATTCAATATAAGAGTAGACCGTAGTGCTGCTGTCCGGGCAAAATTTCCCTAATAGCACACTTTATGGTGTATGCCCGTCTTTATTAGTCCGGTTAGAGCAGAACAGTAGGATGTTAAAACCCATTTCATTTCATCTCTATCCCTGTATGGACTTCATAAAATCATGGACTATAACTAAACTTATAATATCCTTTTAGTCTGTCAACATGTAATATTTTAAATATTCCGATTTCTATAGATGGAGTTGTGGTGAATCAGTTGATGATATTATAAAAAATCATGGTACTGTAGAAGGATCCATACCAAATAGGTTCGTACTATTTTAACATGGAAATATAACATTCATTACAACCGGTTGGGATCTAATATGATAAGACCTATATCTAAGGAGAGCTGCGGTGGCTCAGTGAGTAAGACGCTGGCTCGCTAGTCTGAAGGTCTTGGGTTCGCTGCCTTGTTGACCAAGAAAGTTTCTCAGGATTTTTAGGGGGTGGTTTCCCCATGTCAAGGACAGCTGTCTAGTCGTTTAGATGGGATGGAAAACCAAGGTCCCATGTACACATTCGTGGGCACGTAAAAGACTCCTTGGCATTTGGAATTCGATATAAGAGTAGGCTGTAGTGCCGCTGTCCAAGCAAAATATCCTTCCTATCGCAGTGTGTTGACTGACACCAATATTGTCCTTTAATATTTGTAGATTTACAATACAGACTGCTAGTGAAGTAGGTGATGTTGATGATACAGATACATTAAGTACTGTTAGTCATTCTAGTCATACAAGTCATACAAGTCATACAGATACTATCAATAGTGGAGAAGATGTTATTATAGAAGGTAAGGGACAATGTATAGTCCTTAGGATGGACGAAAAAATCGAGGTCCGTCCAGCATGGCTCCTCCTTGTCAGTGATGCTGGACGGAGGGCCTGACAAGGACAACTGTCTAGTCGTTCAGATGTGACGAATAACAGGTCCTGTGTACACATTGGCGTGCACGTAAAAGATTCCTTGACAGTTGGAATTCAATATAAGCAATATAAGAGTAGGCCGTAATGCCACTGTCCTGGCAAAATTTCCCTCGAAGTGGAGAAGATGTTATTATAGAGATAAGGGATAATGTACAGTCATTAGATTGGGATTAAAAAAATGAGGTGTACACATTGGTGCGCACGTAAAAGAACCCTTGACAGCTGCAATTCCAAATAAAAGTCGGCTGTAATATTCTGGTGATTATTGAACTATATAAACATATATTTCTCTAAATTTAAATATTTTTATTTTAGATGATACTTGTAAAGAGGTCCTCTTAGAAGAGTATGACAAAAATGTAAAAAGAAACTTTGTACTGGATAAACAAACCTATAGAGCAAAATATCCAGGTAAGATTTTCTGTATTAACGTAAAATTTAAAGTGTCAGACAATCAATATCTATTGATATGCATTTAAATTTATGGTGGGTAGGTTTTCTAATTTAAGTTGTTGACCTAAAGATATATAAATTTATCTTACAATTGTATAAAATATGGGGGGGGGGGGGGGAGTGGCCGAATGATTAACACGTGCACATTGTATCAGACGGGTCTGTCATTGAGTCAAATGACGTGGTTTCGTTTCCCTGCTTGTACTTGACAAGGAGTAGGGTTGTCTGTCCAACCTAGTGGGTTTTCTCCGGGTACTCTGGTTTCCTACCACTGCTAAAGACCCCTATGCACAAACAAATAATTGAAACAAAAATTTAACCATATGATAGTCCTGAAATGACCTAGTTTGTGTTGAGTGGATGTTAAACCCATCTCTCTCTCTCTCTCTCTCTCTCTCTCTCTCTGTATAAAATATGAAGTAGTTCTGTATCAAATTATTTTCTGATTTTAATACTGTTAACTTTGTTGTTTGTTTCAGGTCATTGTGAACAAGTGTATATTACCCATATTAAAAATCCAACTCAGTTTTATTGTCAGAAGAAGAATGATAAGAGTAAACTATATAATATGAGTAAAAATATGAATATATGGTGTCAGAGTTTATCTAGAGAATGTGATATACCTACACATGTTGAAGAAGGTAAATTCTATACAATACATCTATACAGTATTGTCGTCGCCCCTGTCCGTCCGGACGTCCACAATTTCTTTGTGGACACTCTACAGGTCACAATTTTTATTCGGTTTTGACGAAACTTTAAATATAGGTCTATCTCCCAAAGATCTCGGTTTCTTTTGATATTCGCATGTATCGGACCATAACTTCATGGACTATGGACCCTGATTGTATGAAAAATCAAGTTTTTAACTCTTGATCACACCAATGGAATTCGTCTGACTTAACTGGTTACTGGAGTTTTGTCTCATCTCACATCATCTTCTATATGAACCCCTTGTGTGTCACTGAGATCCCAGTACAGATGTCTTTCGATCACTAGTATCTCCAGCTGCCTCAGACAATGCTTTACAAGATTGTCGTCATCCTCTACCTCTGTTGTCCCATTATTTTAAATCAGTTGAAATAAGGATTTATTATATTTTTTTCAGGAGATTTAGTAATAGGTATGTATAGTGATGATAAGAAATGGTACAGAGCTCGAGTTAAACGTGTTATACCACCAATATCACCTGGTGATGCCAGTAAAACAACAGATACATGTGCTGCTTCATCAGATACATGTGCTTCAACACAGGATAGTGAAGCTTCACAAACAGACGATAATATAATTAAAACTAAAATCAAGAAAAAGAGGAAGAATAGATCACAGAATAATGAGGAAAAGGCGGAAGTCCTATTCTTTGATTATGGAAATACCGAAGTCTTACCGTTAAGCAAGTTAGTATAAATTTCTTTAAAAATTGTTGAGCCACTTGTCTATTTATATATTGTTAATGATAAAACGTCATTTATATTGGGGATGCTCAATTCACAGTCCATAATGTCCCAAAGTTGACAGAATTGCAATCGGGTAAAGCAAAATTCAGGTGTCACAATTCTGTCAGTCCCGACAACGGAGGTGGTGTGAGTAAAATCGTGACATAATTAAACACAACGAATATGTTTCGGCTTCGGCTGCATGGTTGGTTGAGATATTTACTTACTCAGTCGGCGCATGCGTTATTGCCCGAAATCAACCTTTTCACTCAATTGTCACTATTTTTGTGATTGAGAGAATTCTATTACGGAACATTCAATCGAATACCCCCAAAATGTGTTAATACTAAAGAACAGTTTCTAAGGCACTGTTGGTTATATTCACTGATTATTTGCACAAGATTTTGAAACAAAAATGTTTTGAGTTAACATTAATTTGGCAAAGTATACAATATAATGTATGTTGGAACTTTGTGTGACAGATAGGCTAGGTAAATGCAACCATAGAATTTCAGCTAGGTCTTACATCTCAGTTTACAGCTCCACTTGTTAGATAATTGGGGAGTGGGTGGCCGAATGGTTAACGCATGCGCATTGTATTAGAAGGTTTGTCATTGAGTCAAGTGGCGTGGTTTAAATTTCCTGGTTGTAGGTGACAAGGAGTAGAGTCGTCTTGTCAAATCTCATGGGTTTTCTCTTTGTCCTCTGGTTTCCTCCCACTGCTAAAGACCATTGCACGCAAGCGAATTATTGAAATTAAATTGAACCATGTTAGTCCGGAAATGACCTAGCTTGTGTCAGTGTTATTTACATTATTTTAATTTAAATAAACTGTTTAGTTGTTATAAAAGATATATTTAAACCATTGTTTTCTGTTTGTATAGAATGAGGAACATGCAGCAGAGGTTTTTAAAGTTACCATCATTTATGTTAGAATGTGCTTTACATGATATAGAACCTAATAATGATGTAAGTAGAGTTTATATCAAGATATTAGCTTTTGAGTTTTAGGCTAGCCTCGAGTAACGTTACTAAAGTTGGTACGATAAAAAAACTATGTCTCAATCATCCAATTTTACGTTCAATCATTTTAAAAAAAATGTATTCCAATCCGCTAAACATTGCATGCTAGCGATGACATCGAGAATTGATTATTGTCTGGATAAGTTATTTAATGTTTAATTGATAATTTTGAGCCTAAAGAAAGACCTACAATAGGCAGATTTGGGTGGCTTTTGCATAATGTATGTTTAATAAAATGAAGATGAAAATATATTGCCGTTTCCAACTAGTGAAGATTCAGACATTTTGCAAACAAACCATGCTTTCATGAGGTGATTGTATTGACATTTTCCACTTAGGGTAAGCCGAGATTTGCAATTTGATTTAGTTGATGCTTTGGTACACGATAACTTTGATTCTTATTAAGTGAGTGATGAAATGTGTTTTGTAGTTACATTAAATTTATTACATTTGTTAACCATTTTAATTCTATAAATATAGGAAGCTGTATGGCCTAAAGAAGCTGCTCAAACTGTGAAGAAAATGACAGATGGAAAAGTCATGTTTATGAATGTAAGTTATCAAGTATCATTTCACATTAACATTTATCTTCAATAGAAGGCTTGATCTCGCTTTAACTACGTACATCTTATCAAGGCCTTCACGTAATACCCTGCATATTTCAGCACTAATTTCGATTGGGTATTCACCCAACTTGTGAGCTATCAAGTTATCAAGTATCATTTCACATTAACATTATGAATGGGGTTTCTGCACCGACTGGGCTAATGAAGACGGGCATAGGCCATGCAGTGTGCTATGAGGGAAATTGATCCAACTGTAAAGTGTTCTTTACATGCACACCAATGTATACACAAGACCTTGGTTTATCATCCCATCCGAACAACTATGCCTTGCCATTATAAATGAAGTAAATAATAATGGGTCACTTATTTCTATACTACACATTGATTAACTACAAATAATAGGTTGAAAAAGATGTAATATGTGGATTTGAATAATTTATTAAAATATTTTCAGGTTATCCGTGAAATAAATGGTGTATTACAAGTAGATCTACATAAACCACCTGATAATGATATAATGGATGACAGACCAGTGTCATTACGAGAGAGTTTAATATTTCTAGAACTAGCAAGATTTGCTTCTTCTAGTGATCCAGAAAATATAAAACCAGGTAAATGTTTTTTTTATGTTGACTATTTTCACCGTTTCTTTAAAGTTTTGTCTTTTAGAAAAGGTTTAAAGAGAGAAAAATGGGGTTTAAACTCTTTCTCTCTTAAATGTGTAGCCAATGTGTATATACAAAATGTCGTTAAGTATTCATTATATTGTTTTGTTGTTTACTGATTTCTTTTACATATCCATATTAATTCTTGTATTTAGAAGAGATGTCATCCATGCCTGTTCCTCAATCCCTTTCAATTTCTGAATAAAATATTGTTTAAAAAAAAAAAAAAGAAAAAAATCTTGTGTAGTGGAAGATTAAAATCGTGTATATAAAATAGTTTGTAATATTTGTAGTATTACCAGTAGTGTATACAGCTAGAAGTTATACAACAACAGAACCTAGAATGGAAGCTGAAATATTTGATGTAGTTGTGACTAGTCCAGATACACCATACCATTTCTTTGTACAACCAGTAAGTCATGTTTATCACCATAATGTTCCATTATATATCGTCATGTTTCTGGTGAACTGGCTAATCTGATATATTTAAGAATTGTAGCCATCAAATAATAACGTTTATTTGTGATTTTATAGTTCATACATGTACATCAGGACACTGAACACCATTTACATAAATGGTATTATTTGATGGCTACAGAGATAACAACGGAACGCAAATTTCAAACATATGATTCTCAATGCCCGTCTTCATTAGCCCAGTTTGGAGCCGAACAGTAGGACGTTAAACACCATTTCATTTTAATGCATTTTCGTGGTTTGAGAAACATCTGTTATAGAATTGGATCTGCTTGAGTTTGTTAAGTAAGAGCGCAGTAAAGAAAATTATTGTCCCCCGCCTTTTGAAGAAAGCAGGGGACTATTAAAATGGGTTCGTCCGTCTGTCTGTCTGTCTGTCTGTCTGTCTGTCTGTCTGTCTGTCTGTCTGTCTGTCTGTCTGTCTGTCTGTCCGTCCGTCTGTCTGTCCGTCACACTTTTTGGGACACAATAACTCTCTTCCTAATTGAGCTAGAATGTTCAAACTTGGTGTATGTGTTTATTAGGTCAATGCCTTGATGGAGTTCGAAGATGAGCATTTTCCGCTTAGGGTAAGCAGAGATAAGCAATTTGATTGGTTGATGCTTTGGGACACGATAACTCTCTTCCTAATTGGGCTAGAATGTTCAAACTTGGTGTATGTGTTGATTAGGTCAATGCCTTGATGGAGTTCGAAGATGAGCATTTTCCGCTTAGGGTAAGCAGAGATAAGCAATTTGATTAGTTGATGCTTTGGGACACGATAACTTTTAATTGAGCTAGAATAGATAATTTGTGATAAATTTATATGTGTCCTCTAATTATTTTCCTATTTCGGCGGGGGACATCAGCCTCACTGTTGGCTTGTTATATTTTATTTTCAGCTTGGAGATGAAGCTCAATATTTGACGACGATGATGACTAAAATGCAGCAAACATATTCAGTAGATAGTGGGGATCTTTATACTGTCTATTGTCCACAAAAAGGTAATGTATATTACAAATCACTATTATAAAGCACAATATTTAATTAACAAAATAGACGCCAACAAATTCTGTTAGCGCTAGTATAGGCTATATGTGTAATGGGCACTGATGAATGGATAAATTCAAATGGTTCAGAAATCACTATTATAAAGCACAATATTTAATTAACAAAATAGACGCCGACAAATTCTGTTAGCCCTAGTATAGGCTATATGTGTAATGGGCACTGATGAATGGATAAATTCAAATGGTTCAGATACAGCGATTATCTGTATTTGATGCTTATCATCAAACATGCTGGGTATTTTCAAATAATGGCCAGGATTGTTTAAGACAAGCAGAAGGGCTAATTAAGCTCAAACATCCATTTTTGATTTCACTGCATCCCAGAATTCTCAGTAGGATCAAAGCCTTTTATTAATAAGGGGCAGTAACTCATTTTAGCATAAAAAAAACCTCCAGAATGGTTTAGACCACTATTTCTTAATAACATGAATAAGTTGGTTTTAGTAACTAGAGTATATGACTATATTTATAGATATGATATGTGTAGCCCAGTATACTAGTGATGGTTTATGGTATAGAGCTAGAGTAGTGAATATACCTGGTAGAAAACTAGTAGATGTACAGTATGTAGATTATGGCTATGTTGATCGTATACCATACTGGAACATTCGTAAAATACTTGACAGTTTTCTTGTGCTTCCACCACAGGTTAGTGACTGACAGTCTTTAATTTTTTATCTCAGCGTGGTTTCGCCTTGTCAGTGATGCAGTATCTATAGAACCTCACTAAGTGAAATAAATCAGTCTGAACGAAACTATAGTCTCTGCTAGAAGGGATAACTGGGCAAATCACCCATTTTTAACTACCAAAAATACAATTTGGCTCTCCTTAATTCAAGAAAATGTAGAATTACTCTTGCAATATAATTTCATAAACGATCGTATATGTTTATACAAGCCAGCATTAGTTAAAAACATGTGGAGAATATTTATTCTAATAATTCCACGACTGTGACAAATCAACTTCTTACTAAAAGATGTAGTAGTTGGAGGAAGTAACGCTGGAACCGTGCAGATCAGCATGGATCTCATTGATACAGTAGGAGCAAGAAGGAAGCAATCCTTCGGAAATAATCCCAAAATTAAATCTCCTAACGACACACTGACAAGACAGGGATTATTGTTATATTTGATGATTATAAATAATTTTATAATTTAGGCTGTATATTGTAAATTATGTGATATTGCACCTGTAAATGAAAAAATTGGCTGGACCAATGAGGTAAGAACACTTCTTTATTTATTAGTCCAATTAATTACTGCGCCTTAATCTTTTTCTGAAAGTAAATCCAATAAATCTGGAAATAATCAAATACGTAACCCTGATAAATGTTATTGACAATCATAAACAATATTAATTAATCATACATCTTATAAAAAACTGTTGTAGTGCCTTGAAAAGTGATGTTTATTAGTGCTAGCATGATATATCATTGTAATTCACCTTCTCACGATTCGCGTATTGAATCATGAGACGATGAATTGATGTATCGCGATTCTTTCTTTTTCTTTTTTTGTCCTTTCAGTAAATAACCTATCACTCTCAGTAGTCCGTGTCGCACATTATCCATAGGTACACAAATACTCTTAAATTGTTTTGGTCCTTACATCAGTATCGTGATAGAAAACAGTTTTTATTTCTTTGACATTAGCTGGACTAAAAATATCAATATTCACTAATGCTGTTGTTTTCTTGATAAATATTAACCCGGTTATGAATCATTTTACAAATTGTATTGTAGTACCTGAATCGCAGTATGTGTGGTATTGTGACAGCAGTGGCAATACCCAGCGCAAATGTTTGTGAGAAGTTGTTTAGTCCAGTAATGATTCTTTGCTATGACGGGGATCACGTGGCTAAGTGGGTAAGACGCTAGCTCGCTAGCCTGGAGGTCGGGTGTTCGATCCCTGCATTGGCCGAGAAAGTTCATCCAGATTTTCCGGCGTGGTTCTCCCTTGTCAGTGATGCAGGACGGAGGGGCTGACAAGGAAAGCTGTCTAGTCTTCGGATGGGACTAAAAACTGAGGTCCCGTGTACACATTGACGTGCACGTAAAAGATCCCTTGACAGTTGGAATTCGATATAAGAGTAGGCCGTAGTGCCGCTGTCCGGGCAAAATTTCCCTCATAGCACACTGTATGGGGTATGCCCGTCTTCATTAGCCCAGGTTAGGAGCAGAAAAGTAGGACGTTAAACTCCATTTCATTTCATTTCTTTGCTATGAATGACATAACAGTTATTATTCTCTCTTTAATTTGATTATCTATCTCTTATTGTTATTTAAAGGCTTTACAGTGGTGGCATGAAACAGTTGCATTTAAACAATTTCAGCTGAAAATACAAGGTATGTTCATATCTTCACGTTATAACAAGTTATCAAATTTAAGGGGTGGGATATCATGTTGTAGGCCTACTATATGTTAGTTCAGAAATGATCTAGTTTGTGCCCAGTGGAGTGGACATTAAACCATTGATATCTCTCTCTCTCTCTCTCTCTATCTCTCTCTCATTATTGTTTAGAAAATCTAACAAACATATTCTATATTAACATTGATATTACAGTAGTGCCTTCTTTTGCCTGTTATATACTCAGCCAAATTAAAAACTTGACACTGATGAATTTCAACAATTTTTATACGCCCACATTTTTATGTGGACGTATATTGTCATCGCCCCTGTCCGTCCGTCGGTCTGTGAACAGTCTACAGGTCACAATTTTTATCCGATTTCAATGAAACTTGAAATATAGGTTTATCACCCTACGATCTCGGTTCCTTTCGATATTGGCATCTATCGGACCATAACTTCATGGATTATGGCCCCTGATTGTACGAAAAATCACGTTTTTGGCTTGTGAACACTGTAGAGGTCACAATTTTTATCCGATTTTGTTGAAACTTGAAATATAAGTTTATAACCCAAAGATCTCGGTTTGTTTCGATATTCGCGCATATCGGACCGTAACTTCCTGATTTATGGCCCCTGATTGTACGCAAAAACGTTTTTTTGGCTTGTGGACTTTATAGAGGTCATAATTTTTATCCGATTTAAAAATACGTATTATTATATCACCGTTAAACCCTAAGGACGGTTGAGTTCGAATTTCGTGAAAATCGGCCCATAACTGACAGACAAAATGGCCGCCGTTCGTTCTCAAATAGCGTAAAAATATGGTATATCAAGGTTGTGGACCCTATAGAGGTCACAATTTTTATCCGATTTTGTTGAAACTTGAAATGTAAGTTTATAACCCAAAGGTCTCGGTTCCTTTCGATATTCGCGCATTTAAAAAACCGTATTATTATATCCCTGTTAAACCCTAAGGACAGTTGAGTTTGAATTTCATGAAAATCGGCCCAAAACTGACAGACAAAATGAATCCACCACTGACGTTGCAGGACCTTCAACATGCTCTTGCTGAGCAGTGGCGACGTCTTCCTCGGGTATTGTTTACTTATGTTCTGAGATCCATGAGAAGACGTTGTGTGGCAGTACGAGACGCTAGAGGAGGCTACAACCGTTACTAAACACTTTATTCCGATTGTTCTCCAAGTCTGTGAATTTCATTTTGGGGGGTACTGTGACATCACGAACGTTATCAATGTCAAGGACTTTTGGCGAGACCTATTCTTGCTTTCTGTTGATGTCAAGGTCGTCTGTGCAAAACATAACACTAAAATAGTTGCCTTAAACCAAATATTAGAATCTAGTCCCAAAAATCCAGAGTGCCAAGTTTTTAATTTGGCTGAGTATATATTTCTCAGTTGAGTATGTTTTGTGATTTTATGTCAATAATATTTTGCTTATATTTTAGTACACAATTATAATCATGAGTCATGTCTCCGAAACCATTCAAAGATTTAATTTCCCTGTTATCCATGTTGATATTGTATTAATATGATTATATGTGTTATCAGGTATAGAAGACAACCAGTTTTCTGTGGTATTAAATCATATAGATGAAGATAACCCTTCAATAACAGTACTCAATATGAATAGTGAGATAGTAACTAGAGGTTATGCTAAATCAACTGGAATATGGTAAGATCACATTATTATCTTAAAGATGAGAGAATGAAATCTACCTATTGCAGGTCTTTATATTGGCTTCAAATGTTAAGTAAATTATTATTTAAACATTTATTTATATGAAAAGCCCATAATTAACTCTCTAAACCATCAAATGGCCAGATTGTAAGTATAAAAACACTGCGGCTATTTAAGAGTTTAACAATAAATAATCTACATTACATTTTGTCAAAACTTCAAACACTCATAGTCATTCCTTCGTACAGAATAAGTAGGGGGTTGCGTGGTCAAATGGTTAACGCATCATAAGGTCTGTCTTTTGAGTCAAGTGGCGTGGTTTTGATTCCTGTCCAACCTCGTGGGTTTTCTCCAGGGCATCCGGTTTCCTCCCACTGCTAAAGACTCCTGAGCACAATCGAATTAATAAAATAAAAAAATTAAACGATATGTTACTCCCAAAATGACCTAGTTTGTGTTGAGTGGATGTTAAACCCCATTTCTCTCTCACACAGAATAAGTAATTTGACTGAAATTTTCAATATATTCATTTTGCATTATCTATGATTAAACTATCATAGCAAGAACGGCCAGCTCTTGATCTAAATATTACATAATTCATCTTTAATAGTAACATTATTCATTGGGGTTTAAGTAAATGATTTATTAGAAAAGTCAAAAAGAATGTTTCGAGTTCAAATCTTGTAGACTGAGAAGAATCTATAGAATTTTTTGTCTGTATTCCTGTGGGGGGGTGGATGGCCAAATGGTTACCATGTGTGTGCTGTATCATTCATAAAGTCTGTCATTGGGTCAACTGGCGTGGTTTCGATTCTCCGGTTGTACGTGACAATGAGTAGGGTCGCCTGTCCAACCTCGTGGGTTTTCTCCGGGTTCTCCAGTTTCCTGCCACTGCTAAAGACCCCTACACGCAACCGAATTATTGAAATGAAATTAAACCATATGTTAGTCCCGAAATGACGTAGTTTGTGTCGAGTGGACGTTAAACCCCATTTCTCTCTCTCTCACTATCTTCTTTGAGTGGCATTCAGCAGTTGACACATGTAATAAACACAAAATCATAATATAGAAAACAATTACTTTTTTAATAAGAGCAATGTTTGGTTTAGAGTTCTCTTGCATGATAATGTTGAGAGAACCCTCAGTGAATCGTCGATATAATTAAAATAGTAATTGTGTTCCATATTATGTTTTTGTGTTTATAACTTTATACTACTTTTATGTATTTTAAAGTGTATTATTTTTCAAATATTATTTCAGGTCATCGGGTAAAATAACAGCTGATGCAGAGACAAGAGGTAGCGAAGAAAAACTTGAAACATTTGTCACACTCCACCAGTCATCGTCATCTTCATCATCAGCATTAGATACACCTAAATATGTAAGTCTTTATATTCTATTTATTTCATCTTTCTTGTTATATAGTTGTTAGTTTCAATACACAAGGAGCCACGATGGCTAAGTGGGTAAGACACTGGCTCGCTAGCCAAGAGGTCACATGTTCGATCCCTGTATAGGCTGAGAAAGTTCATCTGGATTTTCCAACATGATTACCCCTTGTCAGTGGTGCAGGACGGAGGGCCAGACAAGGACAGCTGTCTAGTCATTTGGATGAGATGAAAACCGAGGTCCTGTGTACACATTGGCGTGCATATGAAAGACCACTTGGCAGTTGGAATTCGATATAAGAGTAGGACATAGTGACGCTGCCCGGGCCAAATTTCTTTTCATAGCACACTGTATGGCGTATGCTCGTCTTCATTAGCCCAGTTGGAGCAGAACAGTAGGACGTTAAACCCCATTTCTCATCATATTGTAACTTTTATATAACGTAGTTGTTAGTTTCAATACACAGATATTGCAAGTCATTTAGTATCAGGGGGTTGGATGGCGGAATGGTTAGCACGTGCGTGCTGTATCATAAAGTCTGTCATTGAGTCAACTGGCGTGGTTTCGAATCCCCGGTTGTACCTGACAAGGAGTAGGGTCGCATGTCCAACTTCATGGGTTTTCTCTGGGTCCTCCGGTTTCCTCCCACTGCTAAAGACCCTTACGTGCAAGCGAATTATGGAAATAAAATTAAACCATATGTTAGTCCCGAAATGACCTGGTTTGTGTCGAGTGGTCGTTAACCCCCATTTCTCTCTCTCTCTCTCATTTAGTATCAAGTGTCAAGTTAATTAAACCATATTTTTCTTTTAATCTGTCCCATTTCACTGATATTAATTATATTGAATGTCCTGAACTATATTTACAGAGAAGTCCTGAGATAACACCAGTTAATTCACCAATATCTACTCCTACAAAACCTGTACATAAAGTTACATCTACCTCACAAACTCAAGCTTCTGATATATCCGAGACATCCACCAGCCCCATTCCAGCAACCATTAATTCATCTCCTGTTACCCCAACACGATTCAAACAAAATGTAGCCGAGAAATTAAGTGTTAACGTACAAAAAGCAGCAGAAAAGACACCGACTGAAACACATAAAGAAGCAGATTCTGGACCCTCATCCGTGCAGATCGAAGTTTTTCTCAGCTCGTATGTTTCACCCTCTGAATTCCATGTACAGTTAGCTAAATCTCAAGATAATCATCTGAAATTGTAAGTTATCCAATTTGCTCAGACAATTTGAAATCTTTGATAGTCTACTGTATGTTGTAATAATACGAAATCAATGTTTGTAGTTGAATTATGAATTATCACATAGGCATTGAAATTTATTTATTTCATCAGAAAAAGTGCATCACTTAGTAGGTTGATTGACAATTGACTAGAAATTCGAATTTTTTTTTATAGATTATGAAGTCTTTAAGTATCTCAGTATAAAGCCAGTTTTCCATATGCACATTTCTGCTGGTTACATCGAAACAGTCCCATAACATTTGCATTAGACCTACTTTTTCGCCCTCAAAAACACGCTGTCGATATTGTGATGTATGTTACGGTAGATTATTAAGTAAGTAATAGGCTTTCTCCGTCAAAGCAGCTAAAATGTGGAATGATCTTCTAAAAACTATTCAAGAGTCATCCAGATCTTTAAAGATGGGTTCCCGCGTACAAACTGGGTGATTTAATGGTATATATGGACCAAAAACATTTTCAAACTAATTAATTTGTCATAATTATGCTTCAAATCATTCTCAAACATTGTAATTGCGAAGGAATGCCCTGCCATTTAAAGTTCGATCAAACCAGGTCATGTTTACGTCACGTCTTGGGAGTCGGAGGAGAATTCATTGCATACATAAGACGATGTTGTCTTTAATCGCTTACTATTTATTACAAATATCGAATCCTAATTAAATTCTCGGATTATCCACTACCCGCGTGTTTTTCCGTCATTTTTATCTCAGAAAGTATTGTACGTCTAACTCTTAATAAAGTTTATCAACTTGTACATCAACGCTCAATGTTCGCTTGTGACCTTTGACATCATGCGTGCAGAAGTTCCTAATCGTCGGGCTGTTGATTAGGGGAACCCTTACCATTTTGTCCTGTATACGCTCCATGGGTGTTTTTCGGGGAATCCAGTATTTTTCTAGTAAGATTGGATATCTCTACTTTCCATATATACCAAAATTGCCATACTTTTATTGGAAATAACCACCCGATAAATACTTTTCTGCTAACCCATCGTTAAGACTAACTTAAGAACATATTTATTTCAGAAATGTTTTTGAGCTGTTTTGTTGTGAATGCACTTAGAAACACTCATGTGTAATGAAGCACTATATAAATCGAACAATAATAATAATAATAATAATCTATGTAGATACATACCGTGTAATATTGAAACTTGAATTGAATTGAGTTATAATTGTACTGTATTGTAGTCTTATGGAAGAACTACAGAAGGATTGTGAAGGAAGTGAACCCAGTTTAAGGTCATGGAAACAAAAAGATTTTTGTGCAGCAAGATATTCTAAAGATGAATTATGGTATCGTGCCAATATAGTTGAAGTAATCAGTAAAAATATGTACAGAGTAAGGAAAAGAATACTTCCATTTTTGTCCTGTATTCCTATCAATATTTCATTTTGCTACAATGAATATGGGGAGGGTGGATGGCTGAATGGTTGGTGCATGTGCATTGCATCATAAGATCTGTCATTGTGTCAACTGGCGTGGTTTCGATTCTCCAGTTGTAGGTGACAAGGAGTAGGGTCGTCTGTTTAACCTTGTGTGGTTTTTCTGGGTCCTCTGATTTCCTCCCACTGCTAAGTGAATTATTGAATTAAAATTAAACCATATGTTAGTCCCAAAATCACCTAGTTTGTGTCGAGTGGACGTTTAACCCCATTTCCTTCCTTTCTCTCTCTCATAATGAATATTCTGTCACAGTAGACGCATGAGGCGATTTGAACGCTCAATCCCCTCATTGTTTCAAACTTTGTAAAGCTAATATGTGCCTCCTTCTGTGCTACTGACACTTGTGCTTATTTTCATGAAATATTTTAGCCTTTTAAATGTATATGTACTGGTATATTTGTATGCTTTACGTTAACATATAGAGATGTTATATAATATTTTATGCTTTACGTTAATATGACTCTGTATACAATCGTTAACATGTCCATAATCTTGTTGTTTATGTGTGATTACATTGTCACTATGTAAAGTGCCCCTGAACATGTTATATGAAAGTGCGCACTATAAATATTCTGTAATAATAATAATAATATAGAGACTATAAATAATATTTATTTTTACATTCAGGTGTATTTAGTAGATTATGGCCACAAGGACACTGTTAGTGGTAATAATATTAGAACTCTTAAAAATGAATTAAGAAAAATGAGTTGTGCTGCTGTTAGATGCCATTTAGCTAATATATATCCTGCTGGTACCACTGATAGAACCAAATGGTCACAGACTGCCAGAGAATACATGGAACAAGAAGTTAAAAACAAGACATGCTACATTAAAAAAGAGGTCTGTATTATTAGTTTGTATTGGTAGTATATGGGGAGAGGGGTTTTAAATAGACTAAGCCTGTTCTTCAATCACATTTAGAAATAAAATGAAATGAAATGGAGTTTAACGTCCTACTGTTCTGCTCCTAATCTGGGCTAATCCCCTCAATCACATTTAGACATCCTGAATAAAAATATTGTTTAAAAAAAAGACTAATGCTTCATCATAGATAATGTCTGCAATATCTGCAATAGTGAAAAAATCATCAAAAATTTGGGAATATTGAGAATGCTAGATCAGATATGGTCCTGCACATATATATTATGACATAAGATGTTGATTGTGGGTTAGGGTAAGGGTTAGGACCTGCAGATTTTGTCAAAGTCTCGAGAGATAAACAGGGCTAGTGCTAACCCTAACCCTCACACACTATCCACATATGATGTCATAAGTGCAGGACCATCTCCGATCTAGCGTTCTCCCATTCAGACATCCTGAATAAAAATATAGTTTAAAAAAAAAAAAAGACTAAATAATGTCTGCAATAGTGAATAAATCATCAAAATTTGGAAATATTTTCCAGTTGTTAAAATTAGGATTATGATGAATTCTCATAGCCTTTTGTTTGTTTTGATATATATTATAGGGAGATCTCGACAATGATTCGTTAGGTCTACCCATAGATTTATTGTTAGAGGAAGATGTACCAGAAACAGCCCTTGAACCAGCTCGTAAAATAGTCTTCAGTTTAAAAAATAGATTTATTGAAAGTGGTTTGTGTATTCCCAGTCGTAGGTATGCTCATCATTGGAATTTTTCTCAACAAAAGGCTATCGATTCATTTCAGATTATTTTTAAAATTAGTTTTTCTATAAAAAAAAAAATCTGGATGTGAAATAATGAAGTTGTATATAAATATATATTTTTAAAATATTGTTTCAGTTTTACTTTGTCAAATTAATACTGTTTTAGTTATTGGAATTAAGTGCGAGGCATAAAAATAAGTTGCCAGGCAACGAAACGTAGACCGACCAGCAGTTAGGTCATTTGGACAGTTATAAGCTAAACAACTTCTAACAATCGACTGGACAGAAATTGAATTCCAATTGTACAATTTTCTTTTATATGTATGTTTTTTGTCCCATCCGGATGATTAGGCAATCTGTCATGCACCACTTATAAAAGGATATCACACTGGAAAATCCTGGGGAACTTTCTCGGCCAACTAGACAGACAACTAGATTAATACAAACTGTTAACAACAGACCAACTGATGTAGAATTCATGACTAAGGAGCTTTTCATATATTTTTATCAGTTGGTTCATTACAGCAGAAATATTTAAATTTAAGGTGTTATATAATAGAATTTTGGTAACTTTTTTCAGATTATTAAGAAATAAAATTGCATACAATTATCATGGGTTTACTTTTTTTTCAGATCTAGTCCAGAAAAGATGTATGATAGTGTTAAGAGAGTGAATAACCCGTATTATGAATATAAAAAACATCCTGTACCTGAGAGTAAAATATTAAATGTTACACCATGTTATGTTGATTATGAAGGTGTAATCTACGCACAGATAGTAGATGAAGGTATAAATACTCAAATATACCATACTCCGTTTATTCAGCTAATAGTAAACAATTACACAAGACAAGGCGCACAAACTTAACATGGAAACAATGAAGAGAAATGAAATGGGGTTTAACGCCCTAATGTTCTACTTTGATTGGGCTAATGAAGACGGGCATATTCTGCACCATAGTTAAATAGACCGAAAAATATTTTGTCTCCAAATTTTGTTAAAAATCAAGTGACCCTGTCTCCTGATCATAAGATAAGATTTTATTGTATGTAAATACCCCGTAAGAGGCAGCATACAAATACAAACAAAACATTAACTACATGAACATAATGACAATGGCTAATAAACAATTGGATTAAAACACAGATCCTATTTCATTTCGTTTTTTTATAGTTCAAAATTTTGTTTTACTTGTCTTTACTACACTAGCATCTGGAAGAGTTGTTATCATTGACGTGTTCTGAATGATGTGAGCTATTAGCCAATGAAACGGTCTGTTACGGCGAGCTTTAGGCGTGTTTTGCACGGAACTGTGGGTAATTCACTAGTAACATCAATGCTGATTGGTTAATCAAATGTCTGACGTCATAGGGCCGAAAGCCGCTCGTATGACCTCTGATGCAACCTATCACTACAACCAGTCAGATCTTCATGTAGTGTAGGCCATCGAAAGTATTTTAATCAGATTGTGTGTTATTGTATTAAATCAAGAGCTATCTGAATATTGAATATATTTAATATATTATAGAATCTGACCTGACTTCATTAAACGAGAAGTTACAATCAACATATACTCTCTCGGAACCAATTGTTTGTGACTGGAAAGAAGGACAGGCTTGTATAGCTTTATTTGAAGGAGATGGTTTATGGTATCGTGGAAAGGTTATCACTATGGAGGAAGATAGACTAATGGTAAGATACAAGAATACAGGTTTGAATTGCGTTAACTACATAAGATTATTAAAATAAAACATGGAGTAAGGCTGTGTTGAAAAGTACCAGGTATGTGCCCCATTAAGGATGACATTAGATGGAAGTGGGCTCAGCTCCACATGTGTCACTAATGTAAGATTTTATTGTATTGAAACATCCATTGAGGACAGCATACAATATAAACATGTACATAAATTTATAACAATATGACAAATAAATATACTTACAAACAAGACAAATGATAATTTTAATCTAAGTTATATATTTACTAACAAGACAAACAGTATGTATATACACATTTACCTCAAACAGGTTTGATAATGGCACAGCATTTAATACAAGTATGATGCATAGGTATAAATAAATACATAAATAACGAGAAGACTTAGTATAGATATTTACATGGAAATTTTGATATAGGAATGCTAGGTTTTGAATCCACGATATGGCCCTTCAAAGCAAAGAAATGCCATTGTTGAGACACCATGCCCTTAAAAAAGTGAAAACATTTATTTCAATGATTTATTAAATTGGATAATAGTAGTAATTTGTTGAAATATTTTTCAGGTACTATTTTTAGATTATGGTAATGTAACATGGCAGTCATACACTAGTATCCGTCCACCTACACCAGAAATATTAGAAATACCACAATTATCATTAGAATGTATGTTACACAATATATTACCTGTAAGTATATATGTTATATTTAAAAAAATATTGTTGAACAGGTGAGACAAATAAAATTGTGTGTTGGTTGAGTAATAGAGATTTGAACTCAGGTGTTGCATTGACGTACACTAACTCCCCCACAGAGGTTTGATTTCATCTAAATTATGTTAGAATTTAGATTAGACTCTTTTATAACACCCTGGGGCGACATTTACATAACACAAACCTAGTCAGGAGTTAGGTTCTATTATTTAAAAATCAAAACATACCCGAACTACAAAAATGGATGATTCTATAAATGTTAATGTGAATAGTTAATACAATACTCAGTAAATATAAATGTGGTTTTCTTCACAAAAAAAAATCAAATTTAAAGATCTTAACACTATCCCTAGGGTTTGAGTTTGAGTTATTCAGTATAGGAAGACTTGTCAAATAACACAATCAAACAGATATCTGTGTGTCTGGCTCTATGGGTGAATTATTAACCTAGTTAAAACAAATACAAACACCAGACTAATGCAGCATGAAAGAAGTGTTATGTACAACCTAATTAGGTTGAAACCTCAACATTAACCCTGTTCTGTGTTAACTCACACTAACCCAACTTTGCTCAACCCAGAACATGAAACAAACCAATGTCAGATGTTAAATAATAAATTTAGATATAGAATAACTATTATTTTTTTCTACATTTTAGATCAGTGATAATGGAAAATGGCCGATCGTTGTATTAGAACACATGCATCATTCTATAGTTAGTCATATTATTACAATTGTTGTAAAGGTAAGTGTATGGCCAGTCATTATATTATTGCTATTGTTGTAAAGGTTACTGTATGGCCAGTCATTATATTATTACAAAGGTAAGTGTATAGGCATTTCTATTATTACAATACTGCCATCAAAAATCAAGTAAAATATTGCTTATCCCCTTGTGGTTGTATCCAAATGAGGATTGCCCTTCTATCTTAAAGATACATTATGGGAGATTCGGTAACGAGTTAGCAGTTCTCACTATAATAGTTAAAAACTAGATAATGTAAAGCCAATTTGCTGAAAATTTCATTCAAATTGATCCACTGTGAACCGAGAACTAAGCGACTGAAATTTCCACCTAGACTTGGTCATCATTACTGAAGTCAGTACAATAAACAGTATAGTCTTGATTATCCATTTAATCGTTAAATCGTGAATGAAAGTTATTCAGTAAATCGGCTCACAATCCACTAAAGATCGCAAGCTAGGGCTGCCATCTAGAGTTGATTATGGCCTGGATAGGTTAATTAATGTCTAACTAATAATTTAGATAACATTTAGAAAGACCTGCAATAGACAGATTTAACTCTTGCATAATGTATCTTTAAGTTAAATATTTATTTCTTGTTGGCTCATTTACTTTGAGGCAATAAAAAACAATTGTTTGAGCCAAACAGTTGCTGAAAACAAATGTAATAATATATAGGCCACCTGAAATCCAACACAATGTTCTATCCATCAATGTTAATGCATTTATATAATACTATTGACAAATAACACTTGTTACTTATGTCAGCAAACAAAGACACATAAAAAATTCACAACTTGAAGGGTGTTTTTTTTATGCAGCTGAAGAGCTCCGATAAATTGATAAATGTTATTGACAATCATAAATGATACTGGATTATCAATCATTCCAATAAACAACATGATGAGATAAATGATATTTGATAATCATACATTCGTATAAACAACATGATGAGATAAATGTAGTGCTGTGAAATAAGATATTTATGAGAAGCCATTTAGCCCAGTAGTGGTCATTTGACAAAATATAAACACACACCCCCCCCCTCCCACATCAGATTTTTAGGAAGCATTGTCTGAGAATTAGATTGAGGTTTTTTTTGCTTGGCCTAAATAGCAAGCATAGATAGCAAGTTTATCCATGCAGGAAATTCCATGCTATGATCAAGATTCCATGTAACTGTAAGGAAAATATGCAGACAAATACAGTGGACTCTGTCAAATGGCTAATTGATGTCGTAATTTGGAATTTTCAGAATAAGAATTACTCAAAGCTTTATTGGTTGAAGTAATCAGGAAATAAATCGGGACATGAAAATGATGTCGGATTTCACAGAATGTCGTAGTATTCAGATGTCAGATGTGACAGAGTCCACTGTACATAAATTTAAATGATTTATGATGATATTTTGTAGGATGTGTCAGTAGATAATTTATTAATGATAACAGCTAGATTACCTGATGGAAATGATTTAGCTGGTAAACTTATATCTATGGAGGCTGTATATAGTACAGATGATCTGTCAATAGAGTGTAATTTTAGTGCCAAGATAACAAATATATTAAAGGTGATTAGTCCTACAGTATACAACATGTGAGATAGAGAAAATAGATGAAAACTTACATCATAATTTAATGAAATGAAATGGGGTTTGATGTCCTACTGTTCTGCTCTGACTATGGCCTACTCTTATATCAAATTCCAACTGCCAAGGGATCTTTAATGTGCATGCCAATGTATACACAGGACCTTAGTTTTTCATCCCATCCAAACGACTAGACAGCTGTCCTTGTCAGGTCCTCCGTCATGCACCACTGACAAGGCGGAACACGTCGGAAAACCCTGATGAACTTTCTCGACCTCATATTTAAATACAGCTAACTCATTACCGTTGTATGTTTTGAGAATACATTTTAGTTACTCATAAATAGTGTCTGTCTTCATTAAGCCCGTTCAGTAGGACGTTAAACCCCATTTCATTCATTAAAAGTGGGAGCATGCTTATTCGCCCCTGTCCGTCCATCCACAATTTGTTTGTGGACACCCTTTGACGAACTTTGATATATATGGTTACCTCCAAAAGATCTTGGTTCCTTTCGATATTGGCATGTATCAGACCATAACTTCATGGCTTATGGCTCCTGATTGTATGAAAAATCACATTTTTAGCTTGTGGACGCTCTATAGGTCACTAATTTTATCAGATTTTGATCAAACTTAAAATGTATGTTTATATCCCAAAGATCTTGATATTGTCGCATATCAGGTCCTAACGTCCTGGATAATAGCCGCTGATTGTACGAAAAATCATATTGTTTTGGGTTTTTTTTAGCTTGTTCTCTGTCCATCTCTTGCAAAATGTGGATGTATCTTGCATGGCAACCTCTTGTTAGACATTGTAGACTGATTTTACATGTTGATAAATCTAAAAGTGTTTGTCAGGGTTAGTTGAACTAACGCGATATGAATTAATTAAAATCATGATAAGATCATCCTGTCCAGTGTTCTGTAAGATTTAATGATGTTTTATGGAAGATGGTATATGTATGCCCATCTTCATTAGCCCAGTCGGTGATGAAGAGTAGGACGTAAAACCCAATTTCTTTTATATGTATGTATATTATATTGCAGGATTCTACCTTACCGTTAAAACCTGTACAGCCATTTCCATGTGGTATGAAGTTTCCCGTACTAGTCACTCATATTGAACTTCCTAATCTCGTAAGAAAATTACTATTTTATTGTCCCCCGCCTTTCAAAGAAAGCAGGGGACTATTAAAATGGGTTCGTCCGTCTGTCTGTCCGTCACACTTTTTGGGACACAATAACTCTCTTCCTAATTGAGCTAGAATGTTCAAACTTGGTGTATGTGTTTATTAGGTCAATGCCTTGATGGAGTTCGAAGATGAGCATTTTCCGCTTAGGGTAAGCAGAGATAAGCAATTTGATTGGTTGATGCTTTGGGACACGATAACTCTCTTCCTAATTGGGCTAGAATGTTCAAACTTGGTGTATGTGTTGATTAGGTCAATGCCTTGATGGAGTTCGAAGATGAGCATTTTCCGCTTAGGGTAAGCAGAGATAAGCAATTTGATTGGTTGATGCTTTGGGACACGATAACTTTTAATTGAGCTAGAATGTTCAAACTTGGTGTATGTGTTTATTAGGTCAATGCCTTGATGGAGTTCGAAGATGAGCATTTTCCGCTTAGGGTAAGCAGAGATAAGCAATTTGATTGGTTGATACTTTGGGGCACGATAACTCTCTTCCTAATTGAGCTAGAATGTTTAAACTTGGTGTATGTGTTGATTAGGTCAATGCCTTGATGGAGTTCGAAGATGAGCATTTTCCGCTTAGGGTAAGCAGAGATAAGCAATTTGATTGGTTGATGCTTTGGGACACGATAACTTTAGTTCTAATTAAGTGAGATTGATGAAACTTGGTGTATAGATTTATTATATGAATACCTTAACTAAGTTCGATAATGAACATTTTTTGCTGAGGGTAAGCAGAGTGATAAGCAATTTGATTGGTAGAAACTTTGGAACACAATAACTCTCCTTCTAATTGAGGTAGAATGTTCAAACTTGGCATAGGTGTCTATTAGGTGAATGTTTAAACTTGATGTATATGTAGATGTTCATTAGGTGAATGTCTTGACTGAGTTCAATAATTAACATTTCGAGCTGAAGCTAAGCAGAGCTAATCGATTTCATTTGTCGATGGTTTGGGACAAGATAATCTTGATTCTATCTGATAGAGAGTGATGAAACTTAGTGAAAAAAATAAATGTGCGATTAATTAATATGTGTCATCTATTTATTTTGCAATTTCGGCGGGGGACATCAGCCTCACTGTTGGCTTGTTATTTTTAGCCCTTCGATCCAAAGGGATTATATCATCACATCTGTCCTGTGTGATCTGTCCTGTTTAAACATTTAAGCATTTTCAAGCTTTACTCCTAAAGATCTTTATAGATTTGATTGACAAATATGTGTACATTCTCTTGAGTGAAATTTTTAATACTCTAAACCTATAGGCAATTAAGGCTATTAAGACTTCTTGTTTGTTTATTTTATTAAAGTAATGGGAGGCTGGTACTAACCTTTATCTAATGAAGTTGATGAACACCATGAAAAGGGGTTTGCAAAAGGCTCAATCTGATTAAAACAAAGATCCTATTTCGTTGCGTTTTTATAGTTCAAAATTTCGTTTTACTTGTCTTTACTACACTAGGATCTGGAAGAGTTGTTATCATTGACGTGTTCTGAATGATGTGAGAAATTAGCCAATGAAACAGTCTGTTACGGCGAGCTTTAGGCGTGTTTTGCACGGAACTGTGGGTAATCCACTAGTAACATCAATGCTGATCAGTTAATCAAATATCTGACGTCATAGGATCAAAGGCCGCTCGTATGACCTCTGACGCGACCTATCGCTACAACCGGTCCGATCTTCATGTAGTGTAGGCCATCGAAAGTTTATAAAAAATGAAACGAAATATTGATCTGTATTTTAATCAGATTGCAAAAGGCTTTGTATTTTTCTCATCCTATTAAAGGACACATATCCTGTAATGATGTAATTGCTAGGGGATGGGGGAGGGGGGGAGGATTTGTTTAATACCTTATTGGTTTTGTCACTGTCTTAGGTCAAGACAACTCTGGATCTAATATTTGTGCCGTGAAATCACCAAAACTCATATGGCTTTAAAATATTTCTTTATTAAAAAAAAAAATGTTATTTTGTTATATTAATACAGGTATATTGTCAACATGTGGCATTAGATGCTACTATTGGAAGTGAAGATTATAGAGTTGAAGCTCAACGTGTCAACAGTAACTTAATAGAACTACAAGACTTATCTATAGATCTAAATAATTCAGCCCCACAAAGTCATCGCTGGACATTCTTACCTAAACCAGGTAGTTACAGCAGTTTTTGATGTGGTTAAGAATAAAATGATGTTTTGTGATCTTTAAGACCCTAATGGGCTGTAGTTGTGCATTTAATCCTCATTAACAGAATTATTGAAAGGTAATCGTATCCAGAATATTAAATCGAAATCCTCATAAGTATTATCTAGTTTGTATGCATCAGGATGAACGGTATGCCTACTATCTTAAACACCCGATTCTATTTTTGATTTCTTCTAAAAATTGGGAACCGCAATAGCTCAATGAGTGTGGCGCTGGTTTGCTAACATGGAGCGTCTGTGTTCGATCCTCGTATTGGCTTAGTGGTGCAGGATGCCGGCCCTTGCAAATGACAATGACTAGTCGCTCAAATGAGTCCAAAAAAAAACCCCAAGAATATGTGCAAAACTCCCTCATAGCATAATGTATGCCCTTCTCCATTAGCCCAAGTGGATTAGAAAAGTAGGATATTAAACCCAATTTGATTTGGTTGTAATGATTTAGCTATGTATATATTTATTTAGGTAATGTATGTTCAGCACAGTATAGTGTTGATGATTGTTGGTATAGAGGTATTGTTATAGAAGTTGTAGAAGAATCCAGTCTAGTATATGTTCTATTTGTTGATTATGGTAATGCCGAGTTTGTTCATTTAGACAGGTAATTATTGATTGTTCTTTAATTTTTATACACCCACATCCATGGAAATGCCCGTCTTCATTAGCCCAGTTCGGAGCAGAACAGTAGGACGTTAAACCCCATTTCATTTCATTTCCATGGAAATGTGGTCGTATATTACTGTCGTCTTCGTCTGTCCGTCGATCAATTGTCGGTAATTCCTTGTGAACACTCTACACACTACATTTATCATCTGACCTTTTTGAAATTTATATATGTTGTTTACAGTAGTGGGACAAAGACACCTATTTTTATACGCCCGCATCCATGGAAATGTGGTTGTTTATTCCCATCGCCTCCTTCTATCCGTCCCTCGGTGGTCCACAATTTCTTGTGAACACTCTACACACTGCATTTATTGTCTGATCTTTTTTTAAATTTATATATGTTGTTTACATCAGTGAGACAAAGATGCCTATTTAATTTCAACTATTGTCATTAATTACATGTACTTCTTGAGTTACGGTCCTTGTTTCATTTTTTAGAACCTTGTGAATGCTCATCGACTAAAGTTATCATCCGATCTGTGTTATGTTTATATTGATTATTTAAATTAGTAAAACGAAGTAGCCTATTGAATTTCAGCAATTTCCGTACATTATTTCTAGAGTGATGGCCCTTATTTTACATTGTTGAACCTCGTGAACGCTCTAATGACAAAAGTTATTGTCCAATCTGTATTAAGTTCACATGCATTAATTCAGTTGGTAAAATGAAGAAGCCTTTGAATTTCTGTTCATAACTTTAAGATTTATGTCCCTTGTTGAACCTTTGTGTAACAAAAGTTATCATCGGATCTATATTAAATTGATATCAGTGTCTTATAAATACACCTACAAAAGAATAAATATGTGATATCCTTTGTCGACTGCTCGAAGGATTATGCTGCTATGGGCGTATTTTTCATTGCCTGGCTACCTATCTCACTGATAATTTATTGGTAACATAAAAGGTCTACTTTGACTGAAACGCTGCTATCAGAGGAAAACATAACTGTATCATACAAAAATAACAATGTTAGTCTCTAGTGATTAAAACACAGATCGTATTTCGTTTTGTTTTTTATAGTTCAAAATTTCGTTTTACTTGTCTTTACTACACTAGGATCTGGAAGAGTTGTAATATTACCCACGTTCTGGATGATAAGATGGATTAGCCAATGAAACGGTCTGTTACTGCAAGTTTTTGGCGTGAGGTGTACAGAACTGTGGGTAACCCACTAGAAACATAACGCTGATTGGTTAATCAAATGTCGTAGGGTCAAAAGCCGCTCATATGACCTCTGACGTGACCTATAGTTACAACTGGTCAGATTTTCATGCAGTGTAGGCCATCGAAAGTATAAACGAAATGAAATATAGATCTGTATTTTAAACAGATTGTTGAAATATTGATTTAATGAGATGTTAAACCTTTTCTTTTTCTTAACAAGATAAATATACAAATAATTACTTTCTAATGATCTTCCATCAATGAACTACATGAATTTAGAGTGGTTTTTTTTCTGATTTCAGGCTCAGAGTATTGCCCAAAAAATTACAAAAGTTGCCCATGCAGGCCATGAGGTGTCATATAGCTAATTTGATGCCTGCAGAGGGTCAGACAACATTTACTAAAGATATTCTAAAGATCATGCCAGAAATACTTGGACAAAGTGAGCTACTGGCACAAGTTAAGGTGAATATTAATTATTAGTGTGGGGGAGGGGTGAAGTGGTGTCGTCTTGCTGCTAAAGAGCACTATTTGCATGTGAATTATAGAAATGAAATGTACCATAAGTAAGTCCCGAAATAGTCAGTTTGTGTCGTGTGTACATTAATGCCCATATCTGTCTCTCTCCTCCCTTATGAACAATCTTTGTATAGATAATAATAATTCTTTATTAACTTACAGAGAGAGAGAGAAATGGGGTTTAACGTCCACTCGACACAAACTAGGTCATTTCGGGACTAACATATGGTTTAATTTTATTTACATAATTCGCTTGCACGTAGGGGTCTTTAGCAGTGGGAGGAAACCGGAGGACCCGGAGAAAACCCACGAGGTTGGACAGGCGACCCTACTCCTTGCCACGTACAACCGGGGATTAACTTACAGGAATTCTTGGACATAGACAAGAGATGAGAATTTGATACAAAATAATAAATAGATATAAATAATACATAATACATGGATATATGTTAACAAATGACAGCCTATTGCATTTCGTCTTATATTGCTTGGTTTAGTATACATATGCTTTGGGGGATAAACGATGACTGACATCTTTTTGTTTTAAATTTTGGCACTCTATATTGAAAAGTTGCACATTTTCAAATTAAACAAGTTAGTACTATAAAACATGTTTCGTTCAAATTTTAACTTCTGGACGTCATTTTAAACTTATATTTGATAATGGTGACTGACTTCTTTATTTAACTCGCACAACAAGCCACTTACATGTCATCTAAGAAAAGACATGGGTGCGGCAGAATTCTTGCTGCTCTCTTCCACAAAACAAAGATACAGACCTCTCTCTGTCTGTATGATTAATAATACTATTTATTTTACAGGCTACTTCTCCATTAACAGTTGAGTTATATTTACTGAAGATGGAAGAAAAAGGATTACAGTTAGCTTATCAACGTATTATAGATGAAGGATTAGCTCAGTTAGCAGAGGTTTCCAAATTGTAAGTATTTTACCTTAAAACCGAGTATGATGAACATATTTGAATAGACAAAAATCCATGGCTGAAAAAAACGGTTTTTGATGTACATGACAAAATGTCAGGCACTAATAAAATAGAACCTAACATTTTGAACTTAGTGCCAGACATGTATTAATAATATCAATAAAAAGACAAATCAGTGCCAGACAAAATGACAGGCATCAGAGGTTCAGTGCCTGACAAACCCTGAATCTGTGTCTGACATTGTCTGTGACAGGTGCCTTATTTCCAGGCTTGCAAAAATAGTATATGGAGAAATTTTTCAAAGCAGGGTGATGTATAAACAAAAAGTCAAGATCAATATTTGCATTTGTTTTTATAAGTTACTGCCCTTGCCATAAGCTTTTGACCAAAGAGTTAAGTTTACTTTATAAAAGAGTATGGATAATAATCCTACAATAAGTGGATGAATTGTATAATCATATGTTGTACCTTAACCTTTCTACTTGAGTACTACCTAGTATCTGACAGCAGGGGGTTGGATGGCTGAATGGTTAGCATGTGTGCACTGTGTCATAAGGTATGTCATTGAGTCCACTGGCGAGGTTTCAATACCCAGCTTGTATGTGACAAGGAGTAGGGCCGCCTGTCTAACCTCGTGGGTTTTTTCTGGGTCCTCCAGTTTCCTCCCACTGCTAAAGAATAAGCGAATTATTGAAATAAAATTGAATCATGTGTTAGTCCCGAAATGACCTAGTTTTGTGTCAAGTGGTGGTTAAACCCCATTTTATTGTTTCAGCCGTATTCTGAGGTATAGAAAGATAATTTGCTCCTATTATGATTATTTTCTGCTATATTCATTCATTGGTCTTAAAGAAAAGAATTGAACTGTATGTTAGTCCCGAAATGACCTAGTTTGTGTCAAGTGGACGTTAAACTCCATTTCTCTCTCTCTGTTAAAGAAAGGATGTCTGTTTCTGAATTCAAATGGGACGAGAAACCTAGGTCTTTTTACCCATTGGTGTGCATGTAAAAGAACCTTTGACAGTTGGAATTTGATATAAGAGTAGGCCATAGTGCCACTGTCCAGGCAAAAGTTCTTCATTCGCCCTGACGTTGCAGAACAGTAGGGCGTTAAACCTCATTTCATTGATCATTTTCATTGGACATTTTCTGAAATAGCCTATACTATTATAAACATTATTGTCCTTCCAGCCAATTTGTTGAAATATTTGAATTAGTTTTTATTTATTTTTATTTGACTAGATGTGATATAACAGGCTGTAGAGGTGAGGATAATCCGGATGTTATCTGTGAAGAAATAGAGGAACATAGACGATCACCTTTCTAAAAAAACATAAGATAATCTCTACAATTTATACACCAATTGAAGGAATGAACGATCACCTTTCTAATATAATAAGACTATGTTACCAAGGAAAATCTCTACAATTTATACACCAATTAAAGGAATGAACGATCACCTTTCTAATATAATAAGACTATGTTACCAAGGAAAATCTCTACAATTTATACACCAATTAAAGGAATGAACCCTAGTGAGACAAATACTTTCAAATACTACACTCCCCAAGTGATGTTTTACCATTTTATAGAATAAACCCTTGAGGAGTTGATAGAAAATGTAAAGTTCTAGAACAGAAATTTTGAAATTAGAAATTTTTGTAATACAAGCTTTGTGTATGTTGTTTGGGAAACTTTATAAGATTTAGTTGTTATTAAGTATTTTGTGTGTATAATTTCGACCACTTTGCTATTGTTTTGTATTACTTGCTATATCATTGTTATGTTGATTATTCCTGTAAATGTTATTGTTTTTGTTATCATTTTATAGTTTTATAACATTCAAAAATTTTCTCATACTATTCAAGAATAAAAATATTATAAAGACATTCAAATATTTTCTCACACTTCCTAGATTAGAATGTTACACAGTCTGACATTCAAACATTTTCTCGTACTTCCAAGAATAGAAATATTATAAAGACATTCAAATATTTTTGCACACATCCTAGCTTAAAATATTATAATGTCTAACATTCAAACATTTTCTAATATTTCCTATGTTATAAAGACATTCAAATATTTTCTCACACTTTCTAGATTAGAATGGTTACAGTCCGACATTCAAACATTTTCTCATGCTTCCAAGAATAAAAATATAAAGACATTCAAACATTTTCTCATACAACCTATATTATAAAGACATTCAAATATTTTTTCACACTTTCTAGATTAAAATATTACCCTCTCCAACATTCAAACATTTTATCATGCTTCCTAGGTTAAAATGTTACCCTGTTAAACATTTTCTCATACCTCCTAGATTATAATGTTACACTGTATGACTTTCAAACATTTTCTCATGCTGCCTGGATTAAAATATGTTACTCCTGTCAAACATTTTCTCATACCTCCTAAATTAAAATGTCACACAGTCCAACATTCAAACATATATGATTTATGCATTACATGCATTTGGAATAATAAATCTCAAGTGATTCATTCTAGAATTTTAACAATTTATTTATATGTTAAATATAAGGGTTTATGTATGACTATAATATATGTATTGTATGTACGGTAGGAAACCATATGTTTTACAATGTATAAAAAAAACTTTCTGTGACTTTTTGTTTTCTATCTAATTATAGTATTCAGTAGGTACTGTATAATATTAGCATTATATTCTAGTGTAAGTTATTTATAAATGCTCTATACTAGTATATTTCATAATAATAATAATATTATTGTGTAATATTACCATTATGTTCTGGTTTTAAGTTATTTATAAATGCTCTATACTAGTATATCTCATGCCATCCTTCCATTACATTTTATTATTATTACACATGCACAAATTACATGAATGTTAAAATCATCTAAAATGACTATGTTTTGTGTATATATTATTATTATAAGATTTATGAATCAAAAGATGTGATTCATTAAATATTTTTGTTTATCACTTTTTGCATGTTTTGAATTTATTATTGATGCTGAAATATACGCGAGAGAGAATAGGGTTTAATGTCCACTCGACACAAACTAGGTCATTTTGGGACCCACATATGGTTAAATTTTATTTAAATAGGGGTCTTTAGCAGTGGGGGACAACCAGAGGACCCGGAGAAAACCCACAAAGTTGGACAGGCGACCCTACTCCTTGTCACGTACAACCGAGGAATCGAATCCGGTTTCCTCCCACTGCTAAAGACCCCAATGCGCATGCGAATTATTGAAATGGAATTGAACCATGTGTTAGTGACTGTTAGTCCCAAAGTAACTTAGTTTTGTGTTGAGTGGACGTTAAACCCCATTTCTCCCTCGCTATAATACATTGAGTGAAACAGAATGGCAGACTCCTTCGGGCTCATGGGAATTGGGTAGTTGGGTGGTCTAATGTGTGTGGCTTAGATCATAAGGTCTGTCATTGAGTCAAGTGGTGTAGTTTCGATATCAAGTTTGTACATGACAAAGAGTATGATCGCCTTCCCTGCTTAATTTGTTTTCCTCCTGTTCCCTCCCATTGTACCAGATGTCCGTCACAAAATCACCTAGATTGTGTCAAGTAAACATTAACTCCTACTGTTAGTGGGGCCAAATATTTGTTGATCTTATTACTCTTAAGACAGAATCATAGATTCAGGCTTATACCGATTCTAGCAGACACCAGGCATTCCCATCAAATTTTTATAAGCTCACTAGAATATCTAGACACAGTTCCATAGCTCGTCCCTCAGGTGCCACATCCTCTGAAAAGTTGGATCCAGCCCCAGAAATCCCCCAAGTTCTTAGTCTACAAAGAGATTTAAACACAGGACAGTTGAGTCGAGAATCCTGATCCTGGTACCAGTTATATTTCCTTGATGTTAATGTGAAGTTACCCCTTATGTTAATGTGGTGTTTCCCCTTTGATGTGTGCATAAACCTTTGTTAGCCATGCTCACTGAACTATCGAACTCCAAATGTTTAGCAAAGAAGATGTTTGAGTTAAGCAAAGATGTTAAAGTTTACTCAGAAGATTCTGTAATCAAATATGTTACACAACATTTCAGTGATGCATGTGCTTCAATGTCTGTTCAGATCTTTAATTGTTTTAATTTAAACAGTATTTTATTTAGATAAGGGGGGTTTGATGGCTGAATGATTATTATGTGCGCGCTGTATCATAAAGTCTGTTATGGAGTCAACTGTGACAAGGAGTAGGGTCACATGTTCAACCTCGTGGGTTTGCTCCGGGTCCTCCAGTTTCTCTCCACTGCTAAAGACCCCTACGTGCAAGCGAAATATTGAAATAGAATTGAACCATATGTTAGTCCCGAAATTACCTAGTTTGTGTCTAGTGGACGTTCAACCCCATTTCCCTCTCTATTTAGATAAAACTCATGTTAGGTAGCTGAACATGCATTGTCAATTAATAGTAAGGATTGAAGACATGTTAAATAAACTTTAATAATTCATCTCCTTATTGATAATCATAATCCAAAATGCCCACAACATATACAAAATTAATATTGTTAATCATGTAATTTAGAAGATCTGATAACTTATGTAACTTTCAATAGATTGCCCTCTTCATAATGACTTGGTTGGTACAAGTCATAACAATTCTAACATACTTTATACCTTATAAAAAATAATTATTTTAAAGTTTTTACTGTAAGGATCATTTGTATTCTGACTGAAGGTGTTTTAAATATAAAAAAATAATGAGTTGTAATGTCTGATCTGTCAGTCTGGAATTTAAATAACATGAGCATTTCTCAAGCAAATTCATATCTAAGAAACAATAAGAAGTAATAATTTACTGCTGACTTCCATCACTAATGGGGGTTGGGGGCAGGGACATCCAGTCAAAAAGTAAAATTAAGTTTGGAAATAATCGCTGTTTAAGTAGGCTACCCATTTGTCAATTTTTTATTTGAAAGTCAATAAATCTTGAATATTAACTACACACATTTATCATTTATTCCCTGACTGTTGCAATATCTGGCAATTCTAATGTGACTTATACAACAGTAGATACACATATAAACTACATCAATTTGTTGTGTTAATTAAACATATCCACAATATCTCATGGTGAATATACATATAGTAACTCATGGTGAATATACATATAGTAACTCATGGTAAATATACAGAACCCTTGGGCAGGCTTATTAATACACAAATATATGTTTCATCTGGTCTAATTCAATAGTCAATAAAATAAACAAATGTGTTCATTATTTTAATTTTTTTTTTTTTCTTTTTAACAATATTTTATTCACAGGATACTGAAACCAGCCAAACACTTATATAAATCGGCTTCCCAAAAGCAAGTACATAAATGATATAAACTTATATTAAAATTATCAATATATATGGAGTATTAAAGTGCACATATAATAGGATTACAGGGAGAATATAATCAAGTTTTAGCTAAGTTTTAATTAATCTTTGAGGAATAGCTAATATCTTAATCCACGAGTTAATCCGCAACTGTATATAACAAGATTTTTTTAAAACTTAATGTAGGATTTGAATTGGAACAAAGTTTTTCATTTTATTTATTCGCGTGTGTGTGTCTGTTGGAAGAGGGGGGAATCATTTCTACCTGCTGTGATATAATTACATTTGTTTCATTAACAATTAGTTGTGTCGTCTGATCTGTCAGTCTCAAGCAGATCTCAAGTTAATATCATCACTCATCTAATAATAATTAGAAACAATAGCGTTAATAATAACCAATTATCATCATATCCAACAATAGATTTTAGACATTTTCTTTGTATATTACAAAATACATAAAGTATTTGGTTGTTGTAAACCTGTTGGTTTTAAAATTTCAGTATCTGTGACCAAAATTAAATTTTTGTCAAGTACCACTAAATCATATAACGAATATTTGCATTGAAATTGATATTTGTGAAAACCCCTTTTGCTCACAATATTTTATTATTATTTTCTATTTTTCCCTATTTATTTTTTTTTTTTTTAGTTCATTGTCCATATATTTCCTAAGCAGTCATTCAATTATAAGGAGGAAAAAAATGTAAGCTTCACATAAATTTCATTAGACGCTGGCCTGGGATGTGACATGCAGACAGTGTTTTAATAATAATGAGTTGCGTCGTCTGATCTGCCAGTCTGGAGTAGAAATCTTAACGTGAATATATCTCAAACGACATAATAAATACATTAAACTAAAAACAAAACACACAATAGAATTAAGTGATTAGTAATGATTTAATTAAAACTTTTAAATTAATCATTGTATTATCTGATGAAGTAATGGTTCATAGGTAAACATTGTAATCATGACTGCTATAATAGATTAGAAGGTAGTTCCATAGTGGGTAATCAAGTATACTAAATAGTGCTCAAGCACGCACCTGTTGTGACACGCTGACCTTTCTAAAAATAGTAATATCAGAGAGCATTGTGGGAAAGAAAGCGGGGCCTTTTCGAATTGTTTTTCTTGAGTGTTGATAAACATATAAAATAACCATGGCGTATGTTGGGGAAGCATCACCACAATTATCTAGATTTACAAGAGGTACCGTGTTACGAGAGTCTAAAGTCAGTATGGGTACGTATGTCTTATTTACTGAAACCGCTGGAGATTCGTATTTCACGGGTCGGAAGTAAAAAGTTTATCAATGCAATGACTGTCTGTAGACAGTAGTGTAGTGAAGCCGAGGGCAAGGAACTGCGGGTTTGACGACAGGAGTCTGACCTTGTATCCATATATATTTGCATAGACCATACCCAACTAAACTTCTGTGTTTTGACACAGTTAAGAATGAACTGTAGGAAATATTCTTTTGACAAGTCAAATATGATAGATGAGCTTTCTAATTCTTTAGGGGTTATTATATATACGTAGTAGTACTACTACTACCTTTCCATAAATTAAGCAAGGAAAAAGGGCAAACAAATTAAGTTTGTTTTTTCTCTTAAAATCTAACAATAACGATGAAATTTAGGATTTAATGTCCTATTTTAATGAATGGACTAATGAAGACAATGTCCTATGAGGAAAATATTCTGTCTAATGAGAACTCTTCATGAATTTTCAACTGTCAATGGCTCTTGTCGCCAAGTTTTTGTATGGGCATGCCAATGTGTAAACAAAACCCTTTTTTTATCGTGACATCTGAACAGCTAGATAGGCCTACTGTGCTATCCTGGGCCCCTAGTCCTATACCAATGACTAGCGGGAACGACACTGCAAAATCCTGAGGAAATTTCTTAGCAACATGCAATAAATAATACTGTTTTTGCTTTGAAAACTTATAACACAATAGGTTTTATTGATCTGCTTATTTATCCTGCTGGGGGTTTGGGTGACCTAATGGTTATATCAGATGGTCTGTCATTGAGTCAAGCGCTGTGGTTTTGATTCCCCGCTTGTACGTGACAAAGAGTAGGATCATCCGTCCAACCTAGAGGGTTTTCTCCAGGTCCTCTGGTTTTCTCCCACTGCTAAAGACCCTACGCGCCAGCGAATTATTGAAATAAAATTGAACCATATTTTAGTCCCAAAATGACCTAGTTTGTGTCAAGTGGAAATTAACCCCCCCCCCCTCTCTCTCTTTATCCTACTGATAGTGATATAATCATAATTCAAGCTGCTGACACTGATTAGATTTAATTGATACAAGTTTAATTAACATATAATTTACATACATGTGTTCATTATTCATTAAAGTTGGGTTGGATATTCACCTCAAATAACTAACATGATACCTAGGGTGGTACACATGTACCACACTTGTCAGCCAATCTCACATGTACCATACTTGTCAGCCAATCTCTTACAATAAGCTTGAAAGGAGATACACATGTACTATTCTTTGTGCATGTTAACAATAAATTGAGAAGGTCACCCCCAAAAAATGACCTGAATTCATTAAATATCAATGTAATTGACTAGTTTATTGAGAAGTTTTAGCAGTAGGTTAAAACCATTGTGTCATTAAGAAAGTACAAACTGACTTCTTTTGGATGTATTTTATTCGTATTAGTGGTTTTATGGGATGTAACCCAGGTGTCATAAAATCACACTTTAACAATACAGGTAAAACACTGTAGTTACTAGACCAAGCTGATGTAGTTATTTACACTTTAAATGTCTATCCTTCAGGGTTTTAAATTGTTCACTCAAGTATTACATACTCTCTTTAAATCATTTATTTCACTGTAATAAAAGTATCTTCACGCTTAATTTGTGACAAATGAAAAAGCAAATTCACATGCTTCAAAAAATAGATTTTGTCTGCGGGCTTTAAATTTATGACTTTAGATTAATGTAAGTTAGTGGTGTTTAAAGTCTCTGATAATCATTTGACAATATCTGATATAGAAACTTGCGGATCTTCATTTGACAATATCTAACTTTTCATAGCTTAATCCACGATTATAAACATTTAAATAAGAATAGAAAAATCAAAATATTAACTTGGATTCAGTCAGTTTAAAAAGAAGCACATGAAATTTTTTTACCCAAATTTATATTTGGTGCTGGGTGCAGAGAGGTTAATCAAATATCTGGCGTCATAAGGTCAAATAAACGCTCATAATGACCCCTGATGCGACCTCCCACTACTTCTGGTCAGATCTTCATGTAGTAGAGGCCATCGAAAGTATAAAAAACCAAATCGAATTATAGATCTGTATTTAATCAGATTAGTGAATACAGGAACAAAACCGAAACCATTTTTAGATTGATATCCCTGGAATGATATTGCGTTTGGAATTTTAAGTTAACTTTCACAATATTTTAGAATGGAAAGGGATTCTAAATTTCAAAATTCCTCAAATAGAAAACATTTTTGTAAAGCTTTTTAGATTAAAAAAAATGAAACTGTGAAATGTTAGGTTTTTAACTATTAAAGACAGAAAACAATGAGCTCAAATTGATAATTCCCTAATAAAATATAAGAGATAGGAGTTGTTTGTAGAATGTATCATGTATGTTGTAATAGCCTGAAGGTGATATAGAGGTATCCTATATTATAAGAGTTCAAAGATCAGTCCTTATAACAATGACAAGGTGATGGTATAGACCAACTAATAGACAATAGATGATCACACCAGCATTTTGTTTTCCATGATTCTAACTGTTAAAACAGTCTGTCAGTTACAAAAACATCTTCACAGGTTCTTCCTGTTCTACCATGATTGTTGCCTTGTTTTCTACTTTACATTGACACTGATTATGCTCTCTCTGACACAGAAAGGGTGAAAATTTCTTCATAGCTTCATGTTTGACTTTTCAAATGGCGACATATAAGCAAACATGTAAACCTTGACAACCTATGATAAAATGATTCAAAGGTAGCCCTCAATTATTGGATTTCTATTGTCACAGTTGGATCAATTTACAGGATTCAAAAATTTTAACACTTAAGTTTTCTAAGAGCTTGGTTGTCAGGATCAGTTTTCTAAAAGGGTTAAAATGTCTTCAGTTTTCTTAAAAAGGTGAAAATGTCTTCATAGGTTTAAGTTTGACATTTCAATTGGATATATCAGCAAACAATCTATGATATCGCTTCTGTGGAAGCAGACATTAAATAAGACTATTTCACACACAGATAAATAGATTCAAAGGTAGCCCTTGATTATCCGATAGCGTTTGTCACAATTTGGTCAATTGACAGGATTCTAAATTCCAACACTAAAGTTTCCTAAGAGCTTGACTGTCAGGTTCAGTTTTCTATAATTATGCCTTTTAATTTCACTGAATGGGAAGAATAAATGAAATACTCAGATTGGTCAAAATATATCCTTCCCATATTACTATTGATACCCAACCATTAGACTGCCTTGACTGAAATAAATCTGTGGTTTCCTAGGTTTTAATAATGGTTGCCTATGATTTATGTTTGATGGTGGTCAAATGTATATTTAACTAAAAGGTTTAGATTGCGCTTAAGTAGTTCAAATACATAAGAACATTAAAACTTATTGACTTAAATCTTTATTCCCAAGAAAATCTATGTTTAATAGTATTTAATCTCAAGGGGGTTGATGAACTTATATTGAAAAAATAAGGTGTTATCCTTTGATGATAAACATCAAAAGACTGCTCACCTGCCTGGCTGTAATTAAGCAGAATGTTGTGTAATCCTGTGTTAATCTGGACAGTTAATTTTATAGTACAGGTCTAATTAAACACTTATAATCTAAGGCTATCTTTTTTTAATTTCACCAACTCTAACATAGTCAAATATACTTTTTAAATAACACCAACTCACCCACTCTCAGAAACTACTATTTTTAGGAGTTATTTTGCTGTCAGTTTTTAATTTGGGGGGGGGGGGGATCAAGATGTGTAAACTTTATACCAAATAAAATAATTTCTTCTTTGAGTGGCATTTTAGTAATTACACAGTAACACACTAAAAATAAATATATATGGAATTACAATTACTGGCTTATTAGTATGCAACATTGCGATGATGGTATATTTGTCTTAATCAAACAAATGATGGTAAAGACTACGAGAGTGCCATGATCGAAACATTGCATGTTAAAGAGAGAGTAACTTTACATGTACTTCCATATTTAGTTTTTTGAGTCAGAAATAAAATAATGCTATCAAAATTATTTTATCGGAAACAAATCTTTATATAGGTAATTCTAGGATGTATATAAACAATTATGTATACATCTCTGGTGATGTAGGTAAATATACCGGTAACAATATACAACTTTTTTTTTTTTATTTTAATTTTATAGACAATATTTTATTCTCAGAAAAGGATTGAGGAACAATCTAGATCTATATTACCTCCCTCCTTATTTTGGTCTTGTGTGTATACTGTAATTTCATAAGCTATTCAATTTCTCATTTCTGACTTTAAAACCCATTAAATTTATTCAGTAAAAGAACTTGTATATATTAATAAAAAATGAAATAAACTTACAAATGGGTTCACTGATCTTTAATTACAAACGTATGTATGGATATTGTGATAAGTATTTTTAGATTTAGAGAAATTTAATGGAACAATTACTACAATATGTAGTAATAGGATGATGTATTTTGTGAGATAATCTAAAAACTAAGATGTTGTTCACACACCATTCTTGCATAAAGCTTGCAAGTTAATCCCACCCTAAATCTGTAGTGATATTGTCTTGAGGCTAAGATCTATAGAAGCTACAAGTCTTAATGTAAATATTTAACTGGGTTATTAACATGGGCTTAATTAGTACAGAGGTGTTTGTTTAACCAGCCATCTTGACTAGAGGATTAAAATAGGGGGTAGTTTTTTTCTGTTTTTGAAGCTGGTTTCTATTGGATGAGCCCAGATTAAGACTGTTGTCTATATAATGGTTCTGGACCACCTAAGGTTTCAGTGTCTCTCTTACACTTACATGTGGTCATTTACTAGGAGTTTTACCAGAGAAAGGATATTATATATATACAGTGATGCATTCTCAAACAATAGGTAGTTACATGTGTAATATATACAGCCTAGTTTTAATGATTTATATAGAGGATTTAATAAGGCATTCTAAGTACACAGAATGCATGGATGGTGTTTTTTTGGTGAATTTGAAATACTTGGATATGAATAAGCTATTCTCAAATTTAAATAAAGTGTGTGTGTGTGTAGATTCTTTGTGAGAACCTAGTATTCTAAGGAAGTTCAGAGCTATTAAGGTGGAGAGGCATTATCTGTGTTATCAACCTCGGTGGAAGTGGACTTTAGGGCTTACAAACAAATATTTAGATGGAATGAATGAATGTTCTTTGGTGTAAGATATATCTGAGGGAGGCTTTCTTCTTTCTAGCTCAGAAGTGCGGCTCTTTTGTTTTTTGGATAATAGAAGGAAGTCATTATGGAAATATATTTTCATATTTTTTTCTCATTTCAGGTCCGTTTCGTGCAACACAAATATGGAATGAGGTTATTTGCCACCTTAAAACTAGAGTAGAATTGAAGAAACGTCGCCATAAATTACGACAATATGATAATTGTTTTACTGGAGCTGATGCTGTAGATGTTGTATTACATTATTTATTAAATGATAGAGATACATTTAACAATGATTTATCGAGAGAAAAAGCAGCCAAGGTAATTAAAATATCTGGTTTAATTAAACTAAATAAGCTTGCATTTAAATTAAAGAAATGTAGGTCATTTAATTACATGTGTAATTAACCATCAGTGTCACCTAATGAACAATTAATGGTTAATGGCTGTCAATGTATAATTGTATTAATTTAAAACACTACTCACATAGGGCCATACCAAACAGAATTCTTGTTCTTTGGGAAAACCTATTAAAATTGTACTTGATAAGAAAATTTTACTTATTATTTCTTCTGAGAAAAGAATAATTGTATTATAGAAAATATTTGGTTGTAATTTTATTGAAAACATTGTTCATAGGACTCAAGTCAATATTTATTCATCAAAACCACAAAAAACTCAAAATTTATTTGTGTGACCAAATTATAAAACTTTTCTCCATTAAATGCTCCGCAGCTATAGCATCCATAACCAGATCAGCTCAATCAAAACCACAAAGAACTAAAAATTAATTTTGTGTGACCAAATTATAAAACTTTTCTCCATTAAATGCTCGGCAGCTATACCATCCATAACCAGATCAGCTCAATCAAAAAGTAGAATGCATGTCAACTCGTCCACAAGCAAACTCGTCCACATGAAAAGTCTAGTTGGTTGAGTCATCCACATGGTATTAGTCGACTCGCCCACATGGTATTGATTCAGTACTGGCTAGAGTATTCATAATTTTGGTTAAAAGTAGAGTTTATATAATATTTATTATTTCAGTTATGTCAGACATTAATGGATAAGAATGTATTTGAACCAGCCGGATGTCGTGCTAGTGAATGTAAACGTATATTTGAAGACAGTAGTGGTAAATTATATAAGTTTTTACAAGATGATAAAGATAGTTTAAATGATGACGATGTTTGTGATGATTTATCCATGTACGATGAAACTGATGATCTAGGTAGAAAGGATGAAGGAATGAAGTAAGTATTAGTCAAACCTTTAAATTATATTAAATAATTCAGATATTATAGAAATAGGGGGTTGGATGGCCGAATGGTTAGCGTGTCATAAGGTCTGTCATTGAGTCAACTGGCGTGGTTTCGATCCCCTTTGTTGTACGTGACGAGGAGTAGGGTCGTCTGTCCAACCGGGTGGGTTTTCTCTGTGTCCTCCAGTTTCCTCCCTTTGCTAAAGACACCTATGCACAAGCGAATTATTGAAATAAAATTGAACCTTATGTTAGTCCTGAAATGACCTAGTTTTTGTCAAGTGGACGTTAAACCCCATGTCTATTTATCGTACTGATATAATCATAATTCAAGCTGCTGACACTGATTAGATTTAATTGATACAAGTTTAATTAACATATAATTTACATACATGTGTTAGTCCCGGAATGACCTAGTTTGTGTAGAGTGGCTGTTAAACCCAATCTCTCCCCCTCTCTCTCTCTCTCTCTCTCTCTCTCTCTCTCTAATATAAATTGTATTGTATTTTTATAGGATGGCGTATAGTGAAGTAGATTTAGTTGGAGATGATATATGTAATCCTATAGCAGTAGATAGAAATGGTCATATTATACCAGCTCTAGCAAGTATTCGTGGTTTGATGAGATCAAAAAGTATTTCCTCCATTTACTCCACATCATCTGATAAATCATTACGCGAAGATTGTTTAGATATACCAAATGAAGGTTTGTATTTATATTAATCGTAAAATTATTTATCAATTGTATGAAGGTTGTGGACCCTAGTCTAGAGGTCACAATTTTGATCCAATTTTGATGAAACTTGAAATACATGTTTATAACCCAAAGATCTTGGTTCTTTTCGATATTTGCGCATACCGGACTGCAGGCCTGGAAATAACGGTTTGAGATGTACCTGACAAAATGTCAGGCACTAATGAAATAGTACCTGACATTTTTAACTTAGTGCCGGACTTGTATTAATAATAACAAAAAAAAACAAATCAGTGCCGGACAAAATGACAGGCATCAGAGGTTATATGCCTGACAAAGCCTGCATCTGTGCTTGACATTGTCTGTGACAGGTGCCTTATTTCCAGGCTTGGTAACCACATCATTTGAATATATTTTATTTTATTTCACAGTATTTATTTAATTCAATTTAGAACCTTTTATATTAAACATACATTATGCAAGAGCTAAATCTGCCTACTGCAGGTCTTTCTTTAGGCTTGAAATGATATCTAAATTATTAATTAGATATTAATTTACTTATTAAGACCATAATCAACTCTCGATGGCATCAGAAAGCGAGGCCAAGTCCCGAATATACCAGTGTCAAAACTACAAACAGTGATAACTTGGCTCAGAATAAAGTAATTTGAATGAAAATTTCAATATTTTCATTTTACATTATCTATTTTTGAGCTATTAAAGCAAGAATGGTCATGCCTCTTTATCTAAATCTTACATAATGTATCTTTAATTGTGATATTTTAATATTTGATTAACCCAAATGTCTAAATTGAATTATATATACATGTATTAGAGAATGTTTTATTTTTTTGTCCTTTAATCGTAATGTTTTTTTTATCATTTCAGTTATTGAAGAGATTTGGAAGGAAACAGCCCTAGCCCAGTTACTCACCCTAGTCGATGTATCTTTTGTGGATGGTCCTCTATCCGAAGAAAAACCTGCCAAAAAACCACGCCATAACCTTATCATCTCTAATACCATTGCCAAACGCTACACATCACCATATAAGGGTAGTGCTCCAGTTTTTGAAGATTCGGTCTTGCACGCTGGCTATGATTGTATCGAGTGCTTACCAAAAGGTTTGAACTTGCTGAGTGATGACTGCCTTCGACAATCTAATCCCAAAGCTAAGAACAAAGTTTTCAATATTATTGCCAAACATTACAGAGACTTATCAGAGTGTATTTTGCCAGACAGATTTGTTGACCTCCATCTTGCTATTTTGAATTTGATTGTTTCTCAACGTGAATCTGTAGCGTTACAAGCCCTACAATTAGATATGATATTATTACCATGGACCGTACGAGAAGAACTACATCGATTATTAAAGTTTATGAATGCTGTATGTAAAGATCACACTTTAAAACTTGATCAACAGGTAGGTTCATTTCAATCTATTACAGTATCGTAAATTACAAGAATAAGGCCTCACCAATTTGAACCTTTGTTTTTCAGGAACACCTTGTAAATTCTGTAAGGGGTTGGGTGGCTGAATGGTTAGCATGTGCGCGCTGCATCATAAGGCCTGTCATTGAGTCAACTGGTGGGGTTTCGATTCCCCGGTTGTACGTGATAAGGAGTAGGGTTGCCTGTCGAACCTCGTGGGTTTTCTCCATGTCCTCCGGTTTCCCCCCACTGATAAAGACCCCTACGCACAAGCGAATTATTGAAATAAAAAAATTGAACCATGTGTTAGTCCCATTATGACCGACTTTAAACCCCATTTCTCCCTCTCCCCTAATTTTTGTGTCCCATTTCACGGGGAAAAATAATTTAAAAACAAAAAGTTACTGGGTTACTCTACTCAAAAGCTATTAGTTGCACATTTTCAAGTTTTAAAATTCTAAATAAAACATTTTTCATGAGCCTCAAGTGGCTGCTTGTTTTTCAAGACCCTGAAGAACAAAACATTAAGTTGGTTTGGCCTATGTAACACTTCTCTTTGGTTTTACTAAATTTTAACCTAAGCCAAGATTAATCCTTATAAGACATATAGAAATAGATTTCACTAAAAATAACACACTAATATCATAATATGGATATACTACTTCTGAATTTTATTAACATGCTACGTTTCAATACTCATACACGTATCGTTATCATGCAACTAATGATTAATTATCAAAAACTTAGTGCAATATATAGATAACCACTTTGGAAGCCATTTAGCAGATACAACAATAACAAAAAATTGATTAACAAGATGAAAGATATAATATATAACCATTATTTGCTTGATAACGATACCTGTATGAGTATTGAAACGTAGCATGTTAACAAAATTCAGAAGTAGTATATCCATATTAGTGTGTTATTTTTTTTTATTTATTTTTTTAAGCCAAGATTGTCTAAATCAAGCCATATGTATTTTCGTTAAACAGATTGACACAATCCGAAATTATAATTTATATTAATTCTTTGTTTCCTTTTTCCAGGGCAGTAATGGTGAGATCGTTCTACAACTGTTTTCTGATGTTATATTTAAACATAAAGTGATGTCATCTAATCTTAGTACCTTATTTGTACAATTCATGATGGATAATTTATCAGATATATTCAGAGTACCTGAAAGTGTTCAAGATAAAGTTGCCTTGAAGATATATCGCCTCAAAACTGGTGATCCATTACCGATTTTAGGTGAGTTTTCATTTAATATGACTATTTGATAGCTTATGAAATCGAAAAATTACAGGGGCGTTGGTTGGATGGCCGAATGGTTAGCACGTGCCGGCAGTATCATAAGGTCTGTCATTGAGTCAACTGGTGTGATTTCGATTCCCCGGTTGTAAGTGACAAGGAGTAGGGTCGGAAACCTTTTTAACTAGTAAAGTTATATAAAGTGTATTTGGACTGTTTATTGATTCACCAGAAATTGATTTTGTTTTAGATGTTACCAATTGTATAATGGACTATTTTAAATATTTCAGAATCAACATTTTGTGAAAGAATTTCGAAAGAAGAATATGAAAAGAAAACGTATGAAGAAACACAGTTGGCCATTGTAGAAATTATGAACACCATATTGGATGATATTAAACTTCCACTCAAAGAAAAGAAACAAAAGTTGAAACAATTCCAGAAGTTTTATCCGTTGCTGTATCAAAGACATTTTGCTGGCTTGGCCTAAGTCATTCATCTCTCTAGTCGTTATCATAATAGTGCAATAAGTGCTAAGTGTATGAATTTTGAATGAAAATAATTGTGCTATAATTTGTGTTTTGTTTGTTGGAATGTGTTTGTGCTAAGAAATTTAATATTTCAAACCCAACTGTATGGTTCTGTATGTATGCCGTATCAAGTAATTCATTTTTTGGGGCAATATTATATAGCCTATATTAATTACATGCTTATTTATTTTTGATCTCAAATTTATTTTTGTAGCATTTATAGCAAATTTTTATAGCAATGATCTCATACAATTTGTCTGTGACAAAGATTATGCCTTAATAAGAAGTCTCAAACTAATCAATTATACATATATTATGTATCACTTTTGATACAGAGTTTACAAGTAATTTTCCTACTATATATATCAATTTGTCAAGTTTTATATTTTTGTATTGAAAATTTCTATAAGCATTGTACATTTTGTAATGGAAAAAAATACTAAAAAAATGGCATTGAATGTTTTTTTCGTGATCCACATTGAATGTTTTTTTTGTTTTGTTTTTTCGTGATCCACATTGAATGTTTTTTGTTTTTTTTACGTGATCCACATTGAATGTTTTTTTAATTTTTTTCGTGATCCACGTGTATAACTATTTGTCTATTTCTAGTCTATATCTGTTTTCATGATCTACATGTATGACTATTTGTCTATTTCTAGTCTATATCTGTTTTCATGATCTACATGTATGACTATTTGTCTATTTCTTGTCTATATCTGTTTTCATGATCTACATGTATAACTATTTGTCTATTTCTAGTCTATATCTGTTTTCATGATCTACATGTATGACTATTTGTCTATTTCTTGTCTATGTCTATTTTTCTACTGTCTATCTTTAATTCTATTGTAGATAATAGTTTCTAGATGTGTATATATTTAAATTAGTGCTTTTTGTATAGTTCCTGATACCCCATCATCATGTGATATAATTTACTTCAATTAGAAAACATTAATTAGAACTTGAATAACTTGTAGTCTTCTAGTCTAATTCCTATGGAGAATTATCTAGACGGGTTTGGGAAATTTGCTGATAGAAGATTTTATTGTATTATACAATACAACCAATATTTAGCTTTATAGTAGATAATATTAGCTTTCAACTATTCTACTGAATGTCAATTTCAATGTGTATAAGATGTGCCAAAGTAAACATTATCAAATTTTCTATTGTAACATTAATATTTGATAAATATTCAATTGTAAATACAAATGATTTATGTATTATATATTTATTTTTGCAATAAATTACTTAATGCAACATATAAAATCTGGTGTTGATTTTATTCAATTATTAAAGGGACCATCCCGATTTTAACAGTCTCGCAGAAGCCGTATAATACAGCTTGGGACAATGGTCTCCATTTCCAAATGAAGACTGGCAGGTTTAAGCTGCTTGAAAACATATCCACGTATATTGAGTTAGTTGCTTGGCCCTAAGGTAGGGGATTTTAAGGGCTTTTAACACAAAATTAAGCAGTTTTATTCTCCAAAAATATAATCGAGATTGGCCCTTTAACTAATGCAAGGCTCAGATCTGTCCATCTTAAGGCTTGTATCTAATCAAGTTGTCAAAATCATTCTATGTTGTTGTCCAAATGTCAAAATCATTCTATGTTGTTGTCCAAATGTCAAAATTATTTTGTATTGTTGTCAAAATACTTGTTTTTATAGTACATTCTCCTAAATAATCATATTTGTCATTGCAGCTTCTCAATAAAATCTTGATTGTTTCTATGGAAATGAAATTCAATATGGTGAATATTTCAGATGTGAGGTCATGTATATATTGGTACATGTTCAAACAAAGTTTGTAATTAAAGGATCATTATGGAAGATTAGATAAAGAGCTCATAGTTCACTATAATAGTTAAAAACTAGATAATGTAAAGGGAATTTGCTAAAAAATTTCAGAACCAAGATATTAGCGATTGAATTTTAGGCCTAGCCTCGGTCATTATTGCTAAATTCCGTACAATAAAAAACATAGTTTTGATTATCCATTCTTGGATTTAATCATCAATAAGAATTGAGCAGCAGATTGGATTCAAATCCAGTGAAAATCCGACACATAAGATGGCATCGAAAGTTGATTATGGTCTTGTCACCTTAATAAAAGTCTAATTAATAATTTAGATAACATTTGAGGCCTAAAGAAAGACCTGCAATAGGCAAACTTAGTTCTTGCATAATGTATGTTTAACAATTTACAGTTATGGATATAACCTGTAGAGAGATTTGGGCCACCACAACCTCCCCTCCTTTTTACGCCTACCACAGTAACTTCATCTGTATTTATTTAATTTACAGTTTTGTTTTGAAACATAAGTTTAATAAACATATGGGCGATGCTCAAACCCAAAAATAGTGACATTCAATTGAAAATGGAGATTTGGGGCTAGAATGCATGTGCCGACTGCACAAGGAAATACCTCAATCAACCATGACAGCTGAAGCATATTCATTGTGTTTAATTACGTCACGATTCTACTCAATCCACCTACGTTGTGGGGACTGACAGGGCTGAATTCCCAGTCACACGATTGCAGTTCTGTCCATTTGGAATGTTTTGGACTGACAATCGAGCATCAGCACAAGGTACTACAAATTTGTTGAAATAACAGAAAGACAAAGTTTTCTTCACATCATGTTATAACTAGCCTCATTAGTTATAAGGACTTCAACAAAGCTAATATGATCTAACTGTCATAGTCTCTTATGGAGAAATGAAATGAAATGGGGTTGAACGTCCTACTGTACTGCTCCTAATCTGGGCTAATGAAGACGGGCATACGCCATACAGTGTGCTATGAGGGAAATTGTGCCCGGGCAGCAGCACTATCGCCTACTCTTATATCGAATTCCAACTGCCAAGGGATCTTTTACGTGCACGCCAACGATTTTTCGTCCCATCCAAACGACTAGACAGCTGTCCTGGTCGGGCCCTCCATCCTGCATCACTGACAAGGGGAAACCTCGCCGGAAAATCTGGATAAACTTTCTCGGCCAATGCAGGGATCGAACACCCGACCTCCAGGTTAGTGAGCCAGTCTCTTATGGAGAGAATCGAGGGGGCTTAGTAAATTCATATGGGACAAAAAAAAAAACAAGATCCATGTGAAAGTTAGTCTGCACATAAAAGAACAAACCTTGACAGTTGGAATTTAAAATAAGAGTATGCCGTAATGCCACTGTCTGAGCAAATTTCCCTCATAGATCAAATCCATCAGGTTCAAGAGGAATTCCACATGCTGAATTTCAATTTGTACACACTTTGATTTGACAATATTCTTTATTTACGAAAAACGGAAATCACAAACCAGATTTAAAATGGGGAAAAAATTATAGTCATTATGTACATACAATATTATTGCATAATATTTTTAATTCTAAATATAACTACATATGATTTAATAACTATAATAAAACTATTTAAAAAAAACTTATTGAATCTAGAAAACATTTGATATGTGAAAGACTGAGATTTATACAATCTGATTAAAATACAGATCTATATTTCGTTTTGTTTTTTATACTTTCGACAGCCTCTACTACATGAAGATCTAACCAGTTGTAATGGAAGGTTGCACCAGGTTGATACAAGCGTTTTTTATTCTATGATGTTAAACATTTGATTAACCAATCAGCGTTGATGTTTCTAGTGGTTTATCCACAGTTTCGTGCATTGCACACCATGAACTTGCCGTAACAGATCATTTCATTGGCTAATCCCTCGCTTCAACCAGAACGCTGGTTATATAACAACTCTTCCAGATCCTAGTGTAAAACGAAATTTTGAACTATAAAAAACGAAATAGGATCTGTGTTTTAATCAGATTGAGATTTATAAGATTTGTATATATATAAAGATATTTTTGGTCCAAAATAAAGTACTCTCTCAGTAATCAGCCAAATTTATTTAAACATTTCTACAAATTATTCAACTTTTAATGGCAATTTCTTACAATCACCAACATTGTACGTAAAGCAGTAATTTAAACTGATTTTAAGAAATTTAAAGATTTTGAGAATAAGTACCCCATTTATAGACATCATTTTTATCAGATTATTCAACAAGATCATTTAATATTTACAATCATAATAAATAAAACAATTTTACTATTCTATAATATAATAACATTGTACATTAGGGCAGCAATCACTACACTTGGGTATCGTTTAATTACTCAACACTGCTAGTGAAAGTAAACATTTTAAACGAACGGAACGCAACGGTAGGAACCTAATATTTTTTGAAGATTCTGAACAAGTTGCCAACAATAGTTTGAAACTAATGAAACTAAATATTAAATACAGAAACTCCTGCTAAAACAACACAACTACACATTAACCAAGTTGTAGTGCATCATATATCAAGAACTTATAATATAATGTGCATGAATTCCAGAAACAATATCGAAATTCCAAACTTTTTTGCATGTGTGTTATCTCCATTTTTCCTAATTGAGCTAAATGCTGTTTTCCTTTTTTTATAGTGAAAGCAAATAAATAATATGTAATACTCACTGTATACCCTAATATATATAAAAAAAATCATTGAGAATTTTGCAATACATATCATGATCAGTATATCTTCTATTTACAGTACCATAGCTCAATGTTAATGTCCAATAATAAATAAGCATATCCTACATAAAGCAGAAATCTGATTAAAATACAGATCTATATTTCGTTTCGTTTTTTTATACTTTTGATGGCCTACCACATGAAGATCTGACCAGTTGTACTGGAAGGTTGTGTCATGGGTCGTACGAGTGGCTTTTGACCCTATGACATCAGACATTGATTAATCAATAAGCATTGACATTTCTAGTGGTTTAGCCACAATAACAGACCGTTTCATTGGCTAATCCCTCGCTTCAACCAGAACACTGGTAATATAACAACACTTCCAGATCCTAGTGTAGTAAAGACAAGTAAAATGAAATTTTGAACTATAAAAAACGAAACAAAATAAGATCTGTGTTTTAATCAGATTGACAAAAGCTACAGGTATATTATACAGGTATATTATACAAATAAAAACTTAAACACAGAAAGAGATTTAAATATTTAAATGCAAATTAAAGGTTTTAATGCTGTACTATTAGTGGACAAAATATCTACCATCTACTAAAAATATATTTCTGAGACAGTTTAAAAGTGTGTTGGCCTAACTTTTGATCTTTGGTTTCAGTATAAGGGTTTATGCATAATATTTACATCTCTAATGTTCATATTATAGTAAACTTTTAGATTTCTGCCAGAATGGAAAATTTGCATATGTGTTTTGTAAAGCACACATTAGAACTAAATTGCAACATAACAGAATGCTATGCTGTAACTTATATACAAATTGAACCTTCTGGCACAGTTTCACTCTTGAGCATTCAAGGGTCCTGAATCCTGATCCGTTACAAATAGAGTGGGGGGGGGGAGGTAAAGAGGGCAGGCACCTTGGTAAAATAAACGTCCCAGAGTGGAGCAATTTGACTGAAATTTTCAGCATATTCTATTTACGTTATCTAGTTTTTAACTATGATAGTGAGAACTGCCAACTCTTTATCTAATCTCCCATAGTGTTCTATAACAAAACAAACATTTACAAGTCGATTATAAATATAGGTTGCCAGTAAACACTGATAATTTTATCAATAGACAACAGGAACAAATATAAATTTAAAGATACATTATGGATAGATAAAGAGCTGACAGTTCTCACTACAATAGTTAAAAACTAGATAATGTAAAGGCAATTTGCTGAAAATTTCAGTCAAATTGATCCATTTGGAACCAAGAACCTCAATCACCATTACTAGAGTCAGTAGGATAAAAAAACATAGTCTCGATTATCCATTTCATGATTTAATTATGAATGGAAGTCAAACGGCAAATCGGAACCTAATCCAATAAACATCGCAGGCTAGAGATGACATCAAGAGTTGATTATGGTCTGGATAAGTTAATTAATGTCTAATTAATAATTTAGATAACATTTCAAGCCTAAAGAAAGACCTGCAATAGGCCAATTTAGCTCTTGAATAATGTATGTTTAACCAAAACATTCTATAATGAAACAAACAAGTACTATACATTCTATTATAAAGAAAGGTCACCAGGCAACAAAACATATGCCCACTTCATCTATGTCATCCCAATGGTTGTCACACTGTTTTTTTTATTGTAGGTACCCGGAGACTAAAAAGTGATCAAGGGCAACAACCTATGACATGTTTCTTGGAAAATATCAAAATTTGATAGGATTCTTCCTAGGGCTAATAAACAAAATATGTACCAGTAATCAGATAACTTTAGCTGTTAAAGTTATTGGAAATCATTGAAAATTAATAAGCATCTTTGCCTAATAAATAAAATGGGGTTTAAGGTCCTACTGTCTTTGCCTAATAAACAACGTTTAAATTTCAAGTCAAACAGATAACTTTATTTAGGCTCTTGAGCATCCATAAGTCATTGTAGATGATGGATCGGTGCATGGACAGACAGAGATGATGACAATATATGACCAATACCATGTGGGAATAAAAAATTACATAACAATAAAAAATTTAAGAAAAAACAAAACAAGAATAATGCATCTCAAAGGATTGCAATTTTTAACTTATTTAAATATGGCATCATGTGGAGTTTGGAGCACAGATGATAGAAGATGCTAGAAGACATGTAGGAGATATATTTACCATATATGGTAAATGAAAATTTTACAGATAGCCGTCTGATTAAAATACAGATCTATATTTCGTTTTGTTTTTTTTTACTTTCGATGACCTCTACCACATGAAGATCTGACCAGTTCTATTGGGAGGTCCATCAGGGTTTGTACAAGTGGCTCGCTTTTGACCCTATGACGTCAGACATTGATTAATTAATCACCATTGACGTTTCTAATGGTTTACCCACAGTTCCGTGCATCGCAACCCAAGAAGTCGCCGGAACAGATGGTTTCATTGGTTAATCTCTCACGCTTTTCAGAACGCAGGTTATATAACAAATCCTAGTGTAGTAAAGACAAATAAAACGAAATTTTGAACTATAAAAAACGAAATGAAATAGTACCTGTGTTTTAATCAGATTGCCTAATGATGAAGATTGACCAAAAATCAGTAAAATTAATCAAACTTCATAACATCTTACAGCTATAGATGATATTATTTCAACTGTATAAACAAAGTTTCTTTAAAGTGTATACTCAGTTGGGAGTGCTAATTGGGAGAGAATTACTTTCAAAAATGCAATTTGTTTCAATTTGTTAAAATTTTTTTTTGTGTGTCTTCAGAAATTCATTCTACACACCCTTGTTGGTCTTTTTAAGATTTTTTTTTTCTTATTAACTGAACCATTAGGTAATATTAGGGTTGAGCGATATACCGTTTTTTGGGGTATATCGTGATAAAATCATCTGCCTTTTTATCATATCAGACTTATTTTAAAATATCGAAAAAATGTTATGTCACGATAACCAAAATTATCGCGATATAATTATTGTGTCCCAATATTGATGATAATACATATGCTATATCATCACCTATGACATTCTATTGATAGGATTAAATTCATCAGTAATAATAGCATTATTACGTACCAGCTGGTCTAGGGTAAATTTCCATCATGGCGTCTATCAACGTTAACAATAATAATATTTGACATCAAGCAACGATTTTCTGCCCATGTATTCAAAATTTGACTTCTTAAGACACACATATAAATCATCATGATAATATCGTTTATTGTGATATTTGATAAATTATTATCACGATATTTTTTTTTCATAATCGCCCAACCCTAGGTAAAATTGCATTATGTGAAAGGCACCACTATAGACTTAAGTTTTACCCTCATGACCACAAACCAAGACTTTTTCCTTGCTGTCATCGTCGTATAATCCTTTAATTCATGATATTTTGTGTTGTATTATAAATAAACATAAGTACACAAGGGTAAAAAAATATCACAACATTTAATAGTTCTACTTCAGAGTTTATTCACCCTTCACCTAGCCCCAAGTTCACAAAGCATTCTCAGACTTAAAGGAGCTAAATTGCTAACATTTGGGAACTAGAAATTGAGCCAAATGGGTCGCAACGCATATAATAATGTAATCTGATTGTATGTGAACTGATTTACATTCAATTGTTTCCGTTTTGACACTAATTTCAAATCAGTTAGGTCCAGCGAAATACGGCATGAGTCCCAACCGAATAGAAATTTCTAGCGTCTGGTTATTCCAGTCTATTGCGTATGCTCTCCAGATAAGTTATGGCGTCGCCGTTTGACCTGAGTTGTGGAATATGTCTAGCCTCGCTCTTTCTGGTCACATGTTACAAATGACGATGAAACGCACTATGGTACACGATTCGTGTACCAATGGTAAAATGTTTATTTTGTCTTAAATATTGGATATCAGAAGCCTACTTTTTCCCGGTAAGATAACAACATCAATGTTGATTTGAATTGACAAATAATTCGTGTTTTCAACGTGTAAGACTTTGGATGATATTGAGTTAGAGACTTAGGTACTTTAAGAATTTACTCAACTTTCAATCACAGTTTATGAGAAATATCTTTAATCCAGAAACACAAAACTTTGCACATAGTTTCTTATTGATGTATCTGATACATTAAAACAACAAAAGTTTTATAAAGGACTATATTTTAGTTAAAATAAAGCGAACAATTTTGAGTAAATTCTTAAATTAAGTCTTAGAATGTTTTTGTGAACACAGGGCCTAGAATTATCACAAATAGCACAGAGTTTGTATTATCAACGTGGCGACAAGTCTTGATGCCTTTCTATAAGGGCACCTATAATCTCTGCGTAATACACACCAAATACTGATCGGTTATGAGATATGAGACGTAAAAATTTACCCAACACCTGACTCAACTTGCTTTCTACAGCAGAGAATCCCGTTGGCACTTTTAATGATGAAACATGTTTGGTTTTAATGGCTTCACGAATAAAATCCATTAGTCGTTTTTCTGAAATTTAACGAAAAGATACTAATGTAATAACATTTAAATATGTACATGTATAAAAAATGTTCACCTTCCTTTCTTAAACAAGCGCGGTTGCCATGCAAGATACGCCCACATTTTGCAAGAGATGTAGGGAGAAGGAGCTAAAAAAATGATGTGACTTTTTGTACAATCAGGGACCATAATCCAGAAAGTTATAGTCTGATATGCGCGAATATCAAAATGAACCAAGATCTTTGGGTTATAAAGATACATTTCAAGTTTCATTAAAATTGGATATAAATTGTGACCTCCAGAGGTTCCACAACCTTGGTATTACATACCATTTTGTCAGGCAGTTTTGGTTGGATTTTCATGAAATTCGAATTTAACCATCATTAAGGTGTAAGGGTGATATATTTAAACGGTTTTTGAAATTGAATAAAAATTGTGATGTCCACAAGCTAAAATCGCAATTTTTTTTGTACAATCAGAGCCCATAATCCAAGAAGTTACAGACCATACTTTTACAATATTTGTGCATGAGGAGCGGCCATTTTGTTGGGCAGTTTCGGTCCTATTTTCTCGATCAAACTCGATCATCATCATGGTGTAACAGTGATATAATTGAATGTTTTTTCAAATGAGATAAAAATATTTTGTACATTCAGGACCCATAATCCAGGAAGTTGCACTCCGATATGCACGACCATCAAAATGAACAGAGATCTTTGGGTTATAAACATACATTTCAAGTTTCATCTAAATCAGATAAAAATTGTGACCTTTAGAAACATCAAATGGCTGCAGTCAGCTATATTCTGTGGAATAAGTAGAAGAAATTATACTGTAGTTTTGTATAACCAGTTCAAGAATACTGTACAACGTGGTTCTAGTTCGATTCAACAAATAGATAATACAGGTTGTCTATACTTACTCATTAATGTATGTATAGCATTGTCTACATTAAAAACATCTTTTATTTGACCCACCAATATGTCCGACTTCTGACCCAGTTGAGGAAAAGCATGTGTCATCAGACATTTATTCACTTCTGCTTTTACTTGTTCAGCAACATTTTCCCGAACATCTCTAAAATAAATATACACAGAAATATCTTTTAATTGATTTCATCTCTATGATATGAGTTAATCCACACAAAATAAATGTCATGTTTCTTGGGCAAGGGGGGTTGGATGGCTGAATGGTTAGCATGTATGCGCTGTGTCATAATAAAGTCTGTCATTGAGTCAACTGGCGTGGTTTCGAATCCCCGGTTGTACGTGACAAGGAGTAAGGTCGCCTGTCCAACCTCGTGGGTTTCTCCGAGCCCTCCAGTTTCCTCCCACTGCTAAAGACCCCTACGCGCAAGCGAATTATTGAAATAAAATTGAACCATATGTTAGTCCCGAAATGACCTAGTTTGTGTCGAGTGGACGTTAAACCCCATTTCTCTCTCTCTCTCTCCTTCTTGGGCAACTGACAGCTGAATATGTAGGAGGGGAGGGCTGTATTGTGTTTACATTAGATTAGCAAGATATTTTTTCTAAAGACTATGACATTTCTAACATTATCCCAATTTTTTCATGCATTCTGAAGTGTATTTACTCATAAAACCATAAATTTTAACTATATTTATTGTGTTTCCCGGTTAAATTCTTTGAAATTCTAATTTTATGGCATGTAAATTGACTGACAGATATGTTCTCCAATTGGTCAATATCACTGCTAGACTGGCAAATATGACTTTAACTAACACAACAAACTTTGTCGCTAGTTTTGTAAATGTTACTCTTAGCAAGCAGGCAAACAGTCAAAAACAATAAAAGATCTTTAAGTATGCTGGTCCTCAGATAAGTGACCATATACAAAGTTATAGAGTGAAAAACAGCATTATAATGTAAATATGTATATAAACTTACTTGTCTTTTTTGGCCTCTAGTAATGTTAAAATATGTGATGTTAAAGTCTGTTTTAAATCTTGAAGACCGGCTATAGGTGCTCCAACTGTGTTGTATGTTACCAGTAATATACTAGCAACTAGTGTTAACTGATTTATACTGGTCTGTAGATCATGAAATCTTCCTTGATCCATCAAACACATCTAAAAATATGTCATATTTATTATGGTAACAAATCACCAGACTCCTGCGATGTACAAGAGCTTCAATATGTCCAACATTAATGATTTTATTGTGTGTCTATCTCAATCTGATTAAAACACAGATCTTATTTCGTTTCGTTTTTTATAGTTCAAAATTTCGTTTTATTTGTCTGTACTACACTAGGAACTGGATCTGGAAAAGTTGTTATATTATTGGCGTTCTGGTTGAAGTGAGAGATTAGCCAATAAAACGATCTGTTACGGCGAGTGCGTGCGTTGCACAGAACTGTGGGTAAACCACTAAAAAACGTCAACGCTGATTGATTAATCAATGTCTGACATCATAGGGTCAAAAGACGCTCCTACGACCCCTGACAACCCCGGTCAGATCTTCATGTAGTGTAGGCCATCGAAAGTATAACATATAGATCTGTATTTTAATAAGGTTGTGTCTATCTGGACCCTCCATTCTACTAATATTATTCTCTTCCCCACTTTTGGAAAAGGGAATATTATTGTCAAACTGGGTATATAAATGATCAGAATTTGAACGTCTCTGTCTGCTTTGAAGATACTGAAGAGGAGATTATGGAGAAGGACAAGATGTTTGTCATAATTTTCATTACCAGCGGATACGTTGATGCTACTACCTCGTGGATTATGGAGAAGGTCCAGATGTTTGTCATAATTTTCATAACCAGTGGCTACTTTGAAGTTAACTGTCTAGTGGATTATGGAGAAGGCCAACATGTTTGCCGTAATTTTCATTATCAGAGGCTACTTCATTCAATTTAAAATGTCTATCTACCTCAGGGAAAGGATTGTTGTTGTTCCATTGTAATAACTCCATATAGGCTTCATTCATGATGGCCTGGGGGGTGGCCATTAATACAGGTGTTGCTGTTCCTGTATTAACTTCATCTTCTAATCTCTTTAATTTATCATGGCTGTTCTTCAACCAAACCTTAGCAAACTGTAAACCATCTAAATTATTCTCTACAAAAGAATTAACATAATTAAAAATATTACCAACTGCAAGTCACTCAATTTATGTAACTGATATTAAAATTTTGAAAAAGCAAGAAAAAATAAACAATAAAACATACTTAAAGAAGAGTTTTCTCTCAAAGTTTTCAAGCAAGTTCAGTAACAAATGCGTAGGTCAATTACACTACTTATAGGAAAACAATTACTAATTTATTTGGTATACAGGTCACAATTCTATGGAATACAATTAGGTACACGTAATTAAGTTACATCCCTGGTTTGTCAGCATTAACTAAGCATTGTGGTGTACATGTATATATTGTCCTGTCATATTTTCATTTTTTATCATAGCTTGATAATGACTAGAGAAGCCTAGTCGAAACGTCGCTCAGTAAAAAGCAGTAATTGTATTCCATAGAATTGTGACCTGTATACTCTAGTTCAATTACTAAATGCCATTGAAACAGTTTAATTTATTTGGGTGACATTTCGGAGAGTATTCTCAACATTTTCAAGCAAGTACAGTAACAAATGGCTCTATCCAGTTACTAAATGCCTCTAAAGAATTAAAGGAGCATTATGTAAGATTTAGATGAAGAGCTGACCGTTCTCGCTATATTTCAAAAATAGATAATTCAAAATGAATATATTGAAAATTTCATTCAAATTACTATATTTTGAGTAAAGTTTTAATTAAATCATTAAATGGCCAAATCATTCTAATCTACTTAAAATCAGAGCCATCCAATGGTCTTGTCATGTTAATAAATGTCTAATTAATAATTTATATAACATTTCTAAGACCTAAAGAAAGACATGGAATGGGCAGATTTAGCTATTGCATAATGCCTGTAAGGAAAGAGATTGAAGCTCATTTTGAAGCCTCTATCTGTAAGGTATAAACATGATTACAAAAATAAAAATCATGTCGTGAACACAACTGAAAGAACCGAAATCAATATCTTAGATTCAACTTCAAGACTATTTATGATGAAAAGTGTTTTGATTTTTTGAACAAGAAAATATTATGGATTTACTACACTATTAAACTAACCTTTCTGTATGTCAAGAAATTCTGTGAATTTCTTTCGTTCATATTCAACTGACTGTTGTTGTAAATAGGGTCTTATTTGTGCTATAGTATAGTTAGCCATATCTCTCTTCATTAAATCTAACACCTCAAATATTCCTCTGAAAGTTAAACAATTATTAAGTAAAGCATATTAATAATTACCATAATTACATTACTAAAACACAAAAAGTCATGTTTAAACTAATAACATTAAAAAATAATACACACAAATCAATACGTACTGATTAAATGAGTTCTTAATTTAGTTTAAATTACAATCTGATTAAATAAAACACAGATCCTATTTCATTTCGTTTTTTATAGTTCAAAATTTTGTTTTACTTGTCTTTACTACACTAGGATCTGGAAGAGTTGTTATATAAGCTGCGTTCTGGATGATGTGAGGGATTAGCCAATGAAACGGTCTGTTACAGCAAGTTTTTGGCGTAAGGTGCACAGAACTTTGGGTAAAGCACTAGACACAACAATTAATCAATGTCTGACGTCATAAGGTTAATGTCGCTCGTATGACACTTGACACAACCTTCCACTACAACTGGTCACATCTTCATGTAGTGTAGATTATTCAAAAGTATAAAAAAAAACCGAAACAAAATATAGATCTGTATTTTAATCAGATTGGAAAACATGTTTGAATTGACAAGCTGTACAACGTAACTGTTTTCATATTTTTAAATTATATTTTTAAAATTTATTAAAATAAAGCCTAAAAATAGATGGTATCTATAAACAGTCCTACCTTGTTAAAGAATAATCCTATTAATCCTATAATTTACTATTGCCAGTTGAGAAATTAGTAAAAATATCATTTCCATCAACAAATTCAAACGTTTGAAGTTAGCTACTCCATGGTGGAGAATAGAAAACAAGGGAGGTAATTGGGAGGTAATTGTGTTATTATTTCCGGTGTAAATGAGTTTTAAGTGTGAGAATGACACCTATGATCGTATAATAGTGAGTTGACAACCTATTAAGCAAAAGGCATAGAAATAATTATGTTTTGACTTTCTTAGAAAATATGAAATTGTAACTTTAATATCAAATGAAATCTTACTTAAAAAGAGGGACAATGTCTTTAATTGTCTTCAACTTGTTGACATTTTCATCTCTGACTGGGGCACACAATCTGGCCATAATACCAATAACATAATCAGCATAATAACGAATATCAAAAGCATCATTCTCCATCTTCTGTTGTATTAGATCCATATCTAGTATTTCATTAATCTGATTTTTTAATCTCTCACTTTGAGGTGGTATAATCATAAATAGAGTCTGAAAAAAAAAAGATGATGTATCTAGGCAACCATTATACTCCTCGCAGTGTTTTATTTGATTTTAGAACTAATCCAAAGAAAGAATATTGAGCTGAATTATAAATGGAACTATCTAAAACCAAATGTACGAAAAAAACTTACGAATGGCCAATAAACCATTTCCAGTGAGTTTTTTGTACACAATATCTCTGTTCCACATTTTTGTAGTAGTGGTATTATGGACAGAGATAATAAAGGTGGGTCATAATAAACAATAGGAGACGGTCTAGCATATTTGATGTCATATGTGGAGTGCGGGTTAGGTCTGCAGATTTCGTCAAGGTCTCGAAATGTAAACAAGGGTAGCACTAACCCCATCCCTAGCCCTAAACTTTACCCTAACCCACAACATATGATGTCATTTGTGCTAGACCGTCTTCGATCTAGAGTTCTCCTAAACAATTACATACCTCTTTAACTTCCTGTATAAGTACCAAGGCGTTTCTATACTCTGGTGGATCTTCACTAAGTTTTGCTTCCAGTAAATCCCAAAATGCCTTGTGGGCAATATCTGTTACCATCTTTTCTAAACTAAAACAGAAAATTACTAGTTTGAACATGATGGTAATCATTGGTAACATCTAACGAGATTTTCTACCTTGGACAAATGGTTGGTTTATTCCATACAGCAATGTTTGCCTTTGAAATTGCATCAATTCGACCTGTGCAATATGAGAGAGAGAGAAATTGATTTTAACGTCCACTCAACACAAAAAAGGTCATTTTTGGACTAACATTAACATATGGTTAAATTTTATTTCATTAATTCAGTTGCGAGTAGATGTCTTTGGCAATGGGAGAAAACTGGAGGACCCAGCAAAAACCCTAAAGGTTGGACAGGTGACCCTACTCCTGGTCACATACAACCAGGGAATCGAAATCTTGCCAGTTGACTCAATGACAGACCTTGGGATACAGCATACATGTGCTAACCTTTCGGCCATCCAACCCTTATAAAGTTGTGAAGTCTTGTGAATGCAATATAGGTCAAAATTCCCAAGAGATAATAAGAATGAATCTTATTAAATTCAAACTTTGTCAATCTTATATTTCAAGGAGTTATCTTTTTTCAGTCGGAGTTCATAGTGGATTACAAAAGATTGTTCTATTTGATAGTGTCGTCACATACACAAGTGGGGAATTGAAACCACATTACTTAACTCAATGACAGACCTCATGATGCATTAACCATTCAGCCATCCCGACACTTCCACCTCTGTGTGTGTAATATTACTCTCACCTCAAGAATGATAGATACGTACATACAGAATAGGGAGTCAGAGTCTACTAACCTGTTTTCTTCAGGAACTTTTTTCTCCAGTTCAAAATCACTATCAACAACAATTTCATGTGCCAGAGTCATGTTTTTAACTCCATTTGCTGCTGACATCAACTGTTCAAATGAGATAAACTTTGGTGGAGAAGCTAAAAAAAAAATAAAAAAAATAATAGTGAACTGAATGTTTAAAAATCTTAATCCTTCTAGTATCAGTCCTTTTGTTTCCAATTTCTAAATCTAATGCACAGAAACACTTTTGAAGTGTTTACTTCACATCTAAATATGTGTGTGTTTGACTCTCCCATCAAAAGTCAAAACCTAGTAACTCACTTTTTTTTTTTTTTATCAAATTTGAGTTAAGACCAAATTTGTAGTTACTAGGGTATGTGCTTCCTGTTGTTGTACTAGATATTCCAATCTTTTGATTTTATAAGCAGTTACACCCATGACACAACCTAGCAAATAAGCTGGTTCAATACGTTTTCCTTTGTTTTCTCAAAATAAGAAAAACGTGAGTTACTAGGTGTTGCCTTTTGACGGGAGAACTAGCATGGGAGAAATTTCTCTTCAATAGATTAACTAAGAAATGTATATCAGTCAATTTGCATTCTCCAAAAATCCAAATATTTAAGTAAATCAATATATGTATAAAAGAGAAAGTTTGTCGGTTTGTTAAAGGAAACCAATCAGTTGAACTTACTAAGTTTAAAATAACTTGATAATAACCGTTTTTTACCTATGTAATTGCCAGTCAACTAAGCTAGTTACTTTTAAATGTCAAATAGAATATACAATCAACTTTTATCCACACACCAAAACCAAAGGGTTTTCTATTCTTTTATTTCTTAAAGGAGCTAAATCGCTAATATTGGGGACCTAGAAATTGAGACAAATGGGTCGCAACGCATATAATAATGTAATATGAATGTATATAAACAGATTTACATTCAATCGTTTAGGTTTTTACTCTAATATCAAATCAGTTATGTTCGGCAAAATATGCCATAAGTCTCAATCGAATTGCAATCTCTAGCGTCTGGTTATTCCAGTCGACACCAATAGTATTAATTGGGCATGCCCTCCAGATAAGAATATGGCTTCACCGTTTGACATGACTCATTGAATATGTCTAGCCTCGTTCTTCGAGTCCCTTTTTACAAATGGCGCCGAAACAAATTATGGTACACGCTTCGTGTACCAACGGTTTGTCTTAAATATTCGATATCTGAAGCCCATCTTTCGCCGGTAAGATCAGAACATCAACGCTGATTTAAATTGACAAATAATTTATGTTTTCAATGTTGAAGAATTTGGATGATATTGAGTTAGAGACTTAGCTACTTTAAATCAAGAAATAAACAGTAAAATATTAAAGTAATAAGAGCCCTATTAATATTTGAAAATTTATTCATTTATACAGCGCAACAAAACCACAATTGGGAAAACAAAAATGACAGAACAGAAGGACGGAAAACCTTCAGTCAAAAAAAAGATATCTTAAATCTCTATTACCTGGTACCATAAATACATTACTGGCAGATTGACCAGGAGTAGGACTGGGTGTCCGTGTTCTTCTTTTCTTCTCTGTCTGGTCGGCATCAACATTAGAGCCAGCTTGTCCCTGATCTGGAGAATCTTCTCCCTTGTCAGCCATCTTTTTTTTCTCCTTTTCAGATATCAATTTTTTTGTCTGAAATATACATCAATTTTTCTTAAATTAAAAGTTATGGAAAAAAAAAAAATGGCATTAACATGGGCAACGAATCAAATGTCAGAATATCTTCTTTTTTTTTACTATATTAGATGGTCTTTGGTTCCAAAAACATTAAACAGTTCTATAAAATCGTGCATTAATGTACCAGTACATGGAAAAGGTTACCTGCAATATTGAAACTTAACAACTTTGAAATCTATGTGACAAACAGTGTAAATCCACCTTTAATAAACAAAAGAGGCTGAAATCAGCTACTATTTTATAAATAATTAAATAAAAGGTTGTGACCTTCAGCTTTGGGTGTGTGCCAATGTTTATTTCAACTAGATCTGTAAGTGCATGAAAATAAATGTTTGTGCCTTTTGATTTAAGTGCACATATTCTGAACCTCATTAAAGAGAGAAATGTCCACTCAACACAAACTAGGTCATTTCGGGGCCAACACATGGTATTAAGCAAACTTTATTGTATCCATTCACTTGATTTGATATTTGTTTATATTTTGCAATGTCTATATGTTTATCTTGTAGTTGTTTGTTTTGTGTGTAGTGCGGTTCTCTTGAACTTACTATTTCAGAAAATAGTGATTTATTTTCTATAATAAAAAAAAATGAAATGGGGTTTAATGTCCTACTTCTATAATACACCCCCCCCCCCAAAAAAAAAAAATGAATTAACAGACAGAATGGCCAAGTTTAAATTTTACAAGTGGTGTTCAAGGGGTCTAGGTATGGTTCAAAATGCCTTAATTCAAGTACCTGTCGTCTATTCCTGGATTTTCTGTAAATGGGAGCCATTTGAGGTTATTTGGATTTAAATATATTTTAAATTATTAAAATTTTATTAACTAATTTTTTCCACGAGTGATAATAACATTTAGATCTTATAATTAAATATTATTTGGCATTTGGCCGCTAGTTCTATGTCTCATAGCTGTAACAGTGTCACAAAAAACATGAAATATGTGTCTGATGTGTTTGTTTATAGCCATAGATTGGAGGCATTCAGTTTCACTTTACAACCTCCTTGTGTTTATAATATATAATGCCTGTAATATCTTTAAAAAAAGATGATTTTATACTATTACAACACCCAGCCTAATTGTTTGAAGTTAAAGATGCTGTATGCAAAAGCTAAATTTACATATTGCAGGTATTTATTTTGGCTTCAAATGTTATATAAACTATATTATTGATACATCTATTCATATGACAAATCCATAATCAATTCTCTAGACCATCTGATGGATAAAACATTAACTGGATTAGACCAACTGTGCGATATAATTGGCTACATTAAAATAAACGTCGCTCAGTAAAAGGACTGACAATGAAGACTTTGTTTATATCATGGCAATGGAACTTGACAATTGACGATTTCTTGTCAAAACTTCAAATACTCATAAATTTCCTAAATCTTTATCTAAATCTTACATAATGCATATTGAAATATAAATGTTAAATTGTCATTTGGTGAAGGGGAAACAGAATAACGAAATGAAATGAAATGAAATGGGGTTTAACGTCCTACTGTTCTGCTCCTATACTGGGCTAATGAAGACGGCATATGCCATACAGTGTGCTATGAGGGAAATTTTGCCCGGGCAGCGGCACTATCGCCTTCATATCGAATTCCAACTGCCAGGGGATCTTTTACGTGCATTCCAATATATACACGGGACCCGGTTTTTCGTGTCATCCGAAGGACTAGACAGCTGTCCTTGTCAGGCCCTCCATTCTGTACCACTGACAAGGGGAAACCATGTCGGCCAATGCAGGGATCGAACACCTGACCTCCAGGCTAGCGAGCCAGCAGTAAATAACAATAATCAGTTATCATTTTGAACAAAAATATGATAGTTTTTGCTCAGTGAAAGTCAAATGGAGATACAGTCCTATAACCTCCCTTCTCAGAACACAGAGGGTCGAGAGATGAGGTACTAGGCAGGTACCATAAATACAACATTTTATTATTGCTTTGCCTATAGTATAGTATAACCTAGCTGACCACTCCCAAGAAAAACCTCATATTCATGACATGTTGATGGAAAATCCCCTGTGACAGTCAACCATTAACAACAGGCACAGCTTATTTCAAGTTCATCTGACTGACCTACAATTCTAACAGAAAAGTCAATAGCTATAAATATAGCCTTTGGACCTTTTCTGGGTTAATACATTGCATGACATGAATAATAAATATATTAGGCCTAATTAATTATATAAATATAGGCCTAACCTAAACAAAAACAATACTTTTATACGTCTCTTCAGTGATAGTTGTGCGAACCAATACCTACATGCAAGTGTCTATTTCTTTTGCTTATGTCGTTGTGAACTGATGTAGGAATTTTATTTATAAGTATCTAGCTCCAGACATCTCCCGAAACTTCTAAATTAATCTAAACAAAGACTGGAAAGAGGGCATAGAAGCTACGCTGATCTTTGTTTACGGAAGTGACGATGAATGAGGTCAACCAATCTAAAAATAGAGTCACCTGTATCTTAAAACGAAACGAATTAAAATACGGTTTTCTAAAATTCGAGAATTGCCGATATTGTTGTTTTCTGTTATCCTTGACAACGTCCAAAATGTATATTTTGGCTTATTTGGCATCATTATGTTATAAGAATTGAATGGTTCGTATGGGTAAGTTTTGTAGCATATAAAAAAACATCAAAGACCGCTTTGCTAATGACGTTTTTTCCAAATTTATAGTTTAAAATGGAAGACACCAAATTCCGACCAAACGAAATTAATTTAATACCGGTGCAATATGGCATTGTGATGTTAAAATTTTATAGATCTAGAGAAACAAATGGGGTTTAACGTCCACTCGACACAAACTAGGTCATTTCATGACTAATATATCCTTCAATTTTATTTCAACAATTTGATTGCACGTACTGACCAGTACGTAGGTAGTTACTTTAGTATGTAAATTGTACTATAGTGTCTATAGGCTCTGTTCTGATACAATTTACGTTACTAAAGTAACTAGGACGTAGGGTTCTTTAGTGGTGGAGGGAAACCGGAGATAACTCACAGAGATAAAAACAGAGTGAAAATTTCAAACACCAACTTCTCACTAGAAAACAACATATCAGATTTGTCGTTTAGCGCGAAACTTGACGATATGCCGATATTTAATAAATGAAATGAAATGAAATGGGGTTTAACGTCCTACTGTTCTGCTCCTAACCTGGGCTAATGAAGACGGGCATACGCCATACAGTGTGCTATGAGGGAAATTTTGCTCGGGCAGCGGCGCTACGGCCTACTCTTATATCGAATTCCAACTGCCAAGGGATCTTTTACGTGCACGCCAATTGTACATGGGACCTCGGTTTATCGTCCCATCCAAACGACTAGACAGCTGTCCTTGTCAGGCCCTCCATCCTGCATCACTGACAAGGGGAAACCACGCCGGAAAATCTGAATGAACTTTCTCGGCCAATGCAGGAATCGAACACCCGACCTCCAGGCTAGCGAGCCAGTGTCTTACCCACATAGCCACGTGATCCCCCGATACTTAATAAAGGAATGTAGTCACTACACAAAACAAAACTGATGACAATCTACAGACAAGACAAACTACACGGACATTGCAAGAAATAAACAACAAATATCAAATCAAGTGAATAGATCCGGTGGCCAGTCTTAAAGGACAATATTGGTGTCAGTCATTATCACATATGTGATGGAACTAATTAAACATGTTACAAATATAAGTTTAACACAGTTCAGAGATCATTGCTACGATAGCTGAGTAATACAGGTTTCCTGAATCGGAAGTAACGAACGCCAAAGGAAAACACGAATCATCCCTCTATATAACTGACTGACGTGACGAGTGATGACAGATACATGGGCGAATTTCTGCTCACTGATAATTCCTTCCAAGACCAAAAGTTGTTGTGTAATAATACAGGCTTCACTCAAAATGAAAAAGAAAAATGATTTACAGGAAAGATGTAATACAACCGGTCTTGATTACTAGTTTTGTCAAGACATCATATGTTTACACATTGTTGGTTATCAGGAATGCCAGAGGGCATGCCCATTGTTGATTTGATAGCTAGTGCATATAGATATCACACCACTACCCTAGACTGGATAACCTGCTCTAATACGTCAGACTCGCTCCTACATCACTCCTTTTCTGACTTGCATATATTGAAGTCAGAATAGCGCAGTGACGTAGGAACCAGTCTGACGTCATTTAGAGCAGATTATCCAGTCTGTGAATACTTGTAAATGCAATATAGGTCAAAATTCCCAAGAGATAATAAAAATGAATCTTATTAAATTCAAGGGGGGGGGGTTGGATGGCCGAATGGTTAGCTCGTGCGTGCTGTATCGTAAAGCCTGTCATTGAGTCAACTGGCGTGGTTTCGAATCCCCAGTTGTACGTGACAAGGAGTAGGGTCGCCTGTCCAACCTCGTGGGTTTTCTCTGGGTCCTCCAGTTTCCTCCCACTGCTATAAACCCCTACACGCAAGCGAATTATTGAAATAAAATTGTATCATATGTTAGTCCCGAAATGACCTAGTTTGTGTCGAGTGGACGTTAAACCCCATTTCTCTCTCTCTCTCTCTCTCTTAAATTCAAACTTTGTCAATCTTATATTTCAAAGAGTTGTCTTTCCAATCAGAGTTCATAGTGTATTACAAAAGATTTTTCTATTTGATAGTATGTGAGAGATAGATAGAAATGGGGTTTAACGTCCACTCGACACAAGCTAGGTCATTTTGGGACTAACACATGGTTCAGTTTTATTGCAATAATTCACTTGCGCGTAGGGGTCTTTAGCAGTGGGAGGACCGGGAGAAAACCCACAAGGTTGGACAGGCAACCCTACTCCTTGTCACGTACAACCGGGAAATCGAAACCGTGCCAGTTGATTCAATGCAAACCTGATAATGCAACATGCACACGCTAACCATTCGACCATCCAACCCCCGTCTGTACATTAGATTTAGAATTTGGAAACCAAAGGACTGATACTAAATTTTTAAACATTTAGTTTACTATTTTTTTTTTTTTTTTTTAGCTTATCTGAACCCCCTATTTGATAGCGTAGATTACTAGATTAATCTGTCAATCATGTGTAAGAGTTAATCACAAATGATTATATATATGGTATACTTATGCTAACTGCATCAATATGTATATACATATATTACTTTTCATATCATTGTTCAACCTACATTTGTTTGAATGGTACGAATAAATGTTGAAACGTAGTGTGAAATAACTCAGTGATTGTTTTCCATATAAATTTGTTTTTATGTTATATGTTCAATTTCTAAATGTCGTATAAGCATTTCATAGCACACTTTATGGTATGTTAAAGCCCATTTCATTTCATATCATTGTTGCAAAAAATATTTGATTATTGTTTATGTTATATTTTCAGAATTTTAAAAGAGAATTACAATGTTGACGGCAGAAAACACTCAGTCTGTTAAGGTCAGACCAATTGTACGGCCATTTTATAACGATACCAGTGTATTTATAGAGGAGGAGCCTATCAACTTTATAAAACAAGTGCAACATAAAAATTGTATAAGTTTATATCATTATAAAGAAATACCACCATTTCTAAGTGGTAATCCATATATTTTACATGGTTACAGAGTTTATCTTCCATTTAATTTGTGTATAAAAAGGTAAAAAAAATCTAAATTTATTCTCATTACAATTTATCTTCCATTTAACTAAATTTTATTCTCAATAGATAATAAGTTATATATTAAAAAGTAAACAACTATTTAGTGTTTCTCTTTCGAGGGAAATAGAGTTATAGAGCTAGTCACTGTCTTGACTACTGCATCCGAGTAGAGAAACTACTTTATTTTTTAACATTTAACAGTTGGTGAAATGAGGACATTTGTTTTGTTTTGTAAGGATTTCAATCAAATTCAAATTCAGATGCATTCAGGAAAGTGTACCCCACCCCCACCCCATTTTATTGAATTCTGTATAATGCTACTAGCATATACAATAAAAGAACCTTAACTCTGAATGTACTCCCATATCTGACTTATATGCCTTTCTCCCAAATTGATTTAACAAAAATAAAATGCACACATTCAAATTACTGAAGATAAATGGTAAATCCTGCACATTTGATTTTGTTATTGCCCTTTGGCCTTAAGGAGAGAGATAGGGTTTAACATCCACTCGACACAAACTAGGTCATTTTGGGACTAACACATGGTTCAATTTTATTTCAATAATTCGCTTGCGCGTAGGGGTTTTTAGCTACCAGTGGGAGGAAATCAGGGGACCCGGAGAAAACCCACGAGATTGGACAGGCGACACTACTCGACCTTGTCACATACAACCGGGGAATCAAACCCAAGCCAGCCGACACAATGACAGGCCTTATGATACAACGTGCACATGCTAACCATTCAGCCATCCAACTCCCCATTTGACCTAAGGACTTGATATACATCAATGAGTGAACTTAATAGTGGCACCCACATGCTAACCATTCAGCCATCCAACCCCACACTTTGACCTAAGGACTTGATATACATCAATGAATTAATTTAATAATAATCTTACTATTTACAGTTTGTTTGTGTGGAGTAATGAAACTATTAATATTTGGTCACATTTGATTGGATTCTTCATATTCCTGACTATAATGCTGTATGATATAGTTGTTACTATTCCTAATATTAATGGAGTAATGGCAGATTATTTCATAATGTCATTTGGTTTGTTGTGCTTTCAGGTAAATTGTTTGTCTATTATTAATTAAACCTAAAATTACTGTAAATGAAAAGGTTTCTCTTATTTTATCATAATTGTTATTGACAGCGATTAGCCTACTGCATCTAGAGCAGTGGTTCTCAGCCTTTTTTTTGCCAACGGCACACTTTGGAACACATGAAAACATAGCAGCACACCTGGCTAAATGAATTTTGCAAAATAGAAATATGATAAGTCAGATGGCATATAACCGTAGACAGAGACTAGTCATAGACACATAGAATGACTCGAACTAAAAAAAGAAAAACACATCTATGAACTTATCAGTAGACACCAGTGAATACTCAATTGGGATCATGTGGTTTTTCATATTTTCTTAGTGTGCCGCTCAAAATTCTGTGGCACACTTAGGCTTAGGATGATCTTGCGGCACACCTGTTGAGAAACACTGATCTAGAGTGTTACAAAAATATGTCAAAAGATCTGAACTGTTCTCAAATTATGTGACCTGTGACAGCAAAATGAGTTTGAAGTCACAAAATTTGTCAAAATCTAAATTTTTACCTTTGGTGTTATATCATTAAAAAGATATTTTATCCTAATGTAACAAGTATATATATATATCGTAAAAGACTTTCGACTACCAACTGATTTTGCTATCACAGGTCACATATGTTTAGTTGCCTAGAAACCTGTCTTTAACTTTATAGTCTGCAGTATATACTATAACAAATGATAAATTGAATTTTATTTGACAGTATTGTATGTTGTGTTCAACTGGTTATCATTTATTTGGTTGTCATTCGGAGAGATCGTGTGAATGGTGGTTAGGTGTGGATATGGGTGGTATATCTATAGGTGTTATAGGATGTTACATACCTGCAGTTTATTATGCATTTTATTGTATGACAGTAAGTATGGTTTTCATCTACTCTTCTCTTTTTTAACTGAAATGGAATGAAAGGAAATGGGGTTTAACGTCCTACTGTTCTGCTCCGAACTGGGCTAATGAAGACGGGCATATGCCATACAGTTACGTGTGCTATGATGGAAATTTTTCCAGGACAGTGGCACTACAGTCTACTCTTATATCGGATTCCAACTGCCAAGGGATCTGACTGAGGAATGCACCATATAGCTTGTCGCTATGTCTATATTTTATTTCTAATGTTAGTTTCTCGGGTACAGAAAATCTTTGAAAAAAAACAAGACAACAGATTGATAGAAAGAGAGAAATGGGTTTAACATCCACTCGACACAAACTAGGTCATTTCAGGATTAACATATGGTTCTGTTTTATTTCAATAATTCGCTTGCACATAGGGAGGAAACCGAAGGACCTGAAAAAACCCACAAGGTTGGACAGACGACCAGTTAATTCAGTGACAGACCTTATGATGCAACATGTACGCGCTATCTATTCAAATATTTTAAGAAAGTGAAAAATAATGTTAGGTGATATAAAAAAAAAAATAGTTTTTAATTTGTTTTATTTTTTAGATATGGAGAGATGTATATATATTGTTAATATGTTTACTTACTGTCAGTACTTTGTTTCTTCAACGATTTCAAGATTTTTCATCCAAACGCTGGTTTAGAATGAGGATATTGATATTTACTGCATTAGCAGCTTGCGGAGTTGTTCCATCAGTACATTGGATCTATTTAAATAATGGATTTTCAGCAACAATAGTTCAGGTGGGAATAATCACTGTTATATTTATTGTTATACGGTAAATTTGTTCAGAATAATTACTGGAACACCGAATAATTTAACCGAATTATAATAGTAAGTGCAGGGAGACTGCACCACACACAATTCCACAAAACAAATCTACGGAAGAGACACAATACGCAGAAATCATAAACCACCGTACATAAAAGATTAAGTGAATGGATCCAGGGGATAGCCGTAATTGTCCACTGTGTTGTACAGTCCCGGGCCTGTAGTGATACAGACTTCAGAAATTTCTGAATATTCCAGCATGGTTTCCCCTGCATATAAAACAGCCCTTGACAGTTAGAATTCGATATAAGTGTAGTCTGTAATGCCGCTGCCCAGGCAAAATTTTCCTCATAGCATACTGTATGGTGTATGCCCATCTTCATTAGCCCAGTCGGCACAAAAAAGTAGAAGGTTAAACCCCCATTTCATTTCATTTGTGACTGCACTGCCATACCTTGGACTGTGTAGTGCTATATTTATAGATAGAATGATTTTTCTTCCATGTGCTTATACTAGAATGGCATAGTTCATTTATATTTCTTTGTTTATGAATAGAAACCAACAAAAAGTTTGCTGAAATTATTTCGTTTATTTGATATAGTGAACCATATTTATCTTGATCTATCATTGTTATCGATCACTTGACACCGAAAAAATTACAGCCTGCTATAAACTTATGGTAATTGTCTCAAACTACATGTTACTTTATTTTATGAATTGTTGGTTTTCATATTTGAAAAATAGGTGCAATAAAAATTTGAAACAACAAATAAATGAACATAACTTTCAGAGCTACATTATAAGTCATGTAAACTTCCAAGTAAATGAAAAGTGATATGAGATGTTCTGGAAAAGGGTTGGACCAATTGTGACTCATGCATCACATCTGCCATTACTTTTAACTATATTTAGAAATGATCCTTATAAGACATATAGAAATAGATTATACTAAAATTAACACACTTATATGGATATACTACTTCGGAATTTTATTAACATGCTACGTTTCAATACAATTACAGGTATCGTTATCAAGCAAATAATGCTTGATAACAATAAGCAATACTTAGCAATGGTTTGGACTTGAATCTCTGAGAGAAGGTAACCTCAGTTCATCTTATGTGTGTTTTGTGCTTATCATATTTTATTATATTGTTTTGACAGATGTTTATACCAAAGGTAGCTGTGTTATATATGCTGGGGATTGTAGCATTAGCTTTTTATTTATCCAGATTCCCAGAAAGATTAAGACCAGGTAATATAAAATCGTAACTATTATTCGTTATAGTGAATGTTCTTTATTAGCGACGTGGGGTTTGGTGGTGAGCGATCTAATTATGGAAATAATATTGAACCAAATGTTAGTCCTGAAATGAGCTAGTTTGTGTCAATCTCTCTCCAACTCTCATTCATGTGTATCATATAGTTCTCTTGTTGAGACGGGGGATCACATGGCTAAGTGGGTAAGACGCTGGCTCACTAGCCTGGAGGTCGGGTGATCGATCCCTGCATTGGCCGAGAGAGTTCATTCAGATTTTCCAGCGTGGTTTCCCCTTGTCAGTGATGCAGGATGGGACGAAAAACCTAGGTCCCGTGTACACATTGGCGTGCACGTAAAAGATCCCTTGGCAGTTGGAATTCGATATAAGAGTAGGCCGTAGCGCCGCTGCCCGGGCAAAATTTCCCTCATAGCACACTGTATGGCGTATGCCCGTCTTCATTAGCCCAGGTTAGGAGCAGAACAGTAGGACGTTAAACCCCATTTCATTTCATTTCTCATGTCGAGACATTTATCTGTCCGTCTGTATAAATGCCATATTATGAGGTATCTTGAACATTCTGTATAGAGTAGTTTAAAGAGTTAAATAGGAATGTTAGCATATGATACCACCACTGACTTTATCTACAGATATAAAGTTTTCAAAGTTGCATCCCACAAAAAAAAAAAAAAAAAATAGACAGGTCTGGTCATTTTGATTCCAGATTTTAATATTTGAATATATGCCTTTATTGCTCATCATGCAATTTTGCCTTGTTTTAATATAGTCTTATTTTCCCCAACCCATCTTTTTATTATTGGGACGTGGGGTTGCTGGGCTTAGCTGTCTATCCGTCCACCTGTCCGCCAGCTAGATGATATTAATATATGTATATCTACATATTTTATTGTATTTCCAGGCATGTTTGATATGATAGGATCTAGTCACCAGTGTTGGCATTTTGTTGTGGTTATAGCATTCTTATGGTGTTACAACTCTGGAAGAGAAATTCTCCAATACAGAATAATTAACTCCTGTACTCTATGAGATGATATACTAGTAGTAGATTATATATTAGGTTATTATATACATACACTCCTTACATGTATGTTATGATATATAATTTTAATTTATATCCTGTGGCCATTTTATTTTATTAGATAATTTTATTATGCAATTTTATTTACTGGTATTCATATATATTATGCAAGCCTCAAAATCAATTAATTAATTAGCTCATACATTGCCAAGCACAAACTCAGACTTCGTCACGCCCTTTTCCTCTGTTGGACACAGATGTGTCTTAATATTTTGTTTTTGTTGGTATTTTTAATACTGCTACATGTACAACAGAACGTTAAACATACATTATGTAAGAGCTAAATCTGCCTTTGCAGGTCTTTCTTTAGGCCGGAAACTATTAATTAGACATTTATAAACAAAACAAGACCATAATCAACTCTTGATGCCATCGGATGACTCCAATTTTAAGTAGATTAGAAGGGTTCAGCAATATAATCATTTAACTTATAAATGGAGAAGCGAGGCTTATTCGAATGACCAGTACAGTGGTTACGATCAATGCACACATCTTATCAAAACTACAACCATTGATAACTTCACTCAAAATAACGTAATTTGAATGAAATTTTTAATATATTCATTTTCCATTATCTATTTTTGAACTATTAAATGTCCCTTTATATATGTCAGCTACAACTTGTCTTGTTCTACTAAAATCATTATTTCAAGGCTTGGTTTACATATCACAATTTTCATTATCAATCAATCATTTGAACAAACTTTTTCATTTATTTTTATGTTTTTAAAATTCACACAGTTAGGTCTAGCAATATCTTTCTTCAGTTTATGTTCAGTTGACCTGAGCTGACCTTTCAAGGATTAGGGTCCCCTGTCCAACCTCGTGGGTTTTCTCCGGGTCCTCTGATTCCTACCACTGCTAACTATGTTAGTCCCAAAATGATCTAGTTTGTGTGGAGTGGGCGTTAAACCTCATTTCTCTCTCTCTCTATCCCTCTCTCTCTCTCTAGTGTCTAGGCAATGTTACTTATTGAGCTTTGAACCATTATGTTCAATATTAATTATGAGCATTTTTTCATATCTCTCAATAAAGCCTCATTTTTTGTATAAACATTTTATTATGTCTTTCAATGTGATTTAATGAGTTGGCTAATCGGCCTCAAAATTTTATAAACAATCAAAATAGTATGTCTGGTCTTCTTGTGTATTAAATAGGACACAAATGTTATTGATTTCTCCGTTTATTAAACTAAAACCAGATTTTATTAAATTTCTAAAGAATTTAAAAAATCATTTGAGCTAAAACAGTTCAGTATTGACTTGAGACAATTGCTTTATAGAAAGGTGTCTCGCCACTCACCAATAATGTGGAGATTATTTTGAAACTGATGCGCTTGCTTGACCTTGTGCTGGAAAAAACATTGTTGCACAAATTTTGTTTCACAACCTTTTCAAAGCTTTTTAAGTCTTTGTACCGTTTCTGAATTTTTCCATTGCTGTATATTTTCTGATCAATAGGATGGTGGGGCTATGTAATGGTTTTTAGCTATGAGTAGGCAGCAAGTCTGCAACTGTAAAAGTATAGTGTGTTTAAAAGTCTTATGTATGCATTCATCAAATAATTTCATTCTTTACTGTTTGTTTTTACATGTTTTTACTATCACAACATTTAACACTAATTTTCATACATTTTAGTCTGTTGTTGTTAATGAATTAAAAGATTTTATGACATATTTATGATCCATTGTTATTACTTTTTATAACCACAAAGCTAAACTTCTATGATTTATGTGGGGGGGATGTTGGATGGCCGAATCAGATTCATTCTTATTATCTTTTGTGAATTTTGACCTATATTGCATTTACACGACTTCACAACTTTAGGGGGGTTGCATGGCCGAATAGTTAGCACATGTGTGTTGTATCATTAGGTCTGTCATTTAGTCAACTGTCGTGTTTTTTTCGATTCCTGGTTGTACGTGACAAGGAGTAGGGTCGCCTGTCCAACCTAGTGGGTTTTCTCTGGGTCAATGCCTTGATGGAGTTCGAAGATGAGCATTTTCTGCTTAGGGTAAGAAGAGATAAACAATTTGATTGGTTGATGCTTTGGCACATAATAACTTTGGTTCTAATTAATGAATGAAACTGGTCGATAATGAGCATTTTCTTCTCAGGGTAAGCCGAGCAGTAAACGATTTGATTGGTCAAGACTTTGGAGCTGTATAACTCTGATTCTAATTGAGTGAGAGTGGTGAAACCTTGTGTATATTTTCATTATAGACCAGGTTTCAACCTATCAATGCACGTATATCTGGTATCATCAGAATGTAAGTCTGCCTGGTTTCTGGTGGTGGGTGTGGCGGTGAGGGATGTGATTCTGGCCGTGAATTCTTGGACTAGATTAGCTCAAGTGTACCACATGAAAATTGTACAGCAGTGTACCTTACATCTTCAAATATTACAAAAACACTTTGACAGACATGTCTGGTGGTGGGGTGCCCCTGACAGAACTGTGTAATTGCCAGACATTTATAGCAGTGAAGTATCCCTGACAAGAGTTATCTAATTTCCAGACCACAGCTCAGCTAGATTAGCTGAAATCTGTACCACCTAAAACAGCTTTGGAGTTGTTCAGTACCACCACAGAAATCAAGAATGACCTCTGCCAGACAGTTTGTGTGGTAGGTTACCACAATGTTTAAACTAGGTGTAGATGTTCATTGGGTGAATGTCTTAACGAGTTCAATGATTAACATTTTCAGCTAAAGCTAAGCTGAGCTTGGGCGAAACATTCTCAAAAATAAAAGCCCATGGTTCTGCCAGTTCAAGTACAATCGACATGAAGTAGGATGTTAAACCCCATTTCATTTCATTCCAATCAACACAAGACTTGGCATGCATGTTTCTTGGATAATTGCACAACGATCGATCGACATACTTTGACTTTTTATAGAACTTCACAAATCCAAGATGAGATAGAAATGGGGTTTAACGTTCACTTAATACAAACTTGATCATTTCAGGACTAACACATTGTTCAATTTTATTTCAATAATTTGCATGCGAGTAGGGGTTTTTAGCAATGGGAGAAAACTGGAGGACTCTGAGAAAACCCATGACGTTGCGACCCTACTCCTTGTCAATTTTGGGACTAACACATGGTTCAATTTTATTTCAATAACCTGCTTGGGTTTTCTCCGGGTCCTCCGTTTTCCTCCCACTGCCAAAGACCCCTACGCGCAAGCGAATTATTGAAGAATTAAAACCATATGTTAGTCCCAAAATGATCTAGTTTGTGTCGAGTGGACGTTAAACCACATTTCTCTCTCTCTGGTGTATCGCTTTTCCTTGCAGACAATACTAAAAACAAAAAAAACACTTTATACAAACAAATTCAATTTTTATTCACAAAAGCTGTAGAAAAAGTAAATTATTCTGTATGAAGAAGACATTTTGAAATCAAGAGATAGAGAGAGAGATAAAGATCATGAAGGTACATTCATACTTTTTATCAGATTATAAAACAATATAGCAGTATCAGTACAACAAGACATAGTATATGACATGGAATATAACTGGCAAGTACCTACATCCACAATACTTACTACATAAATTATACACTTACTATTTACAATAAATTTCATCAAAGAAAAATGAAAAGGCATTTGTCATAACATAACAGGTATATCAAATACTTTTTTGGTTGTTGAACAGCCTTTATAATGCACGAATGTACTGACCAAATTCTAGTTTCAAAAATTTCTAAATAACCTGTTCATTATAAAAAAATAGTATGTTAATTAATTAACCATAGGTTGCCAGGCAACTACACATACACCAAACAACAGCTCTTGAGTAGTAATGAGCTAAACAATACATAGGAATTTTAAAAAGATCAGATTATAATTGACGTCTTTAAGGTTCCAACAAGGTGTCAATGGGGAATAACTCCAGAAGTTAATATCAAAAATTGCTGAACATCAATAGTGTTCTTCCTTTCAACAGGATCAACAATTACTTTAAATTTCAGAAAGATTAGTTAAAGATGCATTATGTAAGATTTAGATGAAGAGTTCATAGCTTAAAAATAAATAATGAAAAAGGAATATATTGAAAATTTCAGTAAAACTACTTTATTCTGACCAAAGTTATAAATGTTGTAACTTTGCATAAGAATAGCGTAATCTCAATATTCATTGCTACCATAATCAACAGTCTTGATTATTGATTATTCATTTTTAACTTATATTATTATATGGCAATCGCATTTTAATCTAATAAAAATTGTGACCATCCGATGGGTTTGTCATGTGAATAAATGTATAATTAATAATTTATATAACATTTGAGGCCCAAAGATAGACCTGCAATAGAAAGATTTGGTTTTTACATAATGCATCTTTAATAATAATTACAATGGCTTCTTCCTCTTAATGAGTTAGATAACCCATATCAATGCACAGACAGAGGTGACATCAACATACAACCATGTTAAATATGGGCATATAAAAATGTATTTAATACATTAATTATAGAGTACTGGTGATACCTAGGCATCTACAGTTCATCGTGCAAGATAACATTAATTTAAATAGAAAATCCTGTGACCTGTAACATACAAGATAATTTTGAAAAAAATGCTACACGTACATAATGTGGCAGTACAAATAAATGGAAAATAATATTAGGTGCTCATTTGTTGTTCGGCTCAATAACATCATTAATGTCAGAACAAAAAAAGAAATCATATAACCCCACAGACAATAACAATATGGCCTCAATTCTTTTTTTTTTAATATTTCTAATAAAAAATAAAACCTATAAATTCTTTTTATTGTTCACATTTCTATTAAAAAAATAAAACCTATATATTCTTTTTCATAATGAATAAATAAATTTTTTTAAGGTTCTGACAGCATTAAATTAAATAGGGAATAATGAAAACTCATTATCGTAGCGTTTTTTTTTTTTAAGTACTGGTATTATAAATAAATCAATTTCAAAATAAAATGTACTTTTAGGCTTGTTCACAGTATCGTCAGTCAGCTAATAAACTACAGATATCACTTTGTTAAAATAAAAATAAAATCATATTTGTTACCCTATCATCGGTTACAAAATTAATTAATCACAAAATATATTCAGTAAAATAATAAAGAAATCTAATATTTGTTGTTCTTGGTCAAAATGTACACCAGTATTTTTCAAAACTTAATAACTCTTTTCAAAGTCACAACAGTATAGATAAATCAGCTTTATTATATTATCCTTGACTCAGAAATTGTCTAATCAAATATGTTTTAGTCAATAAATTTCCAATTTTAACTGACAAATAGAACATATATTGATAATATAAAGGAATTGTTGTGTGGTTAAAATGTTTTAAACTGATGTTTTTATTTTTGTTCTAAGTTACTTGCTTCACTTCAAAGGAGTCACTCAAGATTTTCCAGGGTATACACAAATTCCAGCACAAATATGTGAGGTGGCTCCTTAAAAATAATGTTAATAACACAGCAATAAGGACATTAACAGGCTACATGTCATTTACCTGTTAGTACATTGACTAGCCCTTTACACACAATACATATTACATTCTTTATGACATGAATCTGTGCAACCACAAAGGACAATAAGCTAATATTATTGTTTTACAACTGGGTAAGATAATCACACATACTGTCAATCTCATTAAAATATAGATCTATACTTCGTTTCATTTTTATACTTTCGATGGCTTACACTACATGAAGATCTGACTGGTTGTACTATACGGTCGTGTCAGGGGTCACACGAGCGGCTTTTGAACCTATGACGTCAGACATTGAATAATCAATCAGCGTTGACGTTTCTAGTGATTTACCAACAGGTCCGTGCATGGCACGCCAAGAAGTCGCCGTAAAGGATCGTTTCATTGGCTAATCCCTCACATTAACCAAACCGTGGTAATAACAATTCTTCCAGATCCTAGTGTAGTAATGACAAGTAAAACGAAATTTTGAACTATAAAAAACGAAACGAAATAGGATCTGTGTTTGAATCAGACTGACATACTGTATACATACATACATCTTTAGATTATATAAATATTAGTCATGTTTACATTATATATAATACTAATGAAAAGGAACATGATGTTTTAAATTCTGTAAATAACAGTGACAAGCAGATTAAAAGGAACCACGAATGTAGTTTTCACAAGATAAAATATAATATTTAATTACATCAATTTATGTACAATATGTCATTCAGAAAACGTGGGGCCTCATTAATAGAACTTAAACTAAGGCATGTATTTTAAAAACGCTGTTCGTTCATTCGGAACACCCTAGTACAGATTTTCTCTTTATATCGATGTAAAGAAAATAACTTGAAATAACGTTTAAGTGGCATTGAGCGACTGGGAAACAGATTAACAGAACACAATTTTATGGGGAAACCATCAGTGTTTTTTTTATTACAAAAGCACAACAATTTGACAAGTATACTCTTATCGTTATCAAGCACAATTACATTTAGAATCAAACTAAAGATTGTTTCCCTAAAAAAACTGTGTTCTGTGAATGAATTAGATTAGTTTAAAATACTGTCACAGAGGATGCACGAAGAGATGTTATTATTCTATGATACTCTCCCACTAAATATATATATTTTTTTTATCATGGTGAATACGTAATAAGACCTGTCAAATGGGGTCACAATTTGCAATTATCAACACAGGCATTTTAAAATAAAAAATATCCAAATTTCTCAAATAAAAAGAAAATATAAAATCTGAAATTCAAATTAAATTTTCCAAGTTTATAATTTCCCTGATTCTGTAAATTACTGAAGTTAAATCTGATTTTCATTAGAAGTTTGATTATTACAATAAAATTGTTTTTAAAAAATGAAGCACTATAATTAACTATGATCAATGATTTATACTTTTGGAAATTAAATTTGACAACAATCCTGGGGCCTGTTTCTCGAAATTTTAACTAAGATAAAATCCAAATTTTAGTAATTTGATTGGATAATACTAGATTGAAGTATCTACTAGAATTGGATTTTAACTTTAGTTAAGATTTCGAGAAACAGGGCCCTGTACTCTGATCCACTGACCAATACAAACTTCAAAATTTGATGTTCTTTCCTTTTTTTCCCTTTGCTTGAATCTGGTAGACAATTTGCAAGTGTTATATACATGTGTATGCCTATATATACTGAGCAATAATTGCAGTATAGACAAATATTTTAACACTGCTACATGTATGTATATGTTTGTTTCCCTGTCATATCTTTTTAATTTTTTAAATTCATTTACTTGGTCCCAGTAACAACAATAATACAAATACATATGAATTAATTAATTAATATCAATGAATCAGCTAAATCCATACGTCATATGTAATGAATGACAATTTCATGAAATTATAACTCAAAATGGCACATCAATATTAAAATATCCTAAACTGGGAAGAACTCTTTCTCTTCCGAGTCAACATTAAATAAATTATGAGGTAAAAATAAAGAAGTTTAAAAATACGTCAAATCCATGTCCATGCATTTCAGTATTGTTTACGATTTCCAACTCCGTAGACTAAATGCGCTTAAAGACATAAAAACAAATAAAACTACATGGAGTTAATAAGTTTTCATCACAACAATGTCATGCTAGCTACAATAGAAATCAACAACATAATTGTACTTCAACAATATTCGGAAATCAAATTTTTCAATTTTAATTATTAACCTTTTAATTTCATCTTTGTGTAAGCTACATGTATTTAATAGCAACTGTTTTTTTTTTAGGTATTTTTTTGTATTTTGTTCGCAGATTTGCACCGAATCGATCAATTAGATCCTTAGATATCACTACAGCTAATCACAATAACATTCATTATATACAACAATTATTGTTCATTATTATAAATCACATATATATATATATAATATTAATGTAGACAAATCAAGACGAAACAAGGCTTGTTTTTCAGAAAATTTCCTCTCATTCCATTTAACAACCCTAATCACACACGAGTCCATATTTACGTCCTTAGTTGATGGAGACAACATTCTTACGTGTCAATCAACACTATACTTTTGGTCTTGAGCCAATCAATAACTGTGCAGATCTCATCACAAAAACCGAAATGGGTAGCAAGCGCTGAAAGTGGATAGTGTTAAAAGCCAGAACCCAGGTGACTCAGTTCACTCAGACAGCATTAGTCAAAATTCTCCATCTTGAGAGAGTAAGAATACGAATACACAGAACAAAATTCTTTGGAATATAATTAAAAAGTTTGTAGCTGAGCGATGTTTCAGCCAGTGATGGGATTTCAATATTTTTGTTGTCGGACATTTTACCAAAAATAAAGGGGCATAACTCTTGTTATTTAAGCAGTTTATAACTGAGCGATGTTTCAGCTAATATTCACTAGTTATTATCAAGCCATGATGTTTTTTTGAAGAAGCACCCAAAACACATTTTCAATATTTATAAGTTATAGCATGGACAGCATAAACTGTCTATGGTTATAGAGATAATGAAATTTTAAAGCATTTTTATTGTTTCTATAACTAGTATGTGTATATATGCAATGAAATATTGAATAAACTTTGAAATTTTAGCTCAATACTTTCTCTGGTAGTGGTGGGTGCGAGAAAATTCCTGAAAATTCTGACCAATTCCAATGAGAGTGTGCAAGATATCACGGACAGATTCATGAATAAAGCGAATAAATACGATACTGTAAGTAATTTCAAGTAATTTATAGTATAAATAAGCACAATAAGTATAAGCTAGTATTCTGTACTGCAACCACGTGAAACGACCGTCTTTTCACCCTTGGTTCCAGAATCAGTATTTTCACTTGTAATTGGAATGACGATATCTGAAATACACACGAAAAAAAAATATATTATTATTTTTATCTTTAAAAATATATAACTTATACAGAATGTATTTACTGATCAGTTCAATTTTGGCTATCTCTTCCTGTAAAACCACACCATTGATAAATATAAACAATATACAATACCTAAAAATCCCAATTTAAACTGACTGACACTGATCCCAACATCAAAAGGTGATTAAATTGAATACCAACATTTTCAACTTTGTATAACTTATATCAAGAGGGTTTGATTGTTTTGCGTTAAGTGCCTACTAATTCAGTTCCAAACTTCACAAAATGGTGCAAATAAAATGGGCTTACAGTTACGTTGCTAGGGAATTGGCATCTGATTGGCTATGGATAATTAAATGGCCTCCGGAAGTCAATAAAATCTCACAAACGAAAAGAAGTTGAAGATTATTCTTTATCTCAGTGAAGTGTTGGAAATTGTATTTATTTAGAAAAAATGTACCCATCGCAAGTTTAAAAGAACCAAATAGCAGCTTTGTGCTTAGAAACAAAAAGGAACTTTATTACCTAATCTAATTACACAAAGATGTTTCAATAAGAATAAACCCTACTGATTCTGACTACCGTATTTCTTAGGGTATAAGTCGATACTTTTTTCTGCTGAAGTCCGGCCTTCGTTTTATACTCCGCTTTGACTTAGTTATAAACTTTTAAATTATATTTGTGTAGAAGATTAATTCATAACAAAAGTGGAAGAATCAAATATGGTCAGGGAGACAATGCTCAGAACTAAAATAAACTCGACGGGTCATGAAAACGTTATATATTTATTGTCAAACGCCAATTTATGTAGGATTATCTGTTTAAATATTGTGTTCATGGTCCATTTACCTTGGATACTGCATAGAAATTAACTTGGTAGGCAAAAGAGTTAAAGCACAATTTACAGGATATAAAAGAGCAAAATTCATATTCATCATTTAAATTACAGACAAATAAATGCTAAAGATGCAACGAAACATATGCCCACAGCGACCCTACTCCTTGTCATGTACAACGGGGGAATCAAAATCAAAATATAATAGGGTTGTAAAGAAAGAATAGGATCTTTAACACACATGTGTGGAGGTGCATTTGAATTGATCTGAAGAATAAGAGAGATTGTCATCATAAAAAAAAGTGAATGGCATTTCTCTGAACAACTATAAAAAGCTGAAAACGGGTCAACTTATTACCCAATTGATTATCTATAACAAAGGCAAAGTTTAATTAAAACAGCATTAGGTAAGATTAAATAAAAAGCTGACAGATCTAGCTATATTTGTTAAAAAAAAAAAAAGATAATGAGAAGAGAATATGTTGAAAATTTCAGTCAATTACATCACTCTGAACTAAGATATTGGTGATATAATTGTAGTCTAGACTCGACTGTCATTACTACTGTTGTTACAATAATAAATAAAGTCTCTATTATCAATTTTCACGGTAACCGCGTCAACCACAATGTATATTTAAATCTACTTAATATTGCAGTCATACAATGGCATCAAGAGTTGATTATGGTCTTGGTAAGTTAAAGATACATTATGGGAGATTCGGTAACGAGTTGGCAGTTCTTACTATAATAGTTAAGAACTAGATAATGTAGAAGGCAATTTGGTGAAAATTTCATTCAAATTGATCCACTATGAACCGAGAACTAAGCAACTGAAATTCCCATAAGCCTCGGTCATCATTACTAAAGTCAGTACGATAAACAGCATAGTCTCGATTATCCATTTAATCGTTTAATCGAGAAGGAAAGTTATGCAGTAAATCGGCTTACAATCCACTAAAGATCGCAGGCTAGCCCTGTCATCTAGAGTTGATTATGGCCAGGATAGGCATTTCAGGCCTAAAGAAAGACCTGAAATAGACAGATTTAGCTCTTGCATAATGTATGTTTAATATTGCAGTCATACAATGGCATCAAGAGTTGACTATGGTCTTGGTAAGTTAATTAATAGTTTATGTAACATTTCAGGCCTAAAGAAAGACCTGCAATAAGCAGATTTAGCTCTTGCATAATGCCTGTTTAACTTGTAATCAACTGAATATGACCCGCTTCTTTTTTACAGATCATTTTTTCTGAACCTGAATGGTTAATGCCCAATCCAACCATAGCACATCCTCGGTAATCCCAGTGATATTGTTCCATTCTACTACACTAACCCCTGGGTCCATTAACAGGGGAGACACATAGTCAAATTATCCACCCTTAATATTATTTTTGACCAATAAAAAAATTCCATATATAGAAAGCGAGTGGGCGAAGGGAAATAATGTATTAATATTGCTAGAATTTTTGCTCTTATAAATAATGATAGCATTATATTGTATTAATTAATATCTTTGGCAAGTTAGTAGATTCACATATAAGTAGTATTGTAATTCAACTTAGTGAATAAGTGACAGGTTGACACATAAAAAGAGTTACAGAACCAAAACATAGCTGGTTGTATGTGTCAATAAAATACACCTGCTTGGAAATTTACTAATTGCATCATTTGGCTAAAGTAACCAATCATAATCAGTAATTGCACATGTTCAGGGTCATGAGTAGCTTACTCTGTGCGTGATATCCACGAGTCCTATAAAAGAAATCATGGTAAACTTTTAAGACAGACTTTCATTAGATTCTTGAGAGATTACGAGCTTGATTCCAGAAGGGAAAAGATGTAACAGTTTATATCAGCAGACTAGTCCAACGAGTCTGGCTGAATGAGGTTTGAGAGAATTGACTTTATTCTATTATGCATTGTATCCATGTATCCAGCTGATATAAACGTAAAAACAAACTGTTATTCCTGGTATGTAAACTGGTTTTCGAATGGTTTGTAGAATCAACGTACATGGCCAATGAGATCATCAAGGGAACGAATGGACCAAGGGGTTAGTAAAGTAGAATGGACAGGTGTCACTGACCATAGCTGGGATATAAATACAAATACTTTCTAAAAATCCGTAGAAATAAATGCTAGACAGGTTTCACAGCGAATACTTGTAATTAATTGCAATAAATCATCACTTGAGTTCAAAACTGTAAAACAAGAGACAAGAGATCAGACCAGGAGTTCACAAAGTATTCTAAGACTTTAAGTTAAGAATTTACTCAAAATTGTTTGCCTTTCTTTAACTAAAATATAGGCCTTTATAAAACTTTTGTTGTTTTAATGTATCAAATACATCAATAAGAAACTATGTGGAAAATTTTGTTTTTCTGGATCCAAGATATTTCTCATAAACAGTGATTGAAAGTTGTGTAAATTTGTAACTCAAGTCTGAGAATGCTTTGTTATGTCAGGGCCTGACTTGATAATGCTGCCTACTGTTTTACACATTGTTATTTATGTAAAATGGCCTGAATGTATACAGTTTTATGTATATAAACTGTATGTATTATGTTTAAATTGTGAAACCTCTCTAGTGTAAAACTATCAAAATTATTTTCAGACAACACCAATAGCATGCAGTTTTAAAGTGAAAGACTCTTTAAGAATACAGACATACTGTATTAGACATAAGAACTGCTAAGCCCCAACCCTCTCATAATATGTGACCCACTACCACAAAACCAGGCGCTTGTCGCAGAATTCATTTTGTACTACGGGCACAAAATCATAAACTGTATGCCTTCTTGTTGCTGTGAATGAGTCGATCTCAACTCCAGATGATACGAAAAATTTAAAAAGAATTTGATTTTTGGAAAACTTAGGCTGTGGACTATTCAAATATGCTACCAGCTCTATTTTTATATCAAAAAAATGACCAAGAGCCTGGTTTTATGGGAACAGCACATATATCATAAACTATAATATTTTTTTGGTCTAACCTCCCTGTAAGATACACTACACCATCAACTGTATTAAATTTAAAACAAACAGACAGTTGTTATGTCAAATACAGTATATTGCTTTAATTCCCTATTCTTGTTCAACTCTGACTGCAAGTTGAAATCCTAGATAATAGAGACTTTCACTTTAAAGACATTTGCTTACCCATATAATTAAGTTGATTGAGTGTCATATCCCATATGTGGTTTTTGCGGCCTGTTGATTAAGGGGAATAAATGTGCAAATATTAGTAAGATGATTAGTTAATGACAGAAAGTTTTCAGTTAAAAACCCACAAGTACAAGTAATATTTTACTTTCCCAAAAATATTACCTCATTATAAAAACATATAACTGTAACCCGGGTATCATTTAATCTTGTGTATCTAGCACTAATTTCTTTGACATTCGTTCAATATCAAATCTTTGTTTAAAAATTCGTAAAAATCATTTTAAATCACCCCAAAAAATCTAATTTGTACTACTGTCCAGTTTAAAGCTGACTGATTAATTCTGATAATGAGTGTTCAATTTACAGGCATTTAATATTTCCTGACCACTGTTCAAAAATAAGTCATCATACATCAATATCAATTGTTTATTTTTTAACAGTGATCGAGAAATTAAACACTAGTAAATTGGACACTCATTATCAAAATTGAATGGTCAGCTTTAAACTGGACGCAAGTACAAATTAGATGATTTTTGGTGATTTTAAATGATTTTTACAAATTTTTAAAAGAAGATTTGATATTAAACAAATGTGAAAGAAATTAGTGCTAAATACACAAGATTAAATGATAACCTAGGTTACAATGTATACTTCTCTTATACAGTTTTTTATATTTTGAACGTTTAAAACTGAATACTCATCATCCAGATACATGATGCATGTCACATGATGCATGTCACATAAACATCACAAGCAAGTATCTAAGTGTTAATCAATTTAGTACATGAAAGGGTCATTGTTAATTAATCATGTTAATTAAACAGCCATTACGGTTACAAAGAAAAACAATTGTTTCTAAGAATCAATCTACTAAGTATATTTCATCTAATCGAACGATACATAGATAACGGTTAAAGAAATAATTGTATTCAATATTTATAGATTAGATACATTAAAGGAAACGTATCACGAAAACTTCCTTGATAAAATGATCCATAAAAAAACAATGAGGTTAAAATAAAATTGCAACAGAAAATGGATATTTTATTGGAGGACTTCTTAGGGCTGAAATAAATACAGTTTTACATACGAGATAAAAATAACATAACACCACACAACTTAAAACTAATAAAAATAACCTGACACCACACCATATAACTTAAAACTAATAAACATATCATAACACCACACCATCCAACTTAAAACTAATAAAAATAACAGAAACTACTGTCCAACAAAAAATCACTAGATATAATATAACACAGGTCATATAATCAATAGAAAGAATAGAATAGAATTAAATAGATATTCAGTAATTCGTTGGGGGGTTTTTTTTGGGAGGGGGGGGGGGGTATTTTCTTCTTTTTGATCAACATATCCAAATATTGAACTTTAAAATTAGAGTTCATAGATTTGTATTAAAATAAACCCCAGCGGTTGCCAGGCAGGATACGCCCACATTTTGCAAGAGATGGATAGAGAACAAGCTAAAAACAAACATGATTTTTTGTACAATCAGGGGCAATAATCCAAAAGTTATGGTCTGAAATGCACAAATATCAAAAGGGACATAGATCTTTGGGATATAAAGATATGTTTTAAGTTTCATCTGAATATGATAAAGATAGGTTGCCAGGCAACGAAACATTCGCCCACAGCAGCTAAATCGTCCGGGCAGTCAACAAGAGTTGTCGCATATTTTTAATTTTCGGTAATGAAACATTTATAATACACTAAAATCTGATTATAAATTTAAAGTCAATCGGATATTAACTTTGGCCTCTTGAGCGTCCACAAGATTTTTCAAAGTGATCAAGGGCCATAACTCTGGCAGTAATTGCTAAAAATCAATAGGCTTTTTTTGTCTCATGACCTTAAACACTGTGTATAAAGTCAATCGGATATTAACTTTAGCCTCTAGAGCGTCCACAAGCAATTGTGGACGCCGGACCGCCGGACGGACGGGGGCGACGACAAAATACGACGACATTTCAATGTGGGCGTATAAAAAAAAAAGAAAAAAAAGGATGATAGATTGTATAATATATTCTGATATCAATCCCAATTTCTGGTAAGTTAATCCAACAAAATTAAAATACTAAGGAGGATGATTTAGCTAATACATATAGATCTATGAAAGAGAACAAAAGAAACGACAATCACTTGCCACAAAGATCTACAACAAAAATTAATACAAAAAAAGAAAAACAAAAATACAAAAAAAAAAAATTGTAGCATGCGATTTTACTGTTTGGGTACTTCTTGACCCATTCTACTTATAATATAGAAAGCATAATTTCTTCGAACAGAGGTCTTCCCTTTAAGCGATAAAAGCTCATATGGTACCTATTTATTAAATTACTGCCCCAAGCGCAACATTTTTAGAATTGAAATTCAAGATGTTTTAATTTTCACATGCTGTACTCATATAATGTTCAACTTATTATAAATGGTGCTTCCAGCATATATACTGTTTGGCCAAAGTGATAAAATTATCTCTATTTATTTCTGTGATAGATAACTTTCTCTCTATCTATGTCATATTGGAAGTGAAATTGACATACAGTTAATAAATAAACACGCTCAAACGACATGACTCAGACAGTATTCTTTCAGTATTGCTAACAAGTGCCTGACATTTGTACTAAGACTCTCATTTTTATCAATGGTCGCCATTTTAAGTTCATTTAAAAATCACACCATTAATTACACTCTTAAAGGGACAATAACACTCTTGCTGGCTTGACAGCTCCAGAAAATAAAAAAATAGCCTTATTCTAAGTACTAGATGTGTTAGTGTCTTACCTGTTGTGTAAATTATCCATTAAATCCTATTATACTTGTACAGAGGGTTCAAAAATATTTTTAAATCCAAGTCACATTTGAAAAGCTTTACGACAGGCTTTTCAAATCATTTAGTTGAATTTTTCCAATTTTTCAAATTAGGTGTGTTAAGATGAAATTTGTATCATCAATTAATTGGAATATTGTAAAATATACTATTCAAAAAAAGTAGGGGATATTTGATTTTTAAGTGTTATTAAAGTCACCTAATGAAACTGACGAAGAAACAAATGACAAAATGAAATGAAGTTCACATTCATCGATTTATTCCAAATGATCGTTAGACTAAGTAAGGCACAGACTGACCATTATAAGGGTAAAATGATACCCGGGGTCAAACAGCAAAGTTACCACAGCATCACAACCAAGTCAGTAACGGGTAAATCCTCCTCTGTTTGCCAAACAAGCATTGATCCGACGTGGCATACTCCTAATGAGACGTCTAAGGTCATTTTGGTCCAGATTGTCCCATTCCTGTTGCAACGCAGCAGCAAGTTCTTGGACATTGGCAGGACGTTGTTGACGTTGACGTAACCTCTGTCCAAGCATGTCCCAGACATGCTCGATGGGGGAGAGGTCGGGACTCAGTGCTGGCCAAGGTAATGTGGTGATGTTCTGTTGTTGGAGGTAACCTGTAACGATCCTGGCCCTGTGACATCTTGCGTTGTCATCCTGGAAGATGAAACGGCGGCCATGACGTCGTGCGAACGGCTCAACATGGACTGCCAAGATGTTGTCCCGGTAGTACTGGCCTGTAACACGCCCTGCAACAACATGTAAAGCCGTTCTTCCAGCAACAGTGATGCCTCCCCACACCATAACAGAACCACCCCCAAATCGATCATGTCTGATGACGTTAACGTCTTGGAAGCGCTCGTTTTCGACGACGCCACACCCTCCTACGTCTGTCCAAAAAATCAACAGTAAACCTTGACTCATCTGAAAACATCACATTGCTCCAGCGTCGATTATCCCAGTGTTGACGATCCCTACACCAACGACGTCTTGCCTGAATGTGATGATCTCTCAAACAAGGGATCACGCGAGGACGTCGGGCGCGAAGGTGACCCCTATGCAGTCGATTCCGAATCGTCTGGCCACTCACTCTCACACCAGTGTCTGTTTGAAGACGAGCGCTGATCTGATTTGCTGTGATGACACGATTTCTCAAGGCCAAGGTACGGATAAATCGATCCTGGGCTTGAGTTGTCGCCCTTGGTCGACCTGAGCGTGGTCTGTCCTGTACAGATTGTGTATCACGGTATCTGGACCATAGCCTGCTTATGACAGACTGAGAAACATTCATCGTCCGCGCCACAACCGCCTGTGTTGTGCCGATCTGTAGCATGCCAAGGGCACGTAACCTTTCATTTTGGGTAAGCCGACGCATATCAAAATTTGTTTTCTGGTCACTAAAACAATTAAACTGATGTTTCCACCCTGGAATTCAATGCCACAATGACTGTAACATTCAAAGTCAGAGTCGTGCAAATCTTGGGTTGGACCCCCATGATGATCCCAAGCATCACCTGCATTCCATGCGGTAGCTATTGGTGCGTTTGGGCGTCACATGTAACTGGAAATGTTTCTTCTGTTAGGTTCTATAGTGACTTTTTTCGTAGTCATTTGCATATTTTAGTATTATGCCCCCAAAATCAAATATCCCCTACTTTTTTTGAATAGTATAGTACAATTTGTTGACCAGAATAAAGATTGGGACATATTATTTAGTTACAACAAGAGTGGTATTGAGCCTTTAAAATGGAGTCTGGAAAAAATCAAAATTGTCAGACTAAAAAGATTTTAATACGAAAGTTCTGATCATTGATCATGTTATAAGTTCTCTATTTATTATTTATATATTTACCTGTGCATGTTGGAGGACCACCGCCTATATAATATAACAGTTTTATAAATGGTTGTTAATTGATTGTTAATTTTAGTAGACTAGTTGTTGACTTTAGTTAATTCCTACTATAAGGAAGATAATTGATTCTTACAAAACAACTGTCTCAGCCATACACAAAACATTTTCTCATAGCTTTTAAGCTATACCAAAAAATTGATTTGGTTCTTCGACAATTTTTTATAGATTTACTTCCTGTAACCGAAGATACAAACAGGGGCCTGTTTCACGAAATTTTAATTAAGATAAAATCCAAATTTTAGTAATTTGATTGGATAATATTAGATTGATTTTAGTGCTTAGCCAATCAAAATTGAAGTATCTACTAAAATTTGGATTTTATCTTTAGTTAAGATAATGCAGCCATTATCTAAGAACCCGAATATTTTCATGGCCATATTGAGATTATTTTCAATGAATGCTTAAATTTGAAATTGTGTAATGTTGAAACTTGAGTTGCCTTTAATAAATGAATAGTAAAGACTTACCACTATTAGGAGGAAGCTTACTGTTAACTGTACCATCTGGTGTTTGATACGTTATCATTTCTCTTTTAGCTACGTTTTTACTTTCACTGTTAGTATCATCAGCTGTATTCATTCCTGTACTATTTGTCTACAATTAATAATATAATTTATCTACTTTATACATCAGCCATGTTGCCATGCTTGAATCTGGGTGATAATCAGAAATCTGCTCTGATCGGAATTTTGGCATACATTTTGATGGTAACCACATTCAGTATTGTTCATTTACCGTGATTCAAATTTAAAATATTAAAACATCAAAATATAGCATTCACCAGCATTATTTATATATCTACAGACTTTCTATATTTTCTCAACACTAAAGGCTGTACTGCTGTAGGGCTAATCACTCCTTCAGTGTTAGACTCTTTCAACTATTAAAGATGCATTCTCAGAAAAGTATTTATAGGGCAGTTATTTCCAATAAAAGTATGACAAATTTGGTACATGTACATGGAAAGTAGAGACACCCAATCTTACTAGAAAAATACTGGATTCCCTGAAAAACACTGATGGGGCAAGCACTTGGCAAAAATGTCAGGGTATCACTAACTGACAACTTGATGGCTTATTGTCTACCAGCTTGATTTAGGGAGTGCTTATTATTTCTTGATCGAATGGCTGGCAATTGTGGGAAAAGTGAGGGGTTTAACCATACAACAGACTCTGGGAAAAAAAGTCGGAAAAAGAAGTTAGCAGAAGATAATCCAAAAATTTACTAAGGCTTTGATATATATGGTAAATGGACAGTAAATAACGACAAATACAATCCGAAAATGGACGCTCCCCAAATCAAGTTACGTGACAAACAGGTCTGCTTAAAATACATTTCTATTGCATGATGTTTTTTTTTCCCAATTAAAATGTTTTGAGAGTGATTTGAAGCAAACGTTTGAAAGATAAGTATGTTTTTAGTCCAAATATATCACCAAATCACACAGTTTATACGCGGGAAGGCATTTTTAAGAATATGTTCCTAATTAAACAGTGGTATCATTAGTGATTTGAACTTTTTCACACTATCACAGACACATCATGATAAAGTGTACGGGTGTACATAAATTATTTTTACACAGTACCTACTAAACTTATTTGTTCCTTTACAAACCCCATTGGAAATAAACATGCGTACATTGTGTAATTTTTGCTGGTTTTCATGATTTATCCTTAAGAAGCAGATTATTCATGGCATATCATAATTCAATCAGTTTGTATTTTTGTCACGGATGTATCTGTTTCATAGAATAATAAATAAATTCCCTAAATGCTAAAAATTTAGTTGGAAATAAGTTCAACAAAATTAGATTGCTATTAAAGATGAAGAGCCCCAGGGAAGAACGATATAAGTCACTTTTTCAACGAACCCCAGTTAATGGCGCCATCTGGTAGCAATTTGTATAAGCTTTCTATGGAACAATCAATTTCAGGTAAAAACAATCGGAGTCACATCGAACCAAGGCCCTTCTGAAATGGCCTCCAGGACAAATACAAGTCAAGTCAATTCTATTTATTTGACCTTAATTTGGCTAAAAAGTGGAAGTTAGTTGTACTGGTAATTATGGTTGTAATTAAGCCCACTTGTTGTTCTGTTCTCGTTAAGCTTTCTCTACCAAAAATCTGTTTTGCCTTTTATGCTAAAAGACAAAAATGTGACTTAGATCGTTCTTCCCCTGGACTCTTCAGATATAATATCTCCTAGAACACTGACCTTTTGATTAGTAATATTTGTAGAACCATAATATTCATGACGAACATTAACAGAATTGTGTTCCTTCTCTGGGTTTTCACTAACTTGTACAACTAAAGCCTGGGATACCTCTGGTACCACAAAACCTCTTCTATCAAGTAAACTAATAATAAAACATAAATAACAATTAATTTCAACTTAATGTCATTGAATCCCAATTATTCTATTTATTAATTCTGATTTGATAGAAATGAAATAATATGGTCTTTAACATCCTACTGTTCTACTTCGACTGGGCTAATGAAGACAGGCATACACCATACAGTGTGCTATGAGGCAAATTTTGCCCAGGCAGCGGCACTATGGCCTACTCTTATATCGAATTCCAAATGCCAAGGGACCTTTTGCGTGCACACCAATGTGTACATGGGACCTCGGTTTTTCATCTCATCCGAACGACTAGACAGCTGTCCTTGTCAGGCCCTCCGTCCTGCACCAATGACAAGGGGTAACCACGTCAGAAAATCCTGATGAACTTTCTTGGCCAATGCAGTGATCGAACACGTGACCTCCAGACTAGCAAGCCAGCCACTTAGCCACCGTGGTTCCCGATTTAATATAGATGCTTAACTGAGAAAAGTACAATACCTTGGTGCTGTTGGTCCACATAACACTGTCATACAGTTCTTAATGATAGAGCCTTTACTATATGGATTAAAATTATCTTGTCCTCTTTTTGCTGTAAACGAACCTTTAATCTGAAAAGCACATTTTATACAATATTAATATTCAGGCATCAAGTTATCTAATACAGTCATTGTTTTTTTAAGGCGAGCAATGGCTCTTGAGCGCCTGCCACTCACCGGAATGTCGACCGAGGGGAGGTTTGAAACTCACTCTCCTTTAAAAAGTCATTGGGGGTTTATATCATTTATGAATCCAGGAATGACCCCATAACATGCAGTTGTTGATCTTCAGAACCATTTCCCATACATACAAATAAGCACTCTCCTTAATATCAGATTACTCTCCTTAATTTCTAAACCATTTTTCTTATCGAAACTGGGAGAGCTATTTTAGGGGAGCGATTTATTCAATCTGTTGATTTAGGAGAGCTTTTTTCGGCTCTCCTCTAAAATACAAATAACAACGACTGCTAATAGAGGACAAAACTTGGTGGTAAATAACTGGACAACCGGAGGGCCTGGAGAAAACACAAAAGGATAGACAGGTGACCCTACTCCTTGTCACGTACAACCGGGGAGTCGATGGTAGTAAATAACTGAACAATGTTCATAATTACATAGAATAACATTGACAAATAGACGAGGATGCCCTAAGGTGTAACTTATTTTATTAACTTTTGGCTAGAAAAAAGCAATTTGGGAAAATATTCAAAAAGTCATCCAAGCAAAAACTTTAAATCCATTTATTAATCACATAAATGTCCTTTATATTTGTACTTGATTCTCAAAGGAATGCGAGAGGAAAGTTTCAAAAATCTAATCTGATGAATGGCACAGTATTTAGGGTTCTAATGTGATAAATTAATTACAGACAGTTAAAGATACATTATGGGAGATTAGATAAAGTGCTGGCATTTCTCACTATAATAGTTAAAAACTAGATACTGTAAAGGGAATATGCGGAAAATTTCAGTCAAATTGATCCACTATGAAATGAGATTTTAGCGATTGAATTTTCGGCCTAGCCTTGATCATCATTACTGAAGTCGGTGGGATAAAAAACATAGTCTTGATTATCCAGTTCATTATTTAATTATGAATTGAAGTCGAACAGCAAATCGGAAACCTAATCCAATAAACATCGCAGCCTAGCGATGCCATCGAGAGTTGATTATGGTCTGGATAAGTTAATTAATATCTTGAATAATGTATGTTTAATTAGAGATAGCCATACATATATATGTACTTACATCTTCATTTGTGGTTTGTTCTGATGTAGCCAAATATGTGTGAAAGCCAGCTAGACCAATTATGGACCAGACTGAGAAGAAACAAATAATGGCTTCTACAATAGTACTAATTATTAAGAAAAATTATATTACAATGTTATCAAATTACTATGAAAGATATTAAGTTAATGTCATTAATATAAAATTATAATAAAAGATCTGATATGTGACTGTTCCAATCAAAACAAATCATTAAGGCTAATGTCCCCTGCCTTAATCCTCCAACAGATAGATGATATACATCAATTATTTGCACATTATCTTTTTATAATTAACTCATTAACCTGGACGTCCCATTGGGTTTTTCCAATGCGGTTCCCCCTTGCCAGTTGTGCAGGACAGAGGACCTGGCAAAGGACAATGTATAGTCATTCGGATGGGACAAAAAAACAAGGACAAATGTACATTGTCGTGCATGTAAAAGATCCCTTAAAAGTTGGAAATCGATGTAAGAGTAGGCAGTAGTGCCACTGTACGAGCAAAATTCCTCTCACAGCAAACTGTATGGCGTACGTCCGTCTTCATAAGCCCAGTTGAAGCAGAAATGTAGGACTTTAGAAAATATTTCATTTCATTTTTTTATAAAGCATCTAGCAATCAATAAGTCCACCAGTTGAAGACCACCGTGGGCCTAGACTTATTCTACAGGGGTCTTTATGGTTTTGAATATAATATATAATGAAATACCCAGTGTATACTTGAAACAAGGTTATACACTAGCTCGCTGTGTGAGAAATCAGATTCAGTGGGTATTCTACCTCAATAAGCAGCAGAGTTATTGTGTTTCAAAAGGTGTGACTGATCGGCAGACAGACATAACACATTTCAAAAGGTGTGACTGATCGGCAGACAGACATAACCCATTTCCAAAGTTTCAATGTTTATAGAGAAGAAAATAATCAATGGCATTAATATATTGTATTTTCAAAGGATATCTGGCTGGCGATTCCTTCATTGCATTTAAGAAATTATCATTTTGGGCTCCTGAAATAGAAATTGTTGTAAAATTTAGCAAATGTTTATAGAAATGACAAAGTTCTCATTTAATATTCTGTTTCAGACACGTATCTGCTAATGAATAAAAGTTTAAACATTCTATTCCCAGAGCTAACATTTTTTGATTTAATTAATGGTTAAATTGAATGATTGATTCTTGTTTTTTTAAAAATTGTATCATAACTAAAAGCCCAGTTGGTGCAGAAAAGTAGGACGTTAAACTCCATTTCATTTACTTTTCTATTCAAATATCTTTCTTTAGTGCTTTATGGGTAGTTGAAGTTTGGAGATATATCAACATCAAAATTACCATAATAAGAGAGAGAGAGAGAGAGAAATGGGGTTTAACGTTCACTTGACACAAACTAGGTCATTTCAGGACTAACATATGGTTTTTAATTTTATTTCAATAATTCGTTTGCGAGTAGGGGTCTTTAGCAGTGGGAGGAAACCGGAGGACCCGGAGAAAACCCACGAGGTTGGACAGGCGACCCTACTCCTTGTAGGGATTCAAAACCCGGAGAAAACCCACGAGATTGGACAGGCGACCCTACTCCTTGTAGGGATTCAAAACCACACCAGTTGACTCAATGACAGGCCTTAGGATACAGCGCGCCCGAGCTAACCATTCGGCCATCCACCCCCCCTACTGTAAAAAGATTCCGAAAGCAGGTCATATTTTCTTGTATATAGGTGTACAGTTGACTGACATTTTCTTATTATGGAATTAAAAGATAGGTTGCCAGGGAACAAAAAATATGCCTACTGCAGCTAAATCCAAAAGGGTTTCATATATTTATTCTTTTGGAAGTAATGGAAGCATTCACAAGACACTAAAATTGATCAAAAGTAACAATCCATTAAGAAATCATCAGAAATAACAAGCCATCAGTGAGGTTGATGTCTCCCACCACAATCATAAAATAAACAGACGATATATACATTAATCATAATCTTTTAGAGACATTTTGTGACTGGATAGAGAAATAAACTATAACACATATTTATGGAAGAACAGATACTTATTTCTTTAGGCGACATTTCGAAGAGTATTCTCTCAATGTTTTCAAGTGTTTATTAATATCTCCAATGTTAACTAATGGCAATCATCAGTGGCCTCACTAATCCTTTATATGCTTCTTGCCTTTGATCATGTTGTTTTCATGCTCTCAATCTTGTTGTTGTCATGCATGATTTCTGATTTTTTCTTATTGCTTGTCTATATATAATTGCCCTACGTATTTGTTACTACACTTGATTGAAAATGTTGAGAGAATACACTTCAAAACATCGCCTAAATAGATAAGTAATTGTTCTTCCATAAGTATGTGTCATAGTGACATTCAATTACTTTTTTGAATTATCATATATCCTCAGTCTATTTTTATTTGGATTCATATTTCAATGTAAGTGTATAAAAACTATACTTACTTAGAATAAGATGTGTTAATACACAGGCAAATATATAGATACACAGAACAGACAGTGACAAGATAAACAGGTAAAAATAGCGATAATTCCGTTTTCCAACACAATTACCAACCCACGGACAATGATGATCAAATCTCTCTGAAAAATAATATAATAAAACATGTTATTATTTTTATCTTATCCACAGAATTAAGCAATTTCAACATCTCCTGACAATGCAATGTTCAACTGATAATGGTGCAGATGCTAACCATTCGGCCATCCAACCCCCCTCATCTCATGACAATAAAATGTTAAACTGATAATGATGTAGATGTAAAGAATACTGTCTGATAGTAACTAATTCAATTCACCTTTCCAATTTGTTCCAATCTGGTTAAAGAGAGAGAGAGAAATGGGGTTTAACGTCCACTCGACACAAACTAGGTCATTTCGGGACTAACATATGGTTTTGTTTTATTTCAATAATTCGCTTGCGCATAGGGGTCTTTAGCAGTGGGAGGAAACCGGAGGACCCGGAGAAAACCCACGAGGTTGGACAGGCGACCCTACTCCTTGTCATGTACAACCGGGGATTCGAAACCGTGCCAGTCGACTCAATGACAGACTTTATGATACAGCGCGCGCACGCTAACCATTCAGCCATCCAACCCCCCTCCAATCTGGTTAAAACACAGATCCTATTTCGTTCTGTTTTTATAGTTCAAAATTTCGTTTTACTTTTCTTTACTACACTAGGATCTGGAAGAGTTGTTATGTAACCCACGTTCTGGTTGATGTGACGGCTTAGCCAATGAAACAGTCTGTTGCGGCCAGTTCTTGGTGTGTGGTGCACAGAACTGTGGGTATCCCACTAGTAGAAACATTAATGCTGATTGGTTAATCAAATGTCCGATGTCATAGGGTTAAACGTCGCTTGTATGACCCCTGACGCAACCTCCCACTACAACTGCTCAGATCTTCATGTAGTGTAAGCCATCGAAAGTATAAAACAGCAAAACAAAACATAGATCTGTATTTTAATCAGATTGAATTTGTTCTAAGCAATGTAACAAAATGAACATTTTTACTTTGAACTTTAATTTAATGTAAGGTATATTGTCTCTAAAATCAAACAAGCAATCTGTCTCTTGTTAGTCACTGCCAATTCTATAATGCATGCATCTATAAGAGACTGATACTGCGCAGACATTTCTGTGAATATAAGCTTATATAATCCAAGTAAGTATAGTGTGGAATAAATGTCATAAAACTATATTTTCAATTAATTTTCAGTAACTTGACTCACAGAAGTTTGATAAGGTTTGTCCTCTCATGACCCCAAGGCTTCACACAAAATTTTAAAAAAAAATATTTGAAAATCTGAAGTTTCTATCAAGATCACAAGTCAACTGTGAGGCATACAAAAATTAAGGTTTAATTTATGTCCCTTTGAAAAGACATATATCTGTATACATTAAAATAACTTATCTTATATTCACAAAATAACATGTTACAGAGAAATGTACTTAAAAATCTAAAGGATAACATAATTTTAAATATGGACGAAATTGTCACGAAATGTATATTATCAAATAACAACATGACATTAAAGATATATTATAATAGTTAAAAACTAGATAATGTACATGTAAAAGGCAATTTGCTGAAAATTTCATTCAAATTGATCCACAATGAACCGAGAACAAAGCGATTGAATTTCCGCCTTTCATTACTAAAGTCAGTACGATAAACAGCATAGTCTCGATTATCCATTTAATCGTTAAATTGTGAAGGAAAGTTATGTAGTAAATCGGCTCACAATCCACTAAAGATCGCAGGCTAGCGATGCCATCTAGAGTTGATTATAGTCTGGATAAGTTAATTAATGTCTAATTAATAATTTATATAATAATTTGTCTAAATATCTTTATTTCAGGCTTAAAGAAAGATATTTAGACAGATTTAGCTCTTGCATAATGTATGTTTAATATGTACTTTCCAGTTATTTATTATTTCATAAAAGATCTGAGTATTATTAACGATGCATGATAAGAACTAAATCTGCCTCTTGAAGATCTTTCTTTTGGTCTCAAATGTTATATAAATTTATCATTTAGACATTTATAACCATGACAAACCCAAAATCAACTCTCTAGAACATCGGATGGTTGGGATTTTTAATGGATAAAACAAAATCATCATTTAATAAATTAATCTAAGAATGGATAATCAAGACTTTGTTATCACAGTAATGTTACTTGACAATCAAACTTCGATCAGAATAAAGTAATTTGACTGAAATTTTCTATAATATATCAATTTTTCATTATTATAGCAAGAATGGTCAGCTTTTTATCAAATTCTTACATTATATGTCTTAAAGGCTCAATACCACTCTTGTTGTAACTGAATAATATGTCCCAATCTTTATTCTGGTCAACAAATTGTACTATTTTACAATATTCCAATTAATTGTCTATACAAATTTCATCTTAACACACCTAATTTAAAAAATTGGAAAAATTCAACTAAATGATTTGAAAAGCCTGACGTAAAGCTTTTCAAATGTTACTTGGATTTAGAAATATTTTTGAACCCTCTGGACAAGTAAAATAGTATTTTTTTGGATAATTTACACAACAGGTAGGACACTAACACATCTAGTACTTAGAATAAGGCTATTTTTTATTTTCTAGAGCTGTCAACCCAGCAAGAGTGTTATTGTCCCTTTAAATGAAAGTAATAAAGTAAGTAGTATTTAAAAAAAAAAAATATAATGACTCAAATAAATTTCATGAGAAAGAATCATACTTACCAACACAATTGTCACACAGACTACAATGTGACGCTCTGGGTGGTCGAAATATTTTACATGTAAAACAATACTTGAGTTTAATAACTTGACCTTTTACTACAACTTCTCGAGTTCTGGGTGGAGGTCGATACGTTCCTGGAGAACTTGTGTTTGGCACTTCTACAATAAAAAGACATTGATTGAATGATTGCACAAAATACTGTCTTAGACATAAGATTGGTTTTCTTTTAAAATCACTTTTTATACTCGTAGAGGGTGCAAAGTATAAGTCACACAATTCCACAATCTGATTAAAATACAGATCTATATTTCGTTTTGTTTTTTTATACTTTCGATGTCCTACATTACATGAAGATCTGACCGGTTGTAGTTGAAGGTCGCTTCAGAGGTCATACGAGCGGTTTTTGGCCCCATGATGTCAGACATTTGATTAACCAATCAGGGTTGATGTTTCTAGTGGGTTACCCACAGTTCCGTGCACCTCACGCCAAAAACTTGCCGTAACAGACCGTTTCATTGGCTAATCCCTCACATCATCCAGAACGTGGGTTATATAACAACTCTTCCAGATCCTAGTGTATTAAAAACAAGTAAAACAAAATTTTGAACTATAAAAAACGAAACGAAATAGGATCTGTGTTTTAATCAGATTGTAACAATTCCAAGGACATAATTCCAAATACTTTTCAAAAATGAGTCCATCTCTTTCAAAATCTATATTTATGACGTGTAGCCCATAGTATCATTATTATGACTATGAGCCATGCTCTAATCCCTTCCATACACAAACAGTTTACTGTAGAATCTCTAATACAATATCTAAACCTGAAATGCATTTCTAGTTATTCCATAACCTCTAATGAAACTTTACACATGTAAATCATTGTATTATTATGGCTTCATTGTCAAAGGTAAATTGGGACGAAGTTATTTATGACTTCTTAATAACAGGCATACATGTCCACTAAACAAACCCTACAAAATTTACAATGCTTGCATCTGTGAATAGTGAATACTGAATAAACAATCTAAATATGTACAGATGGAATAAATTCTGTGAGAGAGAGAGTGAATGAGAGAGAGAGAGAGAGAGAGAGAGAGAGATGGGGTTTCGTCCACTCGACACAAACTAGGCTTGCGCATACATGTAAGGGTCTTTAGCAGTGGAAGGAAACAAGAGGACCCTGAGAAAACCCATGAGGTTGGACAGACGACCCTACTCCTTGCCACGTACATGTACAATCAGGGAATCGAAACCACGCCAATTGACTCAATGACAAACCTTATGATACAGCGCACACATGCTAAACATTCAGCCATCAACCCCCCCCCCCCCCAAATAAATTCTGTAATGGAAAACAGAAACTAATTTTGAAGATAACTAAAACAGTAACTGTATGCTGTAAGCAGTAGTAAGGCTTCAAACAGGTCATCTACTGGTAATTAACAATCTGATTAAAATACAGATCAACATGTATGTTTCGTATTTATACTTTCGATGGCCTTAACTACATAAAGATCTGACCAGTTGTAGTGGAAGGTACTGTCTGGGGTCATACAAGCCGTTTATGACCCTATGAAGTCAGATATTTGATTAACCAATCAGCATTGAAATTTCTAGTGGGATACCCACAGTTCCGGGCACAGCATGCCAAGAACTTGCTGTAACAGACCGTTTCATTGGCTAATCCCTCACATCAACCAGAACGCTGGTTATATAACAACACTTCCAGATCCTAGTGTAGTAAAGACATGTAAAACGAAATTTTGAAATATAAAAAACGAAACGGAATAGGATCTGTGTTTTAATTAGATTGACTAATAAAAATATGACATGTAAATTTGCTACATCGTATTGAGTTGATTATTTCGTCAGCCTTACACTTTAATCATGAAATATCTGAAGTGATCATCTCTAGATGATATAACTATAATGAAGACTGTAAATCCTCCTCCATATGCAACATGATAAAGATGTTAATAGAAGCTGTGGCTTACATGTAATATACATGAGATTATTGATTAGTTGTTCCAAACACTAGTTGTTATTCATCAATTCTAGGGCCATTATATTATTGTATTTTAATACCATATACATGTACAGAATAAACAAGCAAACAGTGAGCATCAATCTCAAAATCAATTGCTGACACTTAATAATTACTTGTCTTTTTATAAAGCTTGTGGCAATCAAAGTATTTATTTAAATAATAAGGAGAAAATGTTCATTATCAAACTTATATTGGTCAAGGTATTGATGTAATGGAACTACACACCAAGATTCATCACTCCCCCTCATTTAGAAGCAGACTTATTGTGTTCTAAATCTCTGCTAATCAAACTACTTATCTCTGTTATGCTTAAAGGAGCTAAATCGATAATATTTGGGACCTAGAAAACGACACAAATGGGTCGCAACACAAATAATAATGTAATCTGAATGTATATAAACTGATTTACATTCAATCGTTTCCGTTTTTACTCTAATTTCAAATCAGTTATGTTTGGCGAAATATGCCAGAAGTCACAATCGAATGGTAATCTCTAGCGTCTGGTTATTCCAGTCTATTGCGCATGCTCTCCAGATAAGAATATCGCGTCACCATTTGACGTGACTTGTGGAATTCCTAGCCTTGTTCTTCAAGTCCCTTGTTAAACAAATAGCGCTGAAACGCATTATGGTACACGATTTGTGTACCAATGGTAAAATGTTTATTTTGTCTTAAATATTGGATATCAGAAGGCCATCTTTTCCTGGTAAGATCACAACATCAATGTTGATTAAAATTGACAAATAATTTGTGTTTTCAATGTGGAAGACTTTGGATGATATTGAGTTAGAGACTTAGCTACTTTAAGTAGGAAATACTCACCATCGAGTTATACTTATTGTGTTCCAGAAAGTGGGATGACTTGACGGTTGTTTAAAGCGAGAATTTCATATTTTTGTAAGAAAGTCAATGAGTTGTCAACTCACTATTATATGATCATAGGTATCATTCTCACACTTAAAAACCATTCAACCCGGAAATAATAACACAATTACCTCCCTTGTTTTTCTATCTCCCCCCCCCCCCCCATGGAATACATGTAGCTATCTTCAAACGTTTGAATTTGAAGTTGAAAATGATATTTTTGCCAATTTCTCAACTGGCAATAGTGAATTATAGGATTAATAGGATTATTCTTTAACAAAGTAGGACTGTTTATAAATACCATCTATTTTAAGGCTTTATTTTAATACATGTACATTTTAAAAATATAACTTAAAAATATGAAATTATCGCTTTAAGCTAAACAGAAAATAATCTTCATCAAACCCTGTCAAGAAACTCACCTACATGTAACGAACATCTATACCAAGTTTGAACATTATACTTCAATTAGAAATTGTTGAAATTCAATAGGATTCAAACTACATAAATTTCATACAGCTTAACAGATGATAACATTTGACATTACAAAAGGTTCTTTAAAGTGATACAAGGGCAATAACTCTATAAGTAGAAATTGTTGAAATCCAACAGGCTTCTTCATCTCACTTAATACACCACATTACCATTAAAAATTAAATGAATCCCACAAAATGCAAACTTGATCTTTACCTCTATTATACAGCAGTCTACAAACCGTCAATCAAATAACTCATGCTAAACCTAAAATAATTTAGGAAAACAAAAAGGAGAGAGAGAGAGAGAGAGAGAGAGAGAGAGAGAGAGAAATGGGGATAAAGGTCCACTCAAAACAAACTAGGTCATTTCAGGAGAGAGAGAGAGAGAGAGAGAGAGAGAGAAATGGGGATTAACGTCCACTCAAAACAAACTAGGTCATTTCAGGACTAACATATGCTTCAATTTTATTTCAATAATTCGCTTGGGCATAAAGGGTGTCTAGCAGTTGGGAGCAAACCAGAGGACCCGGAGAAAACCCACAAAGTTAGACTGGGGAATTGAAACCATGCCAGTTGACTCAATGACAGACCTTATAATAAAGCACGCCCATGCCAACCATTCGGCCATCCAATCCCCCTTGAAAACAAAGGGCCTAATTGAATAAACAGAATTCCACTAAACGCAAACTTGTTATGTAATTTCTGATAATCCAAAACCTCAAACTTTAACTTAAATAAATTCCGCAAAACAGAAATTTTATTGATTTCAAGTCAACATGCCGGTAATTGAGAAAAGAAATTAACAGAAGTGGAAATAATAACAACCATAAATTGCAAAATAAATATAGAATAAATGGCAAAAGTAAACAGATCAAAACCAAACAATAGAAAATGTCATGGAATACAATATTCAATAATTTTTCATTAGAACTAATAATATAAAAACTGCAGATGTCATAATTCTGTAAAAAAGATGTCCTCAACTTTATTCATTGTGCAAATCAGATTATTTTCCAATCTGATTAAAACACAGATCCTATTTCTTTTAGTTTTTTTTATAGTTCAAAATTTCGGTTTACTTGTCTTTACTACACTAGGATCTGGAAGAGTTGATATATTAATGGTGTTATGGTTAAAGTGAGGGATTAGCCAATGAAACGGTCTGTTACAGCGATTTCTTGACGTGCAACACACAGAACTGTGGGCAAACCACTAGAAACATCAACACTGATTGATTAATAATGTTTGACGTCATAGGGTCAAAAGCCGCTTGTAAGACCCCTGACGCGACCTTCCAGTACAACTGGTCAGATCTTCATGTAGTGTAGGCCATCGAAAGTATAAAAAAACAAAACGAAAACTTAAACTAAGATACAATCGAAATTTTAAGAAATACTGCAATTCGATTGGCTGACCAATATGCAAATTGGATATATATACAAATTGATTTTACTGGTCAGCCAATCGAATTGCAGTATTACTTAAAATTTCGATTGTATCTTAGTTTAAGTTTTCGTGAATAAGGGCCCTGTATTTTAATCAGACTGATTACTTTCCTTTCTCCTTTCATCTATGTATGTGGTTTTAAAAAACTGACCATAATTTTCTATCATTTAATATATACTAACGTCCAAAAGAAAGTATACACTGTGCATTTTGTGCTGCATCAACGAAAGTCGTTTTTCCATGGTATACGGTATTAGGGTAGAATGTCAATTTGTTTCACATTTTTATTTTGCTTAGAAATGTTGAGTTTGGACGCAAGAGACAAACTCAGTAATGCTTTATCAAATGTTTTTAATGAATCTAAACAAAACTTAGTCATACTTTTAGTGTGTATACTTTCTTTTGGACGTCAGTATATTACCGGTACTGAAACAATTTTTCATTTTATGTTTCATTCTTGTAATCAATATTTGCTTAAAGATACACTGTCTTGAAAGTATTTATCGGGTGCTTATAATTTTCAATAAAAGTATGGCAAATTTGGTACATACGGAAAGTATGGAAACCCAATCTTACTAGAAAAATACTGAGTTACTGGAAAAACACCCATGGGGCAAGCACTGGGCAAAATTGTCAGGGTATCACTAACTGGCAACACAACTGTTGTCTGCCAGATTATTGTGCACTAGCTTGACAGAGGGATCGGTTGTTGTTTCTTCATCAAATATTTAGGAGTTTTGGGAATATTGAGGGTGTCAACGTACAAAATACTCTGCAATTAAACGGCGGGAACAGAAGTTGATGGAAAATTATTAAAAATTTACTTAGGGGTCAATAAGTATGGTAATTAAAATGAACAGTAAGTAATGAAAAATACATTCTGAAAAATAGACCCTCACTCAAAGAAGCGAGACAACAAGACATTGTCTCTAACATCAGTTTATTTATAGCTTGAAGAATCTCCCCGCGTATACAAAGGTTTGGGAGGGATTTGAAGCACATCAGTTTGATAGATTAATTAGTTTGATTATGTTTTTAGTCCAAATATATCATCAAATCACCCAGTTTATACGCCGGAAAGTATCTTTAACAATATCAACATAATTTTTACATACCTATCTGTTTTTCTATTTCAGCTGCTTCATCTGGTGTTGATCTAGGAATGACCCCAGGGTCACTGAAACTTGTTCTAAATAATGTGCTCATGACAAAGAGAAAGAGGGCTACCCCTATAGCTGGTATAGCTGGTGTTACATGTTCTGCTAAATATACACAACTGTAAACAAAAACAATAAACATTATTCTCACACATTTATTCCATTGATAAACACGTTTTCTAATGATATACATGTATTCCCTCAAGAATAATTGGGTCATCTGTTCAAAACTCCCTCTCACCCCCCCCCCCCCCCCCAAAAAAAACTAAAAAAACAAAAGGGCCATGAAAACACTAATATGTATATTTCCAGTGATTATTAATTCTTACACTAGTATAATCAATCTTACAATTGTTAAGATTTAAATAGTATAACTGTGCCAGCTTGAATTAATAAAGTTTAGTGTCTGGAAAACCAGGTTATTACCAGTGTCATATACATGTAGTTAGTAAGTAACTATAATTAACCACAAGAGGCATTCTTCACAAAACACAATAAGTTTTGAAAAAACTAAAGAGTGAAATATTTGCTTGAATAACACAAATTGTCATTCATAACAACTTTCAAGAAAGCAATTTATGATAATATTGTTGAGGTAAAATGTATGGCTACATTATATCAGTATATAGTGTTATAGGCCTATGGGCTAGTTTCAGCACACTACAGTGTACTTGTAGCCATAGCATGTACTTTACACATTCATCACAATGGGGCAACAGGTACTTTTGAGATAAAAACTCACATGTCAAATAATCTATTCATTGGCTACATATTATCTACAAGACATTGCATGTAACTGATCCCAAAGGATAACCAAATATAAAATTTCATTAAATATTATATGGCAAGCCCAACACTAGTCATTAAACTTAATAACGAAGTCCAAGGAGAGAGAGGCAGGAGAAGGACATAAAAATTATAAATACCTATCCTAGGACTTAATAGCGAAGTAGTACAAGTATTATTAAGAGATAACATTGCAATGTTTCATGAATTATTTTGTTGTCAAGAAAACTATTAATGAAATAATCAACAAAAACTGCCAGTTTAAATTTAATCTAATAAATCCAATAAGAATGTTAACTACAAACAACACATTACCAGCAAACATTTAAGCTTTTTTAAAAAAAAAATACATCCTTTTCAAGTATGTCTATTACAAAACAATGGGTTATATAGGCCTACTTAATGGTCAACTACTATTGTACTAACCATAAGAAGTACACATGCACTTACAGGTATACAGTCGAACAGACTAGAGCTAATTCATATTTCTTGTATTTCTAAATTATCTGAAATTTTGGTCTGTCTAACTGGACTGGTGATAGCCTCTATTACCTAGACAATAGTTGTGTATGTCCACAAACCATGAGTTACATGTAGCGTGTAATAAGAGGCTAGACTAGCGATATTCCAGGAATAGGAATGGCTCATTACCATAAATGAGAGAGGAAGGTGCAGAAAAATGGGTTTTAAAGTCCGATCAACACAAACTAGGTCCATTTGCTTGCAAGTTGTGGGTGGAAACCAGATGACCAAGAGAAAAACAATGAGGTTTAAATGGCGACCCTACTCCTTCTCATGTACAAATATGGATCGAAATCCCCACCATTTAATTAAATATCATCACTGACAGACCTTACGATCTAAAGTCCACGCACATGTACCATATTCAGCCACCCAACCCCTTTTTGTCATCTATTTTAATAATGACTCTGACATAGTGGTTCCTTACATTATACAGAGAGAGAGAAATGGGGTTTAACGTCCACTCATTTTGGGACTAACATATGGTTTAATTTTATTTCAATAATTCGCTTGCGCGTAGGGGTCTTTAGCAATGGGAGGAAACCAGAGGACCCGGAGAAAACCCACGAGGTTGGACAGGTAACCCTACTCCTAATCACGTACAACCTGGGATACGAAACCACGCCAGTCGACTCAATGACAGGCCTCATGATACAGCGCACACATGCTAACCATTCGGCCATCCAATCCCCCCACCCCCTGACATTATGGTTCATTACATACATTATACAATAGTACACTGTTCAAAAACTGAATCATTTAGCTTTCTAACCTTTCTACAACTCGTCTATCTAATGTTGTGTATAAAACCAAAAGACCTATTTGATGCTTACGGCAGGGATATGTATAAAAATTCCAGTTAGGAAACCCCAAAAATAGCTATAAAAAGGGCCATGGAAAGTGCCAGACAATTTGGGCAAAGACAGTCTACTATTTTTAATACTTACTCAAAGCCAAAAAATAACCCACTGGTAACAACAATTAATGAGCAAGTTAGATAAAATATTCCACTTTGTTTCGCCATCATAATTCTTCCGTTACAATAAAATTTGTTTTTTCCAGGAAACACTTCCCATTTCCGAACTTTTTTCGGCATTTTGTCCACTGAGCTGTCAGATTTTTGATTGTTTGATTCCGTGGATACCACAGTGTATGAGTATGACAGCTCTTTTATTCCAGTCATTGACATAAACCACGTCTATATTCTCTCTTTTTATGTCTAAAGACAAACGAACCCTTTCACAAAACATCACATCCCTTGAAGTTCTACTTCTAAAGGTTGTTCAATATCAAATTTCTAAAATATGTATCCAGTAGTTTCCGATTCGAGTCATAATTTACTGTTCGGCATTATTCATTGCCATTCGTCGTTCTTCATTATGATCTAATTGCGCACGCGCTATCGAGCACTTGTCAACTAGTCTTGGTCGTCCGGTTGTAAATTAACTGTACAATCTATAACTGGTTAAACAAGGCTATGCGACAATTAGTTATGAAAAGATCAATGCGAATATTGTTTCGTATAGACAATAACCGAATGACACTTTAACTTTGTTAATTATCACAGTTAAATAGGTATTACTTTAACAAAGTATAGGTTCAATAAATTCCCGGGAGTTTTTCTTCTAGATATGATGTTCTCAGATAAAAAGTATGGAACACCATTCGTTATAATTCCTGATAATATCTTGGTTCATAATGTAAGGCAGGAGACACATAAGTCGAATCACGATTCGTCTTAATCAATCGCTCGTATCAAACGTGTTTGATTTTATCGGCCGAATTTTCATTCGCCGCGTTAATATTCGCCTACGATCTGTTTCAGAGAAGGCCTTCTTATATTAGCGGCCTATAGCGAATATTCACTGGTGATCAGTGTGATTCGCCTAGTAGTAGTCCAGGCATTTTAACTAAATTTCGCATCATTTCGGACAGTTGTTGCAATAGAAATGCCGACCACGGTTTATGGTCGGTCTAGACGTATATTATCACTACAAGTCCTAGTCCGAAATCTCTCTCCAAATAGGTCAAATTGGTCAAATCCAAAATGGCCGCCAGTTTTGGCTGGAAAATGCCAATTTTTATCCATTTATCATAATATAATCGAGTTTGGTATCAAAATATATCCGTTCGGGATAGTTGAATCCAATTCCATACACATTTTGGTGATTAGTTATACCGCGGAGTCAATATTGGGAAATATTTCCAGATGGCGGTCAGTTTTGGCGGGAAAATTCGAATTTTAAAAAATTACCACATTTATTGCCCAAATATACATTTTGGGGTAGCTGATTCCATTTTCGACACATTTTCTCATCTTGATGATTAATTGGTCCCCCTGGGTCAAAATAGGAGGACATCCCATCAGAGATTAGGTAGGGGATTAAGAATACTCGAGTCTGCCTCAGGTCTAATACGATGGCATTCATCGCGTTAACTAAATTTTATTTAGACTCTGTGGCCAACCACTGCTCACTGCCGAAGCAGCGTAGCAGGCATAACGAAAGGGGAGACTCCAGCACACTGTGGACGCAGCATCATGGACGTGTCTGATTTCGGATCACCAGCTTCGAAAATTGAACCATGACGGCCAAACCATGCGAATTTATTTCACAAAATGATTCAAATGACGAGACACAGTCACACAGATGGATCCCGATATGCAGTGAACCATTTGATAATGAACTGCCCACCGTCATTCCGAAAATAATGGAAAGATAATTTAACGGGTATTAGAGGTCGACAATAATGGGCCGATTAATGAGCCAAGTCTCCGACCTTGACTAGGTTCAATGACAGTTTCAATGACAGAGAATTTAGGACAAAATAAAACTTAGTGTATAGTTTCATTATATCAATATATTGACTAAGTTTGACAATGTAAGATGTGCAAGTAATTAATAAGTGTCATCTATTTAGGGACACCAGCCTCAATGTTGATTTGTTAAATACAATTAGATTAATGTCCAGTCGTCATTTGTCCTGTCTTGGCATGCCAACAAAATAGTTGTTGCAAGTGCTACTGTTTACTGTTGTAACCAGGTCACTGATTTTTATACGCCCACATTTTCATGTGGACGTATTATGCCGTCGCCCCTGTCCGTCCGGACGTCCGTCCGTCCGTCCACAATTGTTTGTGGACTCTCTACAGGTCACAATTTTTATCCGATTTCGACGAAACTTGAAATATAGGTTTATCCCCAAAAGATCTCGGCTGCTTTCGATATTGGCATGTATCGGATCGAAACTTCATGGATTATGGCCCCTGTTCGTACGAAAAATCACGTTTTTAGCTTGTGGACCCTATAGAGGTCACAATTTTTATCCGATTTTGTTGAAACTTGAAATGTAAGTTTATAACCCAAAGATCTCAGTTCCTTTCGATATTTGCGCATATCGGACAGTAACTTCCTGAATTATGGCCCCTGATTGTACGAAAAATCACGTTTTTAGCTTGTGGACCCTATAGAAGTCATAATTTTTATCCGATTTCAAAAACCGTTCTATTATATCACCGTTACACCATAAGGATGACTGAGTTCGAATTTCGTGAAAATCGGCCCAAAATTGACAGACAAAATGGCCGCCGTTCGTTCCCAAATAGCGTAAGAATATGGTATATCAAGGTTGTGGACCCTATAGGGGTCACAATTTTTATCCGATTTTGTTGAAACTTGAAATGTAAGTTTATAACCCAAAGATCTCGGTTCCTTTCGATATTCGTGCATATCGGACCGTAACTTCCTGAATTATGGCCCCTGATTGTACGAAAAATCACGTTTTTAGCTTGTGGACCCTATAGAAGTCATAATTTTTATCCGATTTAAAAAAACCGTTCTATTATATCACCGTTACACCCTAAGGACGGTTGAGTTCGAATTTCGTGAAAATCGACCCAAAATTGACAGACAAAATGGCCGCCATTCGTTCCCAAATAGCGTAAGAATATGGTATATCAAGGTTGTGGACCCTATAGGGGTCACAATTTTTATCCGATTTTGTTGAAACTTGAAATGTAAGTTTATAACCCAAAGATCTCGGTTCCTTTCGATATTCGTGCATATCGGATCGTAACTTCCTGACTTATGACCCCTGATTGTACGAAAAATCAGGTTTTTAGCTTGTGGACCCTATAGAAGTCATAATTTTTACCCGATTTAAAAAAAACGCATTATTATATCACCGTTAGACCCTAGGGACGACTGAATTCGAATTTCGTGAAAATCGGCCCAAAATTGACAGACAAAATGGCCGCCGTTCGTTCTCAAATAGCGTAAGAAAATGGTATATCAAGGTTGTGGACCCTATAGAGGTCACAATTTTTATCCGATTTTGTTGAAACTTGAAATGTAAGTCTATAACCCAAAGATCTCGGTTTCTTTCGATATTCGCGCATATCGGACCGTAATTTCCTGAATTATGGCCCCTGATTGTAGAAAAATCGCGTTTTTAACTTGTGGACCCTATAAAGGTCATAATTTTTATCCGATTTAAAAAAAAACGTATTATTATATCACCGTTACACCCTAAGGACGACTGAGTTTGAATTTCATGAAAATCGACCCAAAATTGACAGACAAAATGGCCGCCGTTCATTCTCAAATAGCGTAAAAATATGGTATATCAAGGTTGTGGGCCCTATAGAGGTCACAATTTTTATCCGATTTTGTTGAAACTTGAAATATAAGTTTATAACCCAAAGATCTCGGTTCCTTTCAATATTTGCCCATATCGCACCGTAACTTCCTGAATTATGGCCCCTGATTGTACGAAAAATCATGTTTTTAGCTTGTGGACACATTAGAGGTCATAATTTTTATCCGATTTAAAAAAAAACCGTATTATTATATTACCGTTCCACCCTAAGGACAGTTGAGTTTGAATTTTGTGAAAATCGCCCCAAAATTGACAGACAAAATGGCCGCCGTTCGTTCTCAAATAGCGTAAAAATATGGTATATCAAGGTTGTGGACCCTATAGAGGTCACAATTTTTATCCGATTTTGTTGAAACTTGAAATATAAGTTTATAACACAAAGATCTCAGTTCCTTTCGATATATGCGCATATCGAATTGTAATTTCCTGAATTATGGCCCTTAATGATTGTAGGAAAAATCACTTTCTTGTTAGCTTGTTCTCTATCCATCTCTCGAAAATGTGGGCGTATCCTGCCTGGCAGCCGCTGGTATCTGTTGTAATGGACCGCGTCCACTTATCTTTACTACGGATTATATAAAAGACAACGATCCGCAAAAATGAATTTTGGCACCGTATAGACCCAGGGCCGTATATGTAGAATTTTAAAAATTGGGGGTGCAGCAGTGGTGGAGCGCCATAGCCTCCATGTATGTGATATAAGAAAGTTTCGATCAGGGCAAACGAACCCATTGGCGTGAGGGCGCCCTTAAAACCGATCGACTGATCAGTGCATTAAGAGCATCACTCGTACGTAACTAACGTACGAAAATTAATTGGTGGCTAGCTTTTTTTTCGCACGTATACAGTGAATGGCCATTTTGCTCAGTAATCCCAGCCAGAATTTGGCTATTTTCTAAATTTGCGTTAAAGTTAAAATATTTGTTTTAGAACTGAAACACATTAACTATTAGTCAATCACAACGCTAAAAACATCAACAGAATTGATTGTGTATATCTGAAATAGACCCGACCGACGCACAAAATAATGCAATATGGCGGCCTCTATGAACAACCCTCGCAGACGCTGTCATTGAAGACAACGTCAATTCTATGAGTTGTAGATGTTATTTTTGTGAAAAAATCATTGGAAGAAGAGAGAACATGTTGGGACTACGAATTATATAGTCTTTATGGGTGCAACGGACACAATGCTGAAGATAAAACTATTGTTTACAATGTTGACCTCATGACCCATTGACGCCAATGTCATGACCTGTGATGTGTCGATCACGTGATATGATATCATGGCTACTGACTGTGTCTGAGATACGTCTCCACAGGTAGCGTGTCTCAGATGTTCAGAATGAGCATTACTGTGTGATCATAATCAAGTGTATTATTTCATAATTGAAAGATTGTCAAATAATGTTGGTTTTTTTTGGATGGGGTGGGGGCGCAATTTCTCGGGGCGCCTTATTTTTCTGGGGGTGCAATGTACCCCCTGCACCCCCGCTAAATGCGGCCCTGTATAGACCTCGATTCAATCTCCTCCACTTCCAGCTTTACAACATTGTGCAATATTAGTTGATTGAAATCTGACCATAATTTCTTAGGTGAGCCACCTTATTAAAGCTTCCAATACCTGTTATTCTCGGATGAAGGTGGACTGTTCATTATCAAATAATTCACTGCACATCTGACAAACAGGCGATACTGTATCCATCTTTGTCTCAACATTTAAATCATTTGGTGATATAAATTT